ATTGTTCTCACCCAAACATATTAAAAATGGTTAATTAAAGAATTATTTACATTCTGGGCGATTCCATGAGTGAATTTTTTTTTCTCAACTCAATTTTTTGTAAATATTTCCTTAATTAACTTCATTTAACGCCATATTTAAGATTTATTTTATTTATTTTTATGCTATTTATGTATTTTAGTGCATAATCTTTTAGTTAAATCTGTCTGACAAAAGATATTTTAAAAAAACCAAACTTAATCGGTCAACTTTACAGAAAATTGATTTTTAAATTTTTATCAATATTTCTTTGAATATCCATTGTTGTGTTACAAATCTATGATAAACACACGTGAAATCGCCTGTGCTTTATAACAATATCTTATTTGTATTTCTTACTACTGTAATAAAGGAGAAAATTGGGGAAAACACCACTTAATCGGTCAACTTTCAACCGATTATTGCAAAACATATTACATATTTTTGTCAAAATGCAGCATAATTAAGACGATTAAATGCTAATAATACATGAATTGATGAATAATAAGTCTTATTTAGTGAAAAGATATGTTGAAATAGATTGTGGTTCATAGGACCGACAAAAAATTTGGCCAAATTTGGCCAAAATTTTTGACCAAATTTTCACCCAAATTTACCCGAATTGCACCCAAATTTCACCCAAATTTTGCCGCATTTTTATTAGAAATTGTTTGAATAATATTTTTTGAAAATGTTCTCCCAAATTTTTGGCCAAATTTGGGTGCAATTTGGGTAAATTTTGAACCAAACTTTCATCCGAATTTGGTCAAATTTTTACCCAAATTTTCATCCAAAATTTGGTCAAAATTTTAACCAAATATCGACCAAATTTTTGTTCAAATTTTGCTTTTTTTTGAAAAAATTGAGACAGTTTTTTAGATTCTTGTCGACTTTAACGTATTTATAATCCTTAGTAAAATAAAGATCTAATATAATATAAATTACGTTCACAAATTAAATGCAGTTTCTAGTCTTATTCGTTTGGATTCAAATTTAGTCTGGAAAAGCAGACTGGATCCAAGGAACTTCTAAGTGCACCTTACAAAGATTCAGGAAGAAACAAATTTCGTTCTTTGTCGTTAAGTGAAACGACAATTTTCATAAAATTTAAATTCATAGTATTATTGCAAATTGTTGTGTTTCACAAATTTTAATCGGATCAACGCTTTTCAGTTCTTTAAAACTGATTTAATGATTTATTGATGCTTATTTCTCCAAAATTATTTATATCTTAAAGAAATTCCTTAATATAATTCAAAAATCTTCAAAATATTTTACTGCTTGTTGAAACGCATAAGTTTCACTCCAATGATTTAATTAAAGGAAGTTTGAAGAGTCTGATGGTGGCCCATGGATCCATTTTACTCAAATGTTTTAAACTACTTATTTATCTTTTCAAATATTTTTAAAAATATTTTGAAAAATTATACTTTAAATTTATTTTGTTGAAAATTAAACATCGTGAATATTTTCTGTTTTAAAATCTTTACGAGATTTGTAAAACTTCTTAAAAAATTAAAAAAAAATTTCAGATTCAGATACATTTTGTTTTCAGTTTCAAAAAATAATTATAATAAATTTCCAAAAACAAAAAACCTGAATGCAAAATTATTTCGCTATGTAAAAGTTTAAGTGACAAAAAAAGATTAAGACGTCAAATACAAAAACAACTTATATCTTTTGAGATTAAAAATTTAATAAAAATTATTTATAGACCCAGCTTTCTCTCAACCAAAATGTAAAACCAAGTATATCGGGTAGAAACCCAATGCGGATATATTCACACCGTGTCATCAAAAGTCTTATGGATTGACCAAGATTTGCTTAGCATAAGTTTGAAGGTATAAAGCTAGCGAGTCAGCTGAGCTGTGCTCAGCATATGTTTGGAGGTTTAAAGCTTAACGAGTATTTTTAAAGTTTTTTAAAAACATTTTTCATCCAAAGTTTAATTTTATAAAAATCACAGTGAACTTTTTTTTTAAAAAATTCGTTAGAAAGGAAAGTTTTTTGCTTTTTCTGAAGCAACGGCTGTTCCTACCTTGCCCAAAAACAATACTACTCTTCTATAGAGCAGCACGGATCAAATGCAAAAAACTAGTAGTCTCAACGATGTCTCGTTATTGAGATTTCTTGCTGATTAACTTGCTTGCTTGTTTGCTTACAGAAAGCGTATTTTACGATTTTCTCAGCAATGCCTCAACCAATTTGAAATCTGTTTTTCCAGAAGATGTAAAATTTCAGGCACAAGCTTTTCTTCAAGGATGCGAATGAAAACCAATAGATTCATACTTGAAAATCAAAACTTAAAACGTTTCATATGAGATTCGGAAAAAATACTTAATTTGCAATCTTATTCCCTATAAAGAGGGTGACAAGATATTTTTTGAAAAATGGTCAAACCTAAAACTTTGCATCTTTATTGAATTAAATATCTCTTAAAAGAAAGAAAAATCATCAATAATATTAAATTGAAAAATTCAGATTTCAATTGGATTTTTAAGACTTAATAAGCAGTTTTCTGTTGATTTGGTAGTTTAAATATGCAAATCTAAGCTTAACTTAGCTAACAACAGCTAGTAGGATATCGAAATAACAACCTAAAGTAGAGAAACCAAAGATTTTTTTCATAAACAAATTGTAAACAAATTTTTGGTGAGAATAAATTAAAGATTTTGTGGAATTAGACATTCAATTGGGACAAGATATGTTCACTGAATATGCCTTAAGTTAAGATCTTTAATCTCATTCAAAAATTGAAGTTTAATTAATATGATATTTCTAAATTTTTAAAAAATTTTTCCGTATCTGAATCACTGTGGAATGCTGCTCTAGAAGATCTAGATAATTTGGATGCATACATGACCTTAAAAATATTCAAACGTAATTTAGATATATTTTATTAGATTTTTAAAACTATAGTTATTTTAAAACCCTGCATAAGTTGCAAAAGTTCATATACAAACAAAGCGTAGCGCTAAAAGCAATTGGTTTAAATATTATGAAAAAATTAATCGTATTTTTTTAAAACTTGAACAAAAATTTGGTCGATATTTGGTAAGGTGACCATCTGCCTAGTTTTACAACGGACAGTCCTGTATTTCAAAACCCTGTCCTGTATTAATTTGAAAATTTTGTTCCAGGTCCTGTATTTTTTTCACGAAAATTTCCGTTAATTTTAAATTTTCCTTTGTGTCCTGTATTTTCATAAAAATTAGACCCTAATATTTGGTTAAAAATTTAACCAAATTTGGATGAAAATTTGGTTCAAAATTTACCCAAATTGCACCCAAATTTCACTCAAATTTGGCCAAAAATTTGGGAGAACATTTTCAAAAAAATGTTATTCGAACAATTCTTTAATAAAAATGCGGCCAAATTTGGGTGCAATTTGGGTAAATTTGGGTGAAAATTTGGTCAAAAATTTTGGCCAAATTTGGCCAAATTTTTTGTCGGTCTTTAAACCGCACCCGTTGAAATATGTATATTTAAGCAGAAAAAGCTAAAAAAGTTTTTGAACCAAAAATTTTCAGTTCCATTTACCCATGGAATCGCCCTTCTACGAAAAATTACTCTGTTTCACATGAATTTTTTCGCCCAAATTTCCAAAATGTTTGCATTAATATCTTTAAGGTGGTAAAATTTCCAGTAACACTAAGTATACAAAATTATAGCTCAAAGTAAAAGCTTCAAAACGATGTCGAAATCATATTTGTAGAAGCCTTAATTAAGCTGCAATTTGGATTCTACGAAAAATTTCATAAGTGAAACAGAGTAATTTAGAGACAATTCCAAAAAAAACTACCAAATATTAAAATTCAAACCATGAATTTCTCAAAAATAAAAAATTTCATGCAATTGACACGGATTATTTTCATGAAACCTTTTCGTAGAATTGCCCAAAAAACAATTCAGTAAATTTTTAGCGCATTTTACCACGTTTTTCTTAACTTGTTTTAAACTTGTTTCTAAAAGGTAGCTTAATAATACACTTTGTTCGGCTGTTTGAAAAAAACTTTTTAACCAGACATCGTAGAGAGCTCGCGTTTGTTTTATTGGCTCCGTTACTATCGATTTATTGGCCCAACGAATGGTTAAAAGTCTTTAAACCATGTATTTATGCTACAATTAATGATTTCTTTTTGTTTTCAGTGTAACCTGCTCAAATTTTATGTTACCTCTATAATTTCAAATTTTTTCTAGCCGTTGTAAAATTTGAATTTCAAAAAACCGTTAAATGATGAAGACTTTCTATATAGACATTTATTGTAATTATTTGTTAAAGCACTAAAATTAATGATCTTCTAATCTTCTCATGATCTGTAATTGAACGCAAAATAATTAGATAATCAAATACTGATCGCTAACACAAAAATGCGCTTATGTCCCTCGATCAATAACACGAGGACTTCTGTAGTTTTTTCAAAACTCCTTCCTTTGAATGGATGTTTAAAGTTAAACTTTTAACTTTTATCTTAAACTTTTCTTGGTAAAGTATCCTAAACATGATTATTTAAAGAAACTAAGAGCTCTTATCATTGCTTAATTAATGTGTTTTTCCACTTTTAATAGTGTGCTCTGTCAACTTTTCAAATTTTTATTGCAAACACACAAATTGATTTGAAACTGAAATTTACATTAAAATTTATCAATACACAATATAAATTTAATTGAATTTATACTTCTTAATCTCAAATTAAAACTTAATACAATATTTAAGAACTCTTATATACAATTAGTTAATGTCTTTTTAAAAAAATCTTCATATAAAAAGAAAATTTTACAGTACCCTTTATTCATGGATTTGCCAAAATATGTATTAATTTTCTTTAATTAGATTTATACACAAATAGTGATATATTTATTTAATATATTGTTAACGTTTTTATTGTCACTACATTTCTCTACTACAATATTAGATTATTCAGTAAAATACAATTACTTGAATATTCTGATTTTCTATAAATTTCCAATTGAATTGAAACTTCATCTTAAATATTTACTTTAAGGGTAATTCCAAGGAACAATTTTTCTACAAATTTGTCTCCAAATTGATTTTACATATTTAGACCGAATTTCAGAAAGTAAGCTTTTTTAAAAGATATGTAGAAAGTCGTAAGCTACGTAATTTTATACAAGTATACAAGTTAATTAGTAAATTATTTCAATTTCTTTGTCGTTACTTGGTAACGCTCAACAAAAAAAGATCAATTCTACAAACACTTACCCGAATAGACAAAGAACGTGCTCACTTTTGTGAGCACGTTAATGAGCATGCTCAAAATCATCATTTAACGTGCTCACCTGAGCACACTCAGTTGAACATGCTTGTGAGCACATTGTGAATATGCTCACAAAAAACAAATTTTTTGAAATTTTTTATTTTATTGAGCATGCTCGAGAGCATACTCAATTCCTAAATCTAAGCATGCTCACTTGAGTACACTCTTAAGCATACTCGTGAGCACATTGTGAATATGCGAATCCAGGTAAAATCCAAAATTTTGTTAAGTGTCTTTTTCAGATTATTAATGAACAAAATTTATTCTAGAACATTAAAAAACTCTACAACAGTAAAATATATCAAAAAAATAATTTCAAAATTTAATTTTTTTGAAAATTATAAAATAATGTGAGTACACTCAGTGAGCATGCTCAGAGTACACTCACGAGCACACTCACTGAGTATACTCAAATGTCACATCATATGACATAAAAAATGTTGCATGTCACACAACATGCTCAAAATTTGTTAAAATAACGTGCTCAGAGCATGCTTATAAAGCGTGCTCATTAGCGTAAAGTAGTGGCATCACTTTTCGTATGAAAGAGCACGCTCACGCGAGTATGCTCAGCACTAAATTTGAGCGCGCTCATAGCGTGCTATTTATCTATTCGGATTAGTTCAATTTTCTTATACTTCGGCTGCTTTTTATGATCAAAAAAGTATACAGAATGATAGATTATTGAACATTCTATCATAATCCGTCCATAATCTCTTAGTAAGCTCAAAAGTCTATAATTAAGCCAAAATTTGAATTCTATGGTTGTTACAAATATGTTACCAAGTAACGCGGAGAGATTTTCCACAGAAAAATGCAGAATTTTAAAATTTTCTTGTTGAATTTTGCCATGTATTTCTAAGCATCTAAACTTGTACAATATTGTCTGGAAATCATTATTAAATCATTTAAACTAAAGATATTTATAGATAAATAGTGAAATTAAGAATTTTTAATTTTCTTTCTAAATGACAAGTTTGTAAACAATGAAATGTTTCTATGGAATTACCCTTAACCGAATTGATTTCCTAAATCTATGATTCACTTATTGAGCTCATATAAGCATTTTGGCGTCTTAAATCAGATTTGATAAATGCAGTTATTATGCAACCAGCTAATAAAAATCCAACCATCACAATATTAGCAGTTATGTCTCCAAATGATTCTAGGATGTCCCCATAAAGGATTGTTAATAAAATACCAAATACTTGAGCACCTGCATTTAACAATCCACTACTTGTACCTTCAGATTCTGGGTATGTTATCTCGGCAGCAAATTCAAACCCAACTGGGAGATATCCTTTTGAAACAAATAAACGTATACTATCGTTAAAAATTAGATCTTATTTGAATTTTAAAAACCTGTCATAGCAAAACCAAGTAATGATGAAGTTATATATACGATGATGATTCCAGTACTCAAAGTTGCAGAGTAAATAATCATTCCAATTAATGATAAAATATAAACTGCTAAAGTTGTTTCTCTAAAAAAAAAAGAAAAGAATTTTGTATATTTATCAATGCACTCATAAAAAAATTAACATTTTAACTTCCACGCAAAATCGTGTAAGTGATTAGTTCACGAAAAACACACGTAAATGTGTGAGCCTGAAGGACTCATTTTCAAAAATCTCAAAGGGTACCAAAATGTGTGTATTAAGAGGCCGGATTTTTCTGTACATAAACTTTTACAATTGGACATCTTATATGCCTTCAAAACGCCAAAAAAACGTCTTTTTGAATTTTGAAAATTTTTTATTTGATGATTTTGAACAAATTTTCAAAATAAGCTTAAAATATCTGAAGGTTTAATTTTTTTGAAGTTCTCGAGATGATAACATAGCTTTCGCGAATAAAAAAAAAATCTAAAGAAATTAGAGTTTTAATATTTAATTATATTTTCCTGACTACTTTACTTAAAATTCAGTTTGAGATGTTTGTAACTTTTCAATGTCTGTGAAAGAATACTTTTCATGGGAGTTCTAGCTGTAAAATAATGATCTCAGTAATCCGAGAAAAACAATAAATCAGTTGAATATCTCGAACAAAAACATAAAGACGTGTTTCATTGAAAAATTAAAAATAAAACATGGCGCAGTCGTATTTAAGTATTGAAAAGTTGTTGGAATTGAATGGAAACGATTTTCAAAAGAATTCAACTATTATTTGGTAATCAACCAACTTGATGAGAAATCTGACAACATCAAACTCAATTTATTGACACTATTGATAGGATATAAGTCAGTGGATATCATCAATAATCTGCCGTTAACAGATCCAGAGAAGCAGAACTATGAAAAAGTGTTTGAGGCTCTCGAGAATCATTTTTCACTGTTATCAAATTTTTTAATTGAACGAATGAAATTACGTGGTCGAATTCAACAAGAAGGCGAATCTGTCGACAAGTTCATTAGTGACGTTCAAGCCGAAGCCGATAGCTGTGCATTTAATGAGTTCAAAGAAGAAGCCATTCGTGATCAAATAATTTTCGGTCTGCATAACAACAATTTGCGAGAAAAGCTCATTTTATCTGAAGAAAAGTCATTACGTGCGTTGATTAGCAAAATCAAAATTTTCTACTACAATCAACAATAATTGAATCAACTAGCATCAGACAGTGTTAAAGCGAATCAAATACCAGCATTTGACCAACGTGTTCTTCACAAACCGACGTCATATAAACGTGAAAATTCTCAAATTAAGAGCAAAAAATTTGAGAATTCAATAAGCAAAAAGAAGAAGGAGAAGGTCTGTGCAGATGATGAACGCAAAAGCAGTGAGTCTAATGTAGTAATCAATTGTGATGAACTAAAAGAACATGCAATAGGCAATGTTTGGAGTAAAAAATTACTCGTGCATGATGAAATGATCAATTTTAAGTTGGATACTGGATCGCAGGTTAATACTTTAAGCATAGATATGTTCAAAAGTTTAGGAAAGAAATTTAAGATTGAGAAAAGTAATTTAAAATTACAAGGATATTTTGGTGAAATCAATCACCCTTTAGGGAAGACGATTCTTCCAATTAATATCAATAATAATGTTTACCTTGAAGAATTCATAATCATTGATAAACATACGGTACCTTTATTAGGTTTAGAGACATGTGTAAATCTAAAACTTATATCTCGTATAGATTCCTTGCAATTAAATCAAATGTTGTGTTCAGAACAGCAAAAGAATAAGTTTTTAGATTTTTATAAAAAAGCTTTTACAGGTTTAGGCAAGTTTAATAGACCTCTTAAATTGAAATTAAAGGATAATGCAATTCCGGTAGCGAATCAGAATCGTCGAATTCCATTCAAGTTGAAGAATAAGCTTCAGAATAAATTAAATGAAATGGAAAAGATAGGAATTATTTCACGTGTCAATGAACAACGTGAATGGATTAATAGTATAGTAATTGTTGAAAAAGGAGACAAAATTAGAATTTGTATTGATCCAAAACATTTGAATCAAGCATTAAATAAGTTTCATTTTCCGATTCCATCCCTTGATGAATTAACGCAAGATTTGTAAGATTCTCAAAACTTTTTGGCACATAGAGTTTGACGAAGAATCCAAAAAATTGTGCACGTTTAGTTCTCCTTTTGGCTTGTGGCAATTTAATAGAATGCCTTTTGGTATAAACATTGCATCAGAAATCTTTCAAAAGTACATGACGGATACTTTTGGCGATTTACCTGGAGTCAAATTTTATATTGACGATATTATTGTTACTGGTAAAACGCTCAGAAAACATGATGAGAATTTAGGAAGATTAATGGTCAGGGCATTAAAGTCTGGTGTGAAATTCAATCAGAAGAAATTACAATTCACACAAAGTTCAGTAAAATTCTTTGGCCATATCTTTTCTAAGAATAAAGTAGATGTTGATCGAGAAAGGATTTCAGCAATTAATAGTATTAAAAATCCTAAAAATCTGGAAGACGTACAAAAGTTTTTAGGAATAGTTAATTATATAAGGGACTTCATTCCCAATTTACCTTCTTTAACAGTCAATACACGTAATTTGTTAAAGAAGGACAATGAATTTTTATGGCTTGATAATCATCAACATTTTCATCATGTACTACATTTGATGAAAATATGCCAATAATTTTAGAAACCGATGCCTCGTCATACGGTTTAGGTGCATGTTTAAAACAAGGAGATAAAATTATTAGCTTTGCTTCACGTTGTCTTTCTGAAACAGAAAAGAAGTACGGTCAGATTGAAAAAGAATTTTTAGCCGTTTTCTTTGCGTGCAAAAAGTTTCACAATTATATTTATGGAAGGAAAGTTACTATAATATCTGACCATCGTCCTTTAGAAAGTAAAATTAATAAAGATATTAGTAAGATAGGATCAAAACGCTTGCAGCGTATTCGATTAAAGTTACACAAATATGATTTAGATTTGAAGTACAAGCCCGGCAAAAGCATTCCAGTAGCAGATTACTTATCTCGATACGTTTCAAATAATTTGATAGCTGTAGATTTTGAAGAGAATTTCATGAAACAAATGATTCATTCAGTGAATATTAGTGATGATAAACTAAAAATCTATCAAGCTGAGACAGATAAAGATAAAGAATGCTCGTTGTTAAAGAAATACTTTGCTGAAGGTTGGCCGTCAGACAAATCAAAAGTACCTGATGAAATAAAATTCTTAGATAATTTGCGAAATGAAATTTATGTTTCGGATGATTTAGTATTTTATCAGGATAGAATAATAGTTCCCAAATCATTGAGAGAAAATGTTCTTAAAGAGCTTCATGAAGGTCACATGGGAATTACTAAAACCTTACGTTTCGCCAAAGAATCAGTTTATTGGCCTTCACTAAATGTTAGTATAGAGAATTTAATTAAGAGTTGCGAAGAGTGCAACAAGTTTCAGAAATCGAATAGAAAGGAACCAATAATTCAACACGAGATTACTCTTCGACCATTTGAGAAAGTCGGATGTGACATCCTTGAATACAGTGGAAAGAGTTATCTCGTTGTTATTGATTACTTTTCAAAATGGATTTCGTGTAAATATTTAAGTTCGAAGAATTCGAACGCTGTAATTTCTAAATACATTGAATAGAAGAATGAGAACTAAAATTATTATGAAAGATAGCTTGCTTGAACCAAAGTTAAATCACAAATTAGGTGAAAAATTCGAAAAGAAGCAAACTAAAACCAAAGTATATTACAATCGAAATTCATATAAACGTAATGAGTTCGATTTAAATCAGAAGGTGTGGGTACAATTGCCTGATAACACTTGGTCTAAAGGATCAATCGTTAAGAAATGTTCGGAGCCTAGTTCATATGAGATTTGTATGGATAATAATAGGGTTATTAGACGAAATTCTAAATTCATTCGAGCTGATAGGTCAACAGTATCCAATCAAATTGATCAAAAGAAATGCAATGAGTCTAGTCGATACAGAATCAATCTCGATAATTTCTTCGCTGACAACTCACTGCATGAACCTCCTCTGAATTCTAATGCAAATGCCGCATCTCCCGTTCATCACCAACCAACTGCAACCTCAACAGAGAGTAATTCGAACCAACAACCGTTCCGACGATCATCAAGAATTCCTAAACCAGTACAAAGATATGGGAATTGATAAGAGAAGGGAGATGTAAAATAATGATCTCAGTAATCCGAGAAAAACAATAAATCAGTTGAATATCTCGAACAAAAACATAAAGACGTGTTTAATTGAAAAATCAAAAATAAAACACTAGCTGGACAGCTCGTCCACTCCCCTTCCTACAGCTAAGACTTCCATAAAAAGTATCCTTTCACAGACATTGAAAGCATCTGTCAACGACTTAAAGATTTGATATTTTATTAGATTTCTCATCTTAAAAAAATTTGACGAAACACATAGTACTATAAGATGGGCCTCGACGTTTTTTAAGGATTTTAGCTTAACGGAAAAAAAATAATTTGAATTTTTCACTAACACTATCATACAAAACATCAAAAATTAAATTCTCAAAATTCTTAATTATTCAATCATTAATCTTAAATATTATGATTTGAATAGGAAAAGGAGATTATGCATTAGCTATTTCGACTATTTTAAGAGCTTTTAAATCATTAATGAGTGATGTTTTCGTGACTTTTCAAATTTCATTTCGATTTTGTTTGTAAACAAACTAATTACAACCGAAAAAATTCAAAAAAGTCAAAACCGTTAAAAAAATTTAACTCAATTTTGTCCATTTTGGTATGTTAATGTAGCAATTTTAAATTTTTTATAAACTCAAAAAGAACAGAATTAAATTTAGGACGTAAAAAAATACATTTGGAGAAATATCAATAAACTATATTGAAGATATAGCAAAATTCCCAAAAATTTTACGTGAGTGACGCTCAGTTAAAGTGATTTTTTCGAGTAACTGTAAATTTTCATGAAGTGAATTGTACAACAATAGATGGGGATTTTAATTCCCTTTTCAAAAAAGTAACTTTAATTTGTCACTTTTAAGGATAAGGAGATAATCAAGAATAACAAAGCGTCACTCACGTACAATTTTTTTGTGACGAGGCCCAGATAATATTCTTATTTGGCAACTTTTTTGTTATCTAACGTTAGTCAAGCGTAGAAGTTCGTGGCTTTCTGCGTAAGTCGTGTTTTTCATTGTTATTTCGTTGTAAACCAAACAGAATTAAAAAATTTTAATCTCAAAAAAGTTCTAGTCATTTGAGTGGATCAAAAAGTAAAAAACACGACTTACGTAGAAAGTCACTAGCTTCCGCGTTTGACTTATGTTAAATTACAGTTCTTATATACATATCACAAATATATAGAAATATATATATCATAAAACGAAAACTAGTGTATCGGGTAAAACAAGTGCACCAGAACAATTTTAATTTAAAAATTATGATTTTGGTATCAATCGATTCCTAAGAAGATGTAGATTATTTAAACCATCAGCTATTTTTTGTTTTAAGGCTTTAAAAAAAAGTTAAAGCAAATGTAGTGTTTGCATGGAAATTTCGCGAGAATCTTCCATAATTTCGGCCCTACTAGACGACAAGGGCTAAATTTTGACATATAAATCATTACTTTTGGATAATACGGTGGACCTGTAGGTTGGGTGACAAAATTTGACTGACATAAAGAAACACCTTCCGTGTTCCACGCGGAAGCTAAAATCAGAATTTTCACTCTTTTTCAACTCTAAATAGTTACAGAATCGTAGAAACAGCACCAAATGACTTCGAATTTGGCGCAAAAGTCTATTTTTACGTCTACTATAAGAAAAAAAATACCCTGAAGTCATAATTCAAAACTTTTCAAAAAATTGGTGAATGTCCGATTTTTTTTTATTCTGCCACATAGTGCTTATTATTGTTAAATTTTAAAATTTTGTTGTTGACAAAAAATTTTACAATGGTCATTGTTAAATTTAACAATTTCATGGTCAACGCTATTTTAATCATGACATTGTTAAAATTTTCATACAAAGTAACAATGCATTGTTAATTTTTTTTTATGAGTGTGTTGATATTGAATTTCACTTTATGAAATAATAAAAACTTACTTGAATTTATGAGTTTTATCTAAGACAATTCCACAACAAACGCTTCCAAGCATGCCAGCAACAATAATGCATAAACCAATTCGTCCTGCATCTTTTTCAGCACCGTCGTAATGAGTTAATACGATTTGATTTAACAAAGTGGAAATTGCATAGAATACACCAACTGTTCTTTTTTCAAGGAATAAACCCAATTAAGGAATTAGATGAAGGAAAATTAGATGTATTTAATTAAAACTTACCGTTTATACCATAAGAGATTAAAAGTAATATATAGTTCAAATTAAACGATAAATTTTTTATTGAATGAAAAAATGGAGACGAGTGATTGTTTTTTGGCCTCTCAGATAACAATGCACTTGCTGACGGAGGAGTAGGAGGTGCTTTTTGAAAAACTAACGAGACCAATTAGGTTGTGCAAAAAAAGAATTAATTTCTTAATAAACGTCCCCAGCATGATCATTAGTAATTATGTAATTTAATTCTATTACTTACATATGCAAATTAGGACAGCAAGAACTGTTGTAAAAGCAGCTACTAAATAAAACATAAACTGCAAATCATTTCCAATTTGATTCATGTCATCACTATTTTTGACTATAATAGATGGAAAAAGAAAACCTATTGCGATACCAAGCTAATAAGAAAAATAAATAAATATTCTAATTTGTAATATTTTTAATTTTAAAAGACATAAATCTTTGACTTAGTTTCAAAATTTTAAATTGCTTTTTGTTTTTTTTTTAATAAAAATGTAAATACCTGATTTCCAAAAACACCAATACTGCAAGCAGATGAAACTTGATTAGGACCAAACCACACAGCAGCCAATTTAGCAGGTAAAGAAAGAATAAAAACTTGTGATGCAGCAACAATTGACTGACCAATAAATGCTACATAGAACAGATCTGGATTTACGCCTAAAATTTTAATCCAAGCGCCCAAGCAGGTACCCAAACAACCGAAAATTGCAGCCGTACGTAACCCCTATGTATTATATATATTATCATACAAATATGTAAAATTTAGGTAAGTTATATTTTACCAATTTATCTAGGACCCAGCTGCCAGGAAAAACAAGTAATATATATAAAAACATATAAATCATTGATGTCCATGAAACCCATGTTGAAGAAACATTATAATACCTAGAAAGAATTTTTTAAAAAAATTTAAATCGAACTTGGACCATCTTAAAGGTAGGAGTTCTTTAAAAAGTCAATCAGATAATGAAAAGTATACTTGCTTCTGAATAATATTTGCAATAATGGAAAATTGTATCCATTGCATAGAATTTGATGCTGAGTAAAAAACAAAGAGGATTAATATAGCCCAACGCCGACTGTACACAACGAAATCTCCTAAAACAGATATTCAATTGAATTAAAATAATTTTTTCCTAATTCAAATTGCAAACCTAATGGTTTTCTAGCCTCATCATCATTATTATCATCAGTCTCTGGTTTCATTAGATCAGATGATTTGCTATTTGGTATGAACGAATCCATTGTATATTCGTAGTGTCTATGTTCTAACTCTTTTGTCTCTTCCATTATTTTATCCAACAAAATCAATAAAGAAATTCAAAGACGTTGATTATAAAAGCAACTTTGAAAACTGTTGCAGATCTCCACGTTTCCATAGATATTTAAAAGTTCTTTATTGTCTGCGTTTATATGCTGTATGTATGTATTTTGAATTCGTTGATACAGCATGTACGCTTGATACTGTATGTATGTATCTTGAAGGCTCATTAACTGTTGTTACGATATATTACAAACCTCCTCAAACTCGGACCCACCTTACTTCACACATCAGCTCCACCTGACACGCACCTTGTTACCACCCCCAAATTATTAGCTTCACACGACTTCATTAATGGCATCACATGGCTTCCTTTCTAGAGTCAGTCAAGGAATTGAGCTTTTATTGGGCAAACATTTAGATTTGAGATCTCATCAACCACACATCGTAGAGAGTTCGTGTTTATTTAATAGCTCAATTCCATTGAGTTATTTGCCTCCCGGATGGCTAAAATTCTTGAAACAGTGTTTTTGTACTATAATTAATGATTATTTTCATTCGAAAAACACGTGATGAGTGCGTTTAAAAAAATTGGAATTTTTCTACCGTTATAAAAAAAATGGTTGCAACTTCGCTTTGGATCTTCCATCAAACTTTCTGAGAATAATTTTAATAATAAAAATTATACATTAAATTACAACTCCTTTTTCCGAGAGAAAACAAGATGCAATAATTATTTTAATTTGATCATTCTGTCTTGAGATATGGGCTTTCAAACTTCTTGACGAGTTGAGATTCTTTACACAAATGGTCAACTTTTTGATACATAAAGGAATTAAACATATTATATATCAAAATACATGTTCTTTTTCCGAGAAGATACGAGAAGTAAAGTTGAATCTGAAATAGTTTAGATACTTTTCACATGGCTTTTCCTTGCTTTTTCAAGTAATAAATAAATAAACTTTAAAACAATTCCAATCTCAAAATAATCTTGAAGATTGAGATTTTAACTTAGCTGTGTTGAATAATTAAGTTATGTATATATATATATATATATATATATATATATATATATATATATATATATATATATATATATTGATCGTGGCAATCTGATTATTATTGTAAATATTGTTATCGTGAAAAGAAGTTTATTTAAAGTAAAAAATTTCATTTTGCTATTCTGTAAGGATTAAAATAAATAATACATTATTTTAATTATCCAAGAGGTTATGGGCTTTATCGCAATGAAGTTTGAAGAAGAAGAATCTACCATGTGCGAGCGATTGAACTGCAAGAATTGTCGTGTCTGGGCACTTCGAATGAAGATGATTTTGATCAAGGAAGATCTATGGGATATCATAGTTCCAGAAAGTTCAAAGCCAGAGGATGCAGTTAGAAGCTTGAAAGCATTTGCACATATTGTTTTGATGGTTGATAATGATCAACTGGTACATATTTCGGATGCGAAAAGAGGAAAGGAAGAATGGGATTCATTGAAGAATTTTCATTACAACGATTCAGCTGGACATGAGATTAAACTTTATAAGCAACTGTTCAAGACTGAATTATCATTGGGTGGTGACATGCAGAAACATTTGCAAAAATTGTTTGAAATTTTGCAAAACATCAAGGAATGTGGTGATCATCTTGAAGAAGCATTTAACAGTTCAAAATGTCAAGCTGAAACTCATCGATGAATGGGAAAGGCGGTATAAAAATGTAAGAAAAGGATCTTATGTGTTTTGTATCAATAGAACTGAAATTAATCCAAAGAAGCACATCAAGTGTCATCAGTGCAAACGAGAAGGACATATCAAGCGGAATTGTCCAATGTTGAAGAATGAAACCGTCAAAATGGCAAATTTCAGTGGAGGGCGCAGAAATTGTTACGATCCTAAAGACTCTCAGTGGTGTATGGACTCTGGTGCTTCGTCTCATATGACCTACAGTAAGTCGTTTTTCCTTAATTTTGATGAAAATTTTTTGGGTACGGTTACGGTTGCTAATGGCGAGAAGGTTGAGTACATAGGACGAGGGGATGTTCGTATGAATGTATTTGTAGAAAACAAAAGCATTAGTGTAGATCTGACTGACGTACTTCTGGTGCCATGCATTGACAGTAATTTGATTTCTGTCTCAAAGCTCTGTAATAATGGCTATAAAACTGTTTTTGATTCAGCTGGTTGTTACTTTAAAGTAGAAGGTGTGGAACAATTGCAGATTGCTGAGAAATCAGGCGATTTGTATGTTGAAGAGCTGAAGTCGAAAGATCATGTTTGGTTAACGGCAGAGTGGATAGATGCTGTGTACATGAATGGCATCGTAAACTAGCTCATAGAAATTTGCATGATATACTCGCGATGAGGGATAAAGGTTTGAAGATTGCCGATTGTGATTGCACAAATGTGTGTGAATCATGCATTGTAGAGAAAATTTCTAGAAATACATTTCCAAAGAAGGCAACACCTGTTGAAAATACACTTGACTGTATAGTCAGTGATATTTTTGGCCCTATGCCAACTACCTAAGTTGTAGGATTTCGATATTTTGCAGCATTCACGGATGTTTATTCGAAATGTACGGCAGTATATCTTTTGAAGGCAAAGAGCGAAGTGCAGCCAAAAATCATAGAGTATTTTGAACTGTTGAAAAATACGTTCGGTCGAAAAATTAAAATGTTCCGTACGGATCGAGGGAAGTTCAGAAGTATTTACGTTTAGAGGGAATTCGATTTCAATGTTGCAATGTGGCTTAATTTCAATGTGGCTTACTCACCAGAGCAAAACGGTATTTCCGAGAGAAAGAATAGGACTTTAGTTGAGGCATGTAGGACGATGCTTACTGAGTCAGGGATGTCACGAGAGTACTGGGATGAAGCCATAATGAATGCGAATTACTCATTGAATCGTGTTTTGAGCAAAGATGATTCAAAGTCTCCGTATGAGAAGTTCTTTGACAAGAAGCCAGATTTCTCAAATTTTAAAGAATTTGGAGTTAGTGCTTATATGATGATTCCTCATCAAAAGAGAAAGAAGTTAGATCACAAGGCAGAAAAGTTAGCGTTCGTAGGATATGACGGATGGTCGAAAGCATATCGAAATGTGAAACAACGGAGTTGTGTCACGTGATGTTGTGTTTCTAAAAGAAAAGTTCATGAAGATAAATCAGAATTCATCTCATGAAAAGAAGAGAAGTAGCGGTGATTTGGTGCCGTTCCCGTTTTCGTATGGTTCTACAATTGATGTTCAAACATTCAATGATTCCGAATTGTTTTATGATGCTGAAGAGTCTCAAGATGAAAGTGAGGTAGAAGAGCATGAAGAAGAGACAGATCAAGTACATATTTAACTTGGAGAATTTGAGAATGACCAAAGTCAGGAAATCATTGTTGATTATAATTTAATGAATGATCAGAACGTTTCGGTTCAGGAGGAGAACGGAAGAAGTGATCAAATCAGAGTATCAAGTAGAAGAAATAAAGGTCAAAAACCAGAACTTCTTGGTGATTTTGTTACTTATTCATAAAGAGTTGATTTTGAGCCTAAAACACTCAAACAGGCTATGAGTTGTGTTGATGCTGATAAGTGGAAAAAAGCTATGGAAAACGAGATTAAGTCCATTAATCAAAATAAAACCTAGGATCTTGTGAAATTGCCAAAGAATAAACGTGCAATAGGTTGTAAATGGGTTTACAAGCTTAAGCGAGATGATAATGGCCAGGTGTGTTCATATAAAGCAAGATTGGCTGCTCAAGGATTTTGTCAGAAGTATAGTGAATATTGTGATGAAATGTTTGCACCAGTAGCTCGATCAGCAACATTTAGGATTCTCATGTCGATAGCTGGTGTTAATAATTATCATGTGAAGCAGTTTGATATTAAGACTGCATTCTTGAATGGTGATATCGACGAGGAGATATATATAAAGCAACCACCTGGATTTGAGAAGGTAAATGATGCTTGTAAGTTAAGAAAAAGCTTTTATGGTTTGAAACAAGCAGTAAGAGCATGGAATAAAATTTATCATGAAGCAGTGATTAGTTTTGGATTTAAGCAAAGCGAAGTTGATAAATGTCTGTATAGCATGAAGAAAGGAAATGATACTTGCTATATGATTGTTCACGTCGATGACATTCTAGTCGCATCGAATAATGAAAAACTGGTAGAACAATATGGGAAGTGTAAAGCACTTTTTAGGAATTGATGTGAAACGTGATAAAAATGGAAATTTTCATATAAGTCAGAAACAATACATTGAGAAGATTGTCAAAATATCCTTTGATGACTGGCTATTTTAGGCATCATGATGAGAATTATTTAGAATCAAATAATGAGTTTAGAAAACTCATTGGTAAACTGTTGTATGTAAGCACAAATACAAGACCTGATATCGCTGCATCTGTTGGAATATTGAGTCAAAAGATTTCAAAACCAACAAAGACTGATTTCATAGAAGCGAAAAGAATTATTCGCTATTTGAATGGTACCAAGAATCTAAGTTTGATGTTAAGTGATAATAAGAAAGTTGGAGAATTGAAAGTTTATTCTGATGCAAGCTGGGCTGAAGATTCGTTGGACCGAAAATCTATCAGTGGTTTTCTTTGTGGAATTAATGGAGGTGTTGTTTCATGGTGCAGCAGAAAACAAGACGTAGTATCGTTATCATCAATGGAAGCTGAATACATCGCATGCTCAGAAAGTTGCAAAGAGCTAAAATGGGTTAAAATATTGACCAATTCTTTTTCTAAGTTTGTCGTTCCAGATAAAACTACACTGTATACAGATAGTCAGAGTAGTATGAAACGGATATCAAATCAGAAATTCAGCAACAGAAGCAAGCACATTGATACTAAACACCATTATGTGAAACAATTGGTTGATTCAGGAGAGCCACTATGGGGCAAAATTGAAAAAAGGGACTTTCACTTCGAAAAAGGCAATGTTTCGAATTACGATCTCAAGTGAATTTTTTCTTGTATAACACATAAAAATAGATTTCTATGTCAAATTTCAGGTCATTTGGTGCTTTTTTTGCGAATCTGTGTTATTTTTATGTCCTATACAAGAAAAAATTCACTTTAGATCGTAATTCGAAACATTGCCTTTTTCGAAGTGAAAGTCCCTTTTTTTCAATTTTGCCTCATAGTGCTTTTTTCAACACTTTGAAAAGAAAACTAAGTTAAAAAGAAATCCTAAATTATTTGGCAAAAACATGATGATGATGGGTTCCTATTGCTCCACTATGAAGCGTAGGCAAAAACATGCTGATTATTAATATTTTACACTTTAATATTAACAAGATTTGTGAGAAACTCTAAAGATATCTTGATCCCGTAATACCGGAATTGGAGCTTTTCTAATCCCGGGATTGCGATATTGGAAAATAGGTCCGGACCCCGGGATCCCGGTATTGAAATCCCTACTTACAAATAAAATGAAATACAAACCAAAAAAAAAAGCTCTTATGAGCACGATTTTGATCTAGATCTTGCTTATACTTAGATCTAGAAAATACGACTTACTTTTGTAAGACTCTTATTAAGCAAACTCAAAATCACGATCTAAGAAAATAATAATCATAAGCATGATTCTTGAACTAGATCTAAAGTAGGTAGACAACCGACTAAAACTTTTTTATTTTGCTTATATTTCCTTAAAGAAGCATTTTAAGTATGAAGTATTGCATGTTTTTGAAAATGTATTGAAATTTTCAGTAAAACGACATAAAAGTCGGAAATCTTCTCGGAAAAAGAACATGTATTTTGATATATAATATGTTAAATTACTTTGTGTATCAAAAAGTTGACCATTTGTATGAAAAATCTAAACTCGTCGAGAAGTTTGAAAGCCCATATCTCAAGACAGAATGATCAAATTAAAATAATTATTGCATCTTGTTTTCTCTCGGAAAAAGTAGTTGTAATTTAATGTATAATTTTTATTATTAAAATTATTCTCAGAAATTTGATATGGAAGATCCAATTTAAATTCGTTTAAAAAAATTGGAAGTGCCATATCTCAAAATCTAAAAGTTTAATTGAAAATTTTTTTGCTCTCCATTTCTCTCGGAAAAAGCAGATATATTTTAATATATAATTTATAAAATTTGGATGATTTTTGAAAAAGTCACGTCAGCAGTAAAAATCGATATTAGACGAGTTTGGGCATCTCCAGATCTCAGAAACAATGAGGTCTCAAAAAATTTTAACTTAATCTCGGTTTCTCTCGGAATACTCTCGAAAACTGGTAAAGTTTCAGATGTCCAATCGACACTATCCATTTTTACTTCTCTCACACAGGTGCCACGTTTAAGGGGTTTTGTGAAGTCATGTGAAGTTTTGTGAAACAATTTATAAAATTTTTGTGGGATTAAGGGGGTCCGAGGTTAATGGGTTTTGAGAAGCCATGAAGTTTTGTGGTAGGGTTGACCTTAAAAACATTACAGTTATTTACAAAATAGTAATCAAATTCAAACCCTGACAGGTAAAATTCAAGAAAAAAATATTTAATTTCGGGCGAAAATCAAAAACAGAAAAAAATCTGTTTTTGCAACCTGTTTTCCGTTAAAAGATTTTTGTCTAAAAACAGCTGTTTTCTGTTAACAGGTTCCCCAAACTATATTCCAGTCGTTTTGGAAAAAGAAAAATCATAGTCAAAATTTAAGAAAAGTTGATCCAGCTGTTTTAATGTATCTAAGCTATAAACACCATCTGTATTTACAGCTGTATGTCATTTAAGCCCAATAAACTACAGCTGTAATTTACTGTTACAATTTATTTCTACGTAAGATCATATGTAATCTCCAGCTGTAATTTAATGCTAAATAGTAAAGGGGTTCTAAAGTACCACTTTTTAAATTTTTTTTATTATCTGTTTGAAATAACGCTCTCTTATACGTTTAGTTTAAAGTTTGAACAAGCTCCCACAATAGAGTATCGTAATTGCGGATATGTGAATTAATTTATCTGATACTTAAAGTGGACGTGAGTTAAGAGAATATGTGAATCGTGCTTTTGTATTAAATGATTAGGTTCAATATAAACTTTTCTTTTTTTTTTTTAATCAAACATTCACTCTCATTTTTTGTTTGAAAATATATGCTTGACAACTTTTTCACATTTCATTGTAATTTAGTTGTTGTGTTTTTTTTTATTTATCTTTAATAAATAAAATCATTAGTAATAAGCGAGGTTTTTAAAAAAATGAAAATCAATAAACTTTTACTTTCTTTCATTCACAAATTATAATTTTTTGAATCACAAGACTTTAAATTAACTTTGCATTTAATGATAAACTATAAATTTAGCTTTAAAAGTATCCAACAAACAAATTATAAAGTTTGCAAAACTCAAAAATTTGAATGAATGAACTCAAGTAGAGTCAATATAACACTGAAACATATGATGAAAATTTTCATAAAATAATTCACTCCATCCATGTTTTCATGATTCAAAGCATTCACAAGGAGCATAATAGAAACGTTGAAACATCGTTTCTGTGAAAATCCATTATGTAGCATTCAGCATCCTTTTTTACGTCTGTTTTTTATTTCGCATTTACTTTTAGTTGTTAACCATTTAGCCATTTACTGTAGTTTATTATTCAAATTTTAAAATGAGGAAAGCAATTTTTAAAAATTTATGTTAAAAGCTTTTTTCTTTTGCTTAAACAACATTCATAATTTTATGTTGTTTTGATGCGTATTCTTATTTTAAAAAATAACAAAACGCTTTATAATGTGTTTGTAAAATACGATTTTCTTAAAATACTACATATATTCTTGAAACAGCTATTATTTCAATATCAATTACACTTCACAAATTAGTGGCAATAGAAAGTTACGATTAAAATTTGTTAAAATTAGTTAATCAATATCGTACGAACTGTTTACACAGTAATTACGAGCATTATTTACAGTACAATCAGCACTTAAGAACTGAAAAGGTTTTCGAATAATTACAGTTTCATAAAGCACTACGATAACACATTCGAATTATCAATGTGAAAATGGTGAAAAAAATCATTTCAAATAGTGATAAAATAAGATTAAATATGTATTGTGTTTTATTGTAATCTCTCTTTAAAAAGTGGAATAACAATAACTAAAATTTGAAATTTTTATAATGATGATGTTTAGAGTTTTTGGATTTTCATTGATTGATTGTAGTATGAGAGAGAACAAATCTCTAAGGATAATAAATTTAATTTGGATAATTGGTTGTTCATGCATATTTTTATTTATTATCTTTCCAAAATATTTATTGACAGAAGATCTTAAAAGCATGTCAAAGATAATTGAGGGAGCAAACCACGTGTTAGTAGTATTTACACATCTTGTCATCCTTTTAACTTCTAGAATAGCAATCAACTATTCTATTTTATGTTATCAAAAATTAAAAGCAGCAAGAGAAATTATTGACGAAAATTTAAACTTTGTCTTGAATTCTGACTATAATTATTCTTCATATATTATCATAGCGATTTTGTGTATAGGGTTCTCTGCTTTTTGTAATTTGTTTAGTTTATATTATTCGGTTAAATATGAAAACACAAACTTAATCATTTCATTGCACTATCATTGCATTAAGTTATTAGTAAATGTCAGATACATTCAAAATTTTGTAATGCTTGATTATTGTAGACAAAATATAGAAACCATTACAAAAATAATTCAAAATATTATTGGACAAAGAAAACAGAATTTTAAACTTGTATTGTCGAAATATCAAATTGAAGTAGGTAAAAAATTTACCAAAAATTTATTTGATGTTAACTCTATTTTAATTTTCAAAAAACTTCATTGTATAATATATGAATCTATGAAAATTTTAGAAGCGTGTTTTGGATGGTCACTTATTATTATGGTATCATACACATTTATTGATCTTATTTCAAACTTTTATTGGTTTTTTGTTGGATTTCTAAAAATAAATGAAAATGTCAATAAAGTTGACTGTTTATTAAAAATATTTGGTTCTGTTATAAATGTGATATGTTTAATTTTTTCATCATATAAAACTGAAATTGAAAGTCTGGAACAAATTAATTTGGCTCTTAAATTGCAACAATCTGATAAAAATGAATATACAACCTTAACAAAAGAATTCTTAATTCAAATGTACAATGAGAAAATAGAATATTCTGCCAATGACTTTTTCATTGTAGATTTCAAATTATTTTTTGGAGTGAGTATTGTTTTTATCACTTAAAAAAGTATATGTCTCTGAAATGTGGCAAAAAGGTTTTGAGTTAATAGTTCAAAATTATTTCAGATTTTAGACATATTTTCTAAAAACTAAAATTTTAGACATTTTTTGCCATACTTTGAGAGTTTTCTGTGCCAATTTTTTTAAAAACTTTTTGACTCGATCACCAGAAAATCAAACGATGACTTAAATCAGGAAAAAAAATTTCTAAAATATCAAATAAATATGTTTTAGTTTTGAAATAGTTTTTAACTCTCAACTTGATATCTCTCTGCCACACTTCAGAGACACAAAATGTATTTTAACTTTTTAAAAATGTATCATTCACTTTCGCGGTTAAAAAAAAATCTTATAACTTTTACGATGTTCTTTTTGTCTTTTTCTCCTCCAGTTGATGAATTCTATAGTAACATTTATGGTTATTTTAATTCAAATTGCATCAAGTTAAGATACTAAAACTTTTTATTATGCTCATTGCATTCTACTGATCCACGAATAACTAGAGAATTGAACCAAATAAAACTTTCAAAAATCTTCAGTGCGGAAGGAAGCTACCTCGAAATCTCATCTAATCCTGAAATGATTTATCTGTAATATAATAATTTATGTGTAACTTTCTTAAAATAAACGTAATTTAAGATTTTAGATCACATTTATTTTCATTCTCACATACATAGGTTTATTTTTGTGAACAGATTCTTTTTAATAAATTATAAATCAACAGAAAATAAAATATTTAATAACAATAATGTTTTAAGTTGTAATAATAAAAATAATTTTAGAAAAATTTATTGTATAATTTTCATTATGTCTTTGTCTGCTTTAAGCATATTTGACATTAATTCTATCATAATTCTATATAAACTATTATGCAAAGTAAAATTTTAATTTTTTAAATGTGTTCAAATAATAAATTCTATAATTATTCTAAGCTAATCACATAGAATAAACTTATATCATGATCTGTATTCAATTGTTAAAAACTATAAGAAAAGCATAAAATAAAATATTAAAAAGTGTCATTAGCGACTCATTTTGACGATTGTGACATTTTTTCTAGAAAATCTAATGATAAAACATTTTCTATATCTGACAGAATAGTCTTTAAATCATTTTCGTCATTAAACAAATTTTGTGAACTTGGTAATCTAATACAAAGCGTTGAAAAAAATCCATAAAGATCTTGAAGACTATTGATGGACTGACAAGTTAAAGTCAATCGGGATCCATTGATTTCCAAATTGTTTGTCTAATTAAAATAAAATTAATAAAAACTTTATGAAATACCCAAAAATTCGAACGATCGATTTAATAAACGCATAAGTTTTTAAAAAAAATATCAGGCAATTAAATATTAGACTTCTTACGTTTGATTGAAAATCATATCGAAAATCCATTAAATGCGCAATTCTTGTAATATGTGGGATGAATTTATAAAACTGTGGAAGTTCTTTTTCTAATTCTGACACTACATCAATTTGGTCATGCTGACTTCCTACAAATGCCCATCGATACATTTGAAAATGGGGTAGTGATGATGCAGGAAGCACACATCCTAGTTCAAGCAACTTCGCAGTTTCAAGTTGCACCATTCGCCAAGATGAATGGTTTTGTGTATTTAATCCATTATTTGTGTTTGTAATCCAAGCTGTATCCAATCCACTCAGCATTCTTATATGTTGACTGATATAGTAAAAACATCATTATTTATATTAATCAATCAAAAACTTACAAAAATTAAAATGCGATTTATTAAATTCTAACGATTTTAAAGTAATGAAAAAATGAATATGAATCATTACCTCGATTGGGTCCTAAGATTTCGGTAATATGATGAAAAGTAAATAGTTTTATGATATTGAGTGTAAAAAAATTTTTTAAATGAATTGAATGAATATATTATATTACCTAAATTCTTCCGTATCTGTCATTAGTTCTTGCTCAATAGATAAGAAAACTTGTACCATTTCAGCAATAATAGTTGGCCATAAAGAAGTCACGTGATCTGGTGACATTCTTAGCAATATTACTCTAAAGCACAGCAAAACGGCAGCTTGAACGCATGATATAACTTGTGGTAGCCTTAAGCATGATGATAATTGTTCTATTATTAAGGAGAGGAAAAAAAAAACAAATATTACAATTTAAAATAAATTGATTTTGCTTGATTAAAAAAATTGTGATTTATTCACCTTGAATCTCTGGCATGTATTTTTGATATTGATCCTTCTCACTACAATAAATGACAAATGCAAGTTTTTTCAATAAAATAGCTTTTTGCTCATATTCTTGTTCTTTAGAAGTAAAAATACTCAAACTTCCTGTTTGAGCAACAGATAGCCGGCCTATTTTTTAAAAGTAAGTAATCGAATAAACAGATTAATAATAATACAATAACTTCCATCATAAAAAAAACATTAAAAACTTACTCATTAGTTCTCTAAATGTTATGTTGTCATAGCTCATAAGATTATCAAGAATTTGTTTCCAAAATGGTAAGCAAGATACGTCCATTTGAAAGAAAGCAGGATCAAGAAATAGATCAAAAACATCTTTTCTCCAAGCTTTGCGGGTATATTGATAAGGTGTTAATGTAGATAGTAAATTCGAACATGCATAGAAGAATGGTATATTTTTGGTTGTATGGTTTTTCAGGTACGGTATAATATTATACATGAGCGTAGTGACAATTTGCGTGATCTTGTCTTTTTCTTGTGAGCCAAAAGCATAATCTAAAACATTTACTAATATATACCCTAGCAATGATTGTGCTTCCACAGAATATTGCTGATTTCCACTCGTAGGAGTTAAATTTCCATCTCTAAACTCATCAGTCATTTCCTCTTTTACAGCTAAATTTCTCCGAAGCCATGTTGTCTGTTCTAAACATGCTCCTGCTATTGCACTTAGTGCCTCAACTAATCTTGTTGTTATATCATGTAACTCACGAATATCTTTTTTGTCTTTTCTCTCATATGGTGAGCACACTTTCACAAGCTCATGTAAAATACAAAAAATCATAAATTGTGCACGTGGGGAAAGACTAATTGAATCTTTAAATAGATTCATAAGAGATATCCATGAGTCATTCAAGTTTTCACTTTTAATGTTTTTCATTAATGCATAAAAGAATTCGAGAACACTAACACTCAATACAATATCATCTGGAGGTCTATAAATTTGCGGTGGTGATTTAATTACACTATTTATTGTTTGTACCAATGAATCAAATGGGATAACTTTCATGTGTAAAATCATATCAACTAATGATGCTTGCGTAGGATTGGCAGGATCTTGAAACTTGAATTGGTTTTTACCCAATTTCTTATCAGATCGTTCATGCCAAACTACCGCAATACTGGCAATAAAATTGCAGCCATGATGTAAAGCTATTGGAGTGATATATTCCATCAATTGCTGTTTAACTAATCTATCTTGACCCAATTTAGTTTCCCATAAAATAACCATACTAGATATGATTCTCGGTAAATGACTAAGTACGCACATTCTTGTAGCATTGTGTTGAAGTTGGTGCTTACTATACGCTTCACCTAATTGTAATGGAGATGTTGACAGAAAAAAATTCAGGATATTGTTGTAAATTTGTCCATAGCCAGATGGTTGTAATGTTAACGCAATATTTTGAGGATTGAATAGATGTGATAATGAGACTTGCTGATTATTATCCAACAAGCAGAAGTGACAAATTACAGTAAGTGCTTCCAGTTGAGATATACAATAGTCTGAATTATTTTGATTACAACTTGAAGATTTTATAATATTATCAATATTTTCACAAAGCTGATGTGTTATGCTTACTATAATATTTGACAATGATTCATACGAAACATAGTTTAATGTTGATGTAACAAGTTCTGTCCAATTTTTATGGAGATGTTTTAAATTTTCAGAAACCAGTGCGTTAAGAATAGATGTCAAAAACATTGGCTGTTGAGTTATTGTCAAGTTTTGAATATATTTTACATTGTTTGATGTTTTGGAAATTGGTCGAGGTCTAGTAGGTGACTGAGATAACATTGCAGATATTGAAGAAGTTACTTTTGAAACTAGATTTCCTGTTGCATCTTGATCTCCTTTTTGCACTATTGTCTCATATTCTAGTTTTATAACGTCATCTAACAATTTGAGTAACTGAATTTGTATTGCTTCAAGGTGCATTTTTTCATCGCCAGGATCATTGAATTTTAAAATTTTTTCAGATGATGTTGTTATGACCTTTGTAGTCAAATAATGAATAGATGTAAGCACACAGTGTAACACAACTTTTTGTACTTTACATTTTATCATTAAATCTGCAATATAGCTTGCTAATCCTTTTCCCATTTCTTTTACTATTGGTATTAACTCGTTAAATATTATGTGGAGCAATTCAATTGCCGCCAACTGTATTTTACAATTTGCTAAAATTTCGGCTCTCGTAGGTTTATCATTATTACGAATATTATAAACATCTTCATCTTCCTTCTCGCTTTCAGAATTTCCTCCTAAAGACTCATCACATTGAAAGTAGCTTCTCGCATAATACAAACATATAGTTATTAAAACTTCTATATACATGACTCCTTTATAAGCACTATTAAATTCAGTATTAGTTAACGATCCATCAAAACCTTTTCCAAAAATGCTTTTTCGATGACGAATCAACAAATGCTTTATTGTACTGTCTGATACACATGTGTTGATTGATAAGCATATAAAAAGTTTTGAATTCCCAGCCATTATAATATTTCTGAGCGTTTCGATGCAATACAAGATTTGTTTAGTATCGTAACATGAGTAATATAACAACAAGTGTGTATGAAATGGGTGAAATTTCTCTAGTTTTGTTTGAAAAAATCCATCAAATTCGTCAAAATTCTTTTTTAATATTTCGACATTTGCTTTACCCTTCTCCAATGCTTTGCTAGACATTTTCTTGTTGATTTTTAATTTTTTTTTTGCGGTAATGTTTTTCTTTGAATCACTTATAGTTTGATCTATTTGTATTTCACCATCTTCTTTATGGACTTTTTCTTTTGTGTCAGCATTTTCAAAATTTTGACAATTATTTTCGTTTTGTTGAGAATTAATGCCTTTTCTCTTTGAAGTACATTCTGATATTCTTATTTCACTTTCAAGGTCGTTTTTTGATTCTTCTGCATTATTTTCAAGATAATTAATTGAGAAATATTCATCTGCTGCAGTCCCAGATTCATCATAGCATAATTGATGTTTTTCATTTTTTATTAGTTTCAAGCATTTATCATTTATATTTATTTCATCATCTGATATTTCATGATCACTAATAGACTCAGCAGACGAAGTTGAAGAATAATCTGATGATGATTCAATAGTAAATTTCTTTTCATCTTTATTGACTAAAAACGAAGGGCCGCTCTTATTAACGAAAATCTTTTTGTCTTGTTGTTGTTCTAAAGGATTCACAAACAATTCCATATTTTCAAATTCATTTTCAGAATTATCATTTTGGTTGTTAGAGTTCATTGCCGGTAGTAATCCTTTTTCACGCATCTTATCTCCAATATTTGAACTTTTAGTAGCAATATTAAGAATTTTTTTTGGAATTCCAATATGTCCTTTCTTTTTTGTTAGTTCTAAATGATTCCTTACAACACCATCTTCCATTTTAATTACATACATTTCATTTTCCTTTGAGTCACTGTTATTTTTCTGTACATCGTCCATATTTTTATTCTCATCGAAAATTTGCTCATTCATTTTCTTATTATTTTTCACTTTTAACAAATGTGTATTTGATATACTTATTCGCTTTGTGTTCTTATTCAACATTATTCTTAATAATGGTTTCATTAACCTTTCCAAATCTCCTCGTAACAATGCTTCCTTTAACCACTTTATAATAAATGTTCTAATTGATGAATTATGTGATAATCCCAAATCATCATACATCTTTAATGCGATTTTATCAAAACTTTCCTTTTGTTCTCTTCCAAGATGCCATAATAACTCAAATTTTTTGAATCCAATATATTGTTTTTCTGTCAATTGACTATTACAATTTGTTGCTGACATATCAGGTAAATTCAACATGATTTTTAAGTTACTCAACCTTTCTAATTTATATTTGCTTAATCCATCGTTATTTTCCTCTAAATCAGAATCATTAATTTCTGAAAATGACCAAAATAGATGAGAATTTCCAATCCTTTCACTAATGATTTTTTCCACAATTCCACTGTCCAGGCAGCCATGAATTCGATATAAAAGCAAAGATATTTGGGACATATCTGAATCGGATAATATATCTAAATGATCCCAAAGTGTGGAAACTAAAACTTGAAATATTCTCGTCTGATTTTCCATATACACAACGTGGCTGTATTTTAATAACGGTAGCATCACAAGATGTTGAACATCTCTACTTGGTTTCTTCTCTTTTTGAAATTTCACTATCTCAATTAGCTCAAAAAGCGTTGATATACAAAGAATTTGCAAATCTTTGTCCCCCTTTGAAAATGCTGCAATTAGTGATAAAACTTTCAACCAGTATGGTAGCTCTTTTTCTTCTTCATGTTCTAAAGGATAACATGATTGATCATAATTTGGAATTGTAGAAAAAGTTACCAAAAGTTGCGTGATATATTTTATTGCCCTTTTAGTTGAAAGGTCTAATTTACACGCAATCATTTTGTTTAAAATTTTTAAATTTTCATTAGTTTTTGATTTATTCTTGCCTTTCTCTAGATCTTTATCTGATTCTACATCAATTGTTTGATTCAAAAGATTCTGAAGCGTGTGTTCTCGTGAAACTTTGTTAAGTTTCAAAGTTAAAAATAGCTCATCAATTTTTTGAAGTGTATTATTGCTAACATTTTCAATTAGATTATCATCAAAGTAATAACCTGTATTGTTGAAATCACTTTCATTATTATTAGTCACTTCTTTAATGTTTGTATCATTTCCGAACTTCAAGACACAATTTGATAGGTAAACTTGGAAGAATATTTCGTACTGCTTACTACATTTTTCCAAAATTGTGTATTTTTGTAGTTGAGTCTTAAAAACTTCATTGTCACAATTATTTTCCAAACTATTTATAATACTGGTATTTGAAATTGACTCACATTCTACTGTATTACTGGTTTTTGTCTTTGTATCGCTCAAATCTTTATTTTCATCAATTTTTTCAGTATGATAGACTTTTTTACTTTTTTTTTCTCGCTTTTTTCCAGCGTTGATTCTTTCATTTTCATTTTCTAAATTTGGTGTTGATGTTGCATTTGATGATTTAGCAAAAACATTTTCAGAATCAACAAAAATCTAAAAGATTATGAAAAATTATTGTTAAAATTCATGAAATATTTGGATTAATAAACTTAAACTTAAAAAGAGTTGGTAAAGTAGAAAAATGTAATATTTTTAAATGGAAACAAAATTTTCAATACTGACATTAAAAAAAACACAATTTAAGGATGATTAAAATTTAATTGGATTTTAAAAACCATTGACATGAGCTGTATCTAAATTTCATACACAAGCCATTTGAAATGTTCTAAATACAAAAATTGTGTAAAGCTTTTCTTTATATATTGAAAAACAATTCATTAAATGATTTTCTAAAATTGGTCTGATAACAATAATAAACTAATGATTACGATTCAAGATTTTTCAGGAAGGAAAAGAAGCACTTCCGTCGGTCACGTGTGACCAAATCTATTTAAGTTTTGTAATGCAGTTTAGTTTCCGAATTAAGCTTAAAAACAAATGAGGGACCGTTCACTTATGACGTCTGAAATTTAGGGGAAAGAGGGAGGGGGTTGGCAGGAGGGGTCAGGAAATTTGTGACATCCAATTTCGCAGTGAAAAAACGAATTTTTTAAAAATCACTCATTTCCTGCCTGCATCATTGCTATAAAGTATTGTATTAAAGTAAACAATGTGAAATTTGCAAGACGTTTGCAAAATTTGACTATTAACCTTGTAACCTTTGATGGACGTCACAAACGGGGAGTGGTGGATGGGGGGGGGGGAGTTAATAGCATTTGTGACAGTTTTTTTACAGAGGGGTATAAAAATTGTGTTTACAAAGGGACGTCATAAGTGAATTGTTCCTAATATAAAAATGGACAAAAAATATCATGCAACGATTGTTAAACAAAATACTACTTCTTTATCCAGCTCGAATAGCTTAGAATGTGACTTTGATTTTTTCGATTTCTTTGGACTCTTCTTGGCTCCCACCACACTATAGTTTGAACGTGATCTTTTAATTGGTTCATCCATTGCTGTCTATAGAATTCGTGTTTTGTTAGTAATATATAAAACATGCATAATATGTTATAAACCGAAATTGATTGTAAACAAGCTACTTACTTGATTTATTTTTGAATCAGATTTACTTTTTTCTAATCCTCCGACTTGCTCTTGGAATGTTACATTATTACTTTCATTTTTTATATTGATTTTCTTATCAATTGACTCGTCAAAGCTATTTGAAGTGCATCTAAAGTAATTACAAAAAACATTGTATTAATTGTTTAAGGTAAAAATAGACATCTTACAAAATCATTGGTTGAGTATGTTTGATGATTTTTACACACAAATTAATTGATGCAGTTATTTCATCATTTTCTAATCTACTTGCATTTTGAGTTATGATTTTTGTAATTGAAAATAACATTTCTGGCAGATAAATACGAGTTGTTTCATTAAACATTTCAAGTGAAAGCATATCTAAAAGACACTCAATTAAATAGCACAATTCAATAACTGAAGGATCTCCTGAGTCAACTTCATTAGCAGAACGTTGTATCATCATTGCTGGAAGTTTTTTAGATTCATCTTTCGTTTCACCGAGACATGACTTTTTCAGTTCCATGCCAAGAAATTTCCAAATATAAGATGGATCAAAATTTCCAAAAAGTGAATTAATTGACTTCTTAACTTCACTGCAGTTATCAACAGCTACAGCGGTTCTAATCACATCAATTAGGATTGAATCTAGTACAACTGGACCAATTTCAATTTTATCTAACAAGCTCAATAAAATTTTGTATGGCTTCAAATCAGTTGTTGATATACTGTTTTTCAACGCTATTTTTAATGCTTTGATTAATATATTCTTCGAATATTTTTCGAAATAAGTGTTATGATTTACTTCATTTTGAATGCTGGATTTTGATGACTTTAAACATTTAATCTCTACTTCATTTTCAATTGAGTTTTTTGTAGAATTCGAAACTTCGGTTCCCAGAAGCCAGGAGTAAACTCGTCGATTGAGAGACATATCGCGTCTTAAAATCGTGTTTAGTCCGATCGTTACTAGTTTAATAAGATCTATCTGTGAAAGAATAGTTGTATGCAACGGAAATCCTAATAAAAGAAATTCCAGTGTATTTCTCTGTACCAAAATCACTGAATCGTTTAAACATGAACATAGTCCAGATATCTGCAAAATAAAAATGATAATAATTGTATAATAATAATGATGACCGTTCAAAACACCTAAAGTTTTTTACCTCTAAACATTTCAAATTTATAAAACCTAAATTTTCTGCATCTAGAGTTTTTAATCTCTAGATACATTTGTATATAGGTTTTAAAAACTGCACGTGTAGTTTATAACTTCTATATACATTTATATATAGAGATTATAAACTGCATGTGCAGTTTTTAATTTCTAATGGAAAAATCATTAGAAGTAAAAAACTGCACGTGCAGTTTTTAAAACCTATATACAAATGTAAATAGAGATTAAAAACTCTAGATGCAGAAAATTTATCCTCGGATTTAAATTTAAGCTTTTTGCTGGATTAACCAATTTTGATTATTTAAACGGTTTTGAGTAGGAATTTCAATCCCAGAATCCCGAAAACCGGGATCCCGGGGTCCGGACCAATTTTCCAATATCCCGGGATTAGAAAAGCTTCAATCTTAAGTTAAAAATAGATTTTATGATCATTCGAATGCATCTCTAATAAAGCTGCGATAAAATCTATTATTTAAAATAAAAATTAAAGTTCTTGATATTTTATAAAACAAAAGTTTTAAAAATTTTTACAAAAGAATAATCAAATTTTTACGAAAAATTTTAAATCATTTTTGATTTGAAAGGTTAAAAGATAATCTTTATACAAATTTACAAAAGCTTTAATTGTAAAGTTAAAAAGTTCAGCAAGACAATAAAAGGAAATATTGATACATTTGGAAAAACTTTGTCTTTCTGGCTTATTTTTTAATTCAAAAAATTTTTTAATGCATTAACAACATAAGAGAACCTCACAAAAAATGAGCTTGATGAGAGAATGATTATTTAATGTGCTCCCAAGAGAACCTTAGTGAGCATGCTGAAGATCGTGCTCTGAGCTTGAAAATTTAAGGTTCTCACGTGAGACACTTTTTGAGCTTGCTCTTGAGCATGATCTGAGAATCTCCACTTTTCGTGTGACAAAATTATTTTCATGCTCTTAAAAGAATCTTACCGAGCACGTTCAAGATCCTGCTCTGAGCTTGAAAAATTAAGGTTCTCACGTGAGACACTTTTTGAGCTTGCTCTTGAGCATGATCTGAGAATCTCCACTTTTCGTGTGACAAAATTATTTTCATGCTCTTAAAAGAATCTTACCGAGCACGTTCAAGATCCTGCTCTGAGCTTGAAAATTTAAGGTTCTCACGTGAGACACTTTTTGAGCTTGCTCTTGAGCATGATCTGAGAATCTCCACTTTTCGTGTGACAAAATTATTTCATGCTCTTAAAAGAATCTTACCGAGCACGTTCAAGATCCTACTCTGAGCTTGAAAATTTAAGGATCTCACGTGAGACACTTTTTGAGCTTGCTCTTGAGCATGATCTGAGAATCTCCACTTTTCGTGTGACAAAATTATTTTCATGCTCTTAAAAGAATCTTACCGAGCACGTTCAAGATCCTGCTCTGAGCTTGAAAATTTAAGGTTCTCACGTGAGACACTTTTTGAGCTTGCTCTTGAGCATGATCTGAGAATCTCCACTTTTCGTGTGACAAAATTATTTTCATGCTCTTAAAAGAATCTTACCGAGCACGTTCAAGATCCTACTCTGAGCTTAATATCTTGATCTTGCCCTAAAAAAATTGGGCAAGATGTCCAAAAAACATAAAAATATGGACCTAAACATATCTTGCCCTTGAAAATATTAGGGCAAGATGTCCAAAAAACATAAAATTATGGACCTAAACATATCTTGCCCTTGAAAATATTAGGGCAAGAAATCCAAAAATGAAAAAAATATGGCCCTAAAAACAGTACGCGTTTTTGCCATTTTAAAAATATATCATTTCAGACAGCAATAGATCAGAGGATAAGTGAACGGCATATTACGACTCAGCGCTCCAGGTTCGAATCTCGGCAAATCTCAAAAAAGTAAAAAAAAAAATCAAACTCTTGACAGCATACTCAAAATCATGCTCATAAGAGCACCTCTAATAATTAACTCAAAAGAACATGCTCAAGAGAACATATCAATATTTTTTAATATTTTAAATAATGAATCGTGCTCTTTAGAGCACGCTCAAAATCAAGCTCTCATGAGCACGCTCTTCAGTACAATTTTCTGAGCTTAATTATCATGCTCACCTAGAGAAGCCTACGGTACCTATTTGAGCATGATAATTAAGACTCTTTCGTGAGCATGATCAAGATCGCGATCTTGTGAGCATGTCACATGCAACATGTTACATCGATCTTGATCATGCTCACGAAAGAGTCTTAATTATCATGCTCAAATAGGTACCGTAGGTGGCTCTAGGTGAGCACGTTCAAAAAGTCTGATCAAACTCAATTTATCATGCTCTGAGCATGCTCTTTGTGGGTTAGGGATGACTAATACACCTGATTGGAATTGAAATCTCTTATTTTGAACGATAAGTGTTTTACCTTCAAACATATGCTGAACAAAACTTGGTCTTTTCACAAGTCTTTCGATGGTACGGTGTGAATATATCCGCTTTAAGTATCAACCTGAAACACTAGTTGAAATTCAAATTTTTAGTGTTCGAAATCTCACCAAAAAACTCGTTTTGTATGACATTTTTAAACACAGAGGTTATGGATCTGTTATTGACTGTGTTCCTCTTTTTGAATGTATATCAGTTTATAGCTTGAAATTGCTTGAATTTTAAAACAAATGGTATGCCATCGTAAAGGATGATTTAAAATGAACTTTATTTATCATTCAAAGTTGCGGAACTGGCCATATCCAGTGCCCAAAAATTCAAAAATCTTTATTTTCTCAATTTTAGGTTCTGATTCCATTTTCAAACAAATTTTTTTAAAAATTTCTCCCTTGTGACTTCACAAATTGAGATTTTTAATCTCAATTGAGATTGAAAAGTAAGAAAAAAATCTCACGAGATTTGAAGACTCGCGAGATTTCAAATCAAGTTTTCTCTGAGAAAATTTTTCTCACGAGTTTTTCAGTGAGATTTCGAACACTACACATTTTATAACGATAGAAATCATCAAATTAAAAAAATCCTGTAGTCGGCAAAGAGCTTATAAAATCAGTTGAAACTTAAAAGATTTGAATTTGAATTTTTTTTTATTTCAGGCGGGAAAATTTAACGTTATTTGTTTTTAAGTCATATTGCTTTTAAATAATGTGATACTTTAATAATTTCACCCTCTTTTTTGGTCAAAAAACATTCTGATATTCATAAAAATAGCATTTAGTGTACTTGATTCTGGGATTTCTAAAAAGAATTTTTTCCTTCCTCATGTTTGTTTACATTTTGAACAAAAATATTTGAAAAGGAAAAGACGAAATTTTTTCAAAATTAGATAAAATAGTGAATCCGTAAACAGTTTAAAACAAAGAATGCACATTTATTTTGTGTTAAATATTGTTTTCTGTAAGAAAACCGAAAGATTTTGGCTAAAATCCACAAAATTTTCTGATTGGCTAAAATTTATAACGGATTTAGTTCTAAAAATAAGATCCGTTTGCCAACCATTTAGATACTTCGACTGCTTAATGTAGGAGATCAAGCCATAATTGGGCATTTGGGCAACGTTGGATTAAGGTATGGGTCAGGAACTTGAAGTGTAGCGGGAGAAATAGGAGCGAGAGCTACAAGATTATCCACGAATGGAATATTGTTAGAACGAACCTGAAAAGTATCACGTCACGCCCACAAAAGATCGAAACGAGAGCCTTAGTTTATTTGAAACCTAGATATGAAGATTAGAAGTTTGATCCTACATAATACTAATTCATATGTATACAAATACAAAAGTGTAAAATGTGAATTATTTCCGGACAGTATGTCGTCAATAAATGCAATAAAGTGCAATTAAAAATGAAAAAAAAAAAATGAACTACACGTGCAGTTTTTTACTTCTAATGATTTTTCCATTAGTTTTTAAAACCTATATACAAATTTATCTAGAGATTAAAAACTCTAGATGCAGAAAATTTAGGTTTTATAAATTTGAAATGTTTAGAGGTAAAAAACTTTAGGTGTTTTGAACGGTCATCATAATAATCTAATATAATAACTCACCATTAAGTCTATATTTTTTCCAATCAAAAATATTTGCTCATTAATTCCTAAACGTTTGTTGAAATTATCAATTACATATGTGATGGCTGGGAGTCGTATAGATGAATTTGTAGCCACACTTTCCCAAAGGCAAGTATAAAAATGCATGGGATTTACAGCACTGCATACTCGATTTAACAGCAAATTGGTTCGATCAAAATGATCCAACCCTGCTTCCAAACCTGGTAAAACGCCGCTTAGAAAGCCGCTTAATGCTGGACGAAGCCTTTCACCAAGAGGAACAAAATATTTCTCATATATCTCTAAAAGAAATGGTCTAACATTCATTGCTGCGTATTGCATCAAAGGAAATAAACCAGAGCTATAAATAAACAGATCAGATGCAAGTCTTTCAATACCAGTGTTACTAAAAATGACATCATATGTTTCCAAAGCTTTCAAGTGTACACCGGAAGGAAGAGCTGGATGCATACACTGACTAAGCCTTTTTGAAATTTTAATACGTCTTGGAATGACTTGATATTGAGGATAGCTTGAAATAACCTTTATTAATAATGAAGAATGTATATTATTAGGACAAATTAAAAAGAAATTCAAATTCCTTTTCTTACCTTGTTAAGTTTTCCCAAAGCTGATATTAAATCTGCCCATTCGCTCGAATATTCAAAATTCTTAAGAGCTTTATCTATATTTTGCATATATACACGGTATTTACTTTGCTTCATAAGCTCAAACTCTTCCATCAAACCTGATCCTGTCATGCTGTCCATTATTTCTGAAATATTTTATAATGGTTAATATTCAATAATTAAAATGATTAATAGCTGATTATTATAGGATCAAAAGTGTGAAAATATTGTTAATAGCACGAAAAGTCAAAATTAGTGATAACAATTGAACGTCCTACAACTACAATATTATAATGGTTAAAAATGGATTACTTGGAATAAACTTCACATTTAAATCTGATGTTTATTAAAAAAAATTTAACTGACACAAATTAACGTGGAGGGTTTTGATCATTGCATTATATTTTTTTTAAGTAAAACTTAAAAAAATCTTTAAAAAATAAGATCCAAAAAAACTGATTTTGTATATAAAACAAATATTAATGTTAATTATTTTAAAAGTTTTGTATTTACCAAGCAGTGCAGATTTTTTCTTTTTTTGGTTTTAAAACATTTGCCACTGTTCTTAAATCCTTTAACTAAGAATAAATCACTAAATTGCACTTTGATATATTTCGTTTTATAATAAATATTTCTTTCTTAAAGTTTATTTTTTTTATATTCGAATTCTATAAGTTTTTTTTTTCCAAAAATTGCTTTTGAAATAAATCATAAAATAGAGTAGATTTTATAAGAATTCTTTATGATGTCTTTTTCTTTTATTTATTGAATGACGAAGAATAACACAAAATAATAATCCAACATCACTGATTCAATTGTAATATTTGCAAGGGAAACAAATATTATTTATACGTTACATTCGATCGAAAAAGAATTAAAAATTATATATATATCCATGGAAAGTTTTTATTTTAATATTTCTAATATTAAGAAATATATTTTCTAATAATTTTAAAAAAATTAATAATTTACATTTAAATTGAAGGTAATCACAATTAAAAAACGAAATTAAAATTTAAGAAATCATAATATTTTGAGTGGGTACTTAAAAAGTAAAAATGTCAATATAGTTATTGAACAACATAATTAGTGTTTTTGTATCAAACATAATTTTTTTTTAAACTTCGTCTAGTTCAAAAATTGTTATAATTCATAAAAATTTAAAATTATTGTTCAGCTTCATCGTCATTGTTTTGATCCTTTTCTTTTAGTCTTGTAATTTCATACTCGACGAAATCATCAAATAAACTGGGCCTAAAATAATAACAAAACAAAAAAAGGCATAATAAATATTATTTTGATTAAAAAAATTTATACCATGCTTCATCTGAATCATATGAATTTATATCAAAGCATTCTGCAAAGTTTTGAAACATAAGCCATGTATCTCTTTGAATTCCTCTAATGTTTTCTTTTGAGAGAAAACCAAGCCATCTTTCCAGTAGATTGTTATCAGGAGTATGTACAGAATAAACTAATTTCCATAAACTCATCGCCATATCAAGATTCAATATTCTAGCTCCTTCGTCTAATCCAAAATGAAATGTGAAACGATATAGTTGCTTAAAGAGATCATCATCAACTTGAAGTTTTTCGACGATATGAATTATGCGTAAGCGAAGTTCATTTACTGTAGATGCATTGAGGTTTTTCAGTCCATAAATAAATTCCTGCTTCGAAAATTTACACATTTGTTTTGCATCCAAACAAAAAGCTAATACTAAGATTGAAAATTCATCAGGAGAATATTGTAAATCCTGGCAAAGTCTTTCAATCCCTTCAGATAAAATTGTATCCTCATCTTTATCTTTATATTCTTCAAATAATTTATTTATTGCATTGTCAGTCAGTTGTGATTCTTTTACTAAAATTAAGAAAATAACAATTTATGATTTTTTTATAAAGATAATTTAATAACTTTACCTGATTGAATTGTTGTCTTGTCATCAATTAAGCTACTGTTTCCATTTATTACTAATGACATTTTGTTTAAATTGTTGCTATCGTAATGGTTTGATTTGTGATTCAGATTTGTTGTCTGAAGTAACTCTTCTGTTTCTAGAAAAATGTATATTTTTTATAATGTTAGTTTCAATATGGTTTTACAAGAATATGTGTATTTATATTGTTTTACCAAAATGACTATCTTGACTAATTTTCTCTGATATTTGAATACGTTGAGCGCTTGCAGCATTGTCACTTGAATTATTCGTGTTAAAGCATTTTAAACAATTCCCCATTTTACGATCCAACTAATATATTCCTAAGTTTGTATAATTTTTGATAATTTATTTATCTAGAAATCATTCATTTTTGTTATATTTCAAATTTTCCTATTTGTTTTGTTGGCACCATGTTTTATTCGGTATTGTAATGATTAAGCTATAGTTTTTTCGTCACTACATAACAGTTCAAACCATATTCCTTCAAAATACATAAGATAAATGCTGTATTTTTTTCATTTATATTTCACCAATTTCTTGAACTCGAATTGTATTAAACATGTTTAAAATATGATGTTTCAACAAAAGTTATTTAAAATAAGAACTTAATTTGCTTTAAAATTTTGAAGGTTGTAATTATTTTTTTAAAAACTTAGTTAAATTGTAGAAAATTTTAAAAAATTCATATTAGAGTTTTTTATTATTCATTCTATTATTTTTGCATCAATAGAATTAAGCGCTTTTGTTCAAACATCTCATTAGTAAAAAAATTTAAAATCAAATAAATTTTTCGAATACTTTGTTTTTAAAATTCCAGTCCTTTATTAGAAATTTAAAAAATGTTTTGGAACATATTGAATTTTATATTTTGAGTATTCTTTCTTCTATAAAAAATTTTTATAAAGTTTCAAAGTTAACCGATTAAGATTGGGTTTTCAGAGATATCTTTTTTTAGATACGTTTAATAAAAGAATCAAATACTTTCATTAGCAAAGAGCATAATAATCTTTATTATGAATTCATAATATGGCATTAAAAGCAGTCAATTAAACGAATATTGACAAAAAACTTGATTTTTTTTTTCACTCATGGAATCGCCCTTAGTTTTATTATGGTCCATCATATATGCTTTTAAAAGACCGTTTACAATTCAAGATAGATATCATGTATAAGAGACAATTAAAAGATCCAGTCAGAGAGTTGCAAAATTTGACAACTACTTCCCTCAGTGGTTAGAAGGAAATTCTATTTTGAGTATATTAAACGATAAAATTGAACTTTTCCTTAAAAAGAACAATAAATTCTAAAATATAATTCAACTTAAAAAAGGAAGTGAATTAAAAGCGTACAATAATGTTGAGTATCTGTTATTTTTTCATCAAAACTTTAAGTTATAGTCCCCTCTTACCATATATTAAGTTCATTTCTTTTTCTTTAACATTTAAAGTAAATTTTTGCTTTTTATTAAATTTTTAATATCGTTTTAAAATTGAATTTGTATCATTACTATTTAAAACTTATTTAAGGTACACGAAGTTATTTATATTACAAATTTCAGTATAGATAGAAAAGTAAAAAAACTTCATAAAATGAGTGATCGGTATCATAAGTAAGTACCGTTAATTATCAGTGAATGATATCATTATTGTTGTACACAATACGTTCAGACTTTATTTCTTTTTGATAAAGCTATTACACCAAAACTGTTTGATAATGTATTTTAAAAAAAAATCTAATATATAAAAGCCCAACTCACTGATTCACTGACTCTGGAACGGAAGCCATGTGAAGACATTTGTGAAGCCGTGTGAAGACAAAAATTTAAAGAGTGTTGACAAGGTGGTTGTCAGATGGGTGTGGGTGTCTGGTGAAGGGTGGGGGGTGAATGTCAGGTGGGTGTGGGTGTCTGGTGAAGGGTGGGGGGTGAATGTCAGGTGGGGGGGACAAAGAATTTGTCCGAATTTGAGGGGGTTTGTGGAAAAAGTTTGGTGTCAGGAATATTTTGTGAAGCCATATAAAATTTTTTGAAGCCATGTGAAGTTTTGTGAAGCCATGCGAAGCTTTGTGAAAAGACATGGTGGGTTTCGGGAGAGTTAAAGTTTTAGTGGGATTAAGGGGGTCCTAGTTTGAGGGGGTTTGTGAAGCCCTGTGAAGTTTTGTGAAGACATTTATAAAATTTTTGAGGGATGAAGGGGGTCCGAGTTTGAGGGGGTTTGTGAAGCCATGTGAAGTTTTGTGAAGCCATTTATAAAATTTTTGTGGGATTGAGTCCGAGTTTGAGGATGTTTGTGAAGCTATGTGAAGTTTTGTGAAGCTATTTATAAAGTTTTAGTGGGATTAAGGGGGTTCGAATTCGAGGGGGTTTGTGAAGCCCTGTGAAGTTTTGTGAAGACATTTATAAAATTTTTGAGGGATGAAGGGGGTCCGAGTTTGAGGGGGTTTGTGAAGCCATGTGAAGTTTTGTGAAGCCATTTATATAATTTTTGTGGGATTAAGGAAATCCGAGTTTGAGGGGGTTGTGACCATGTGAAGTTTTGTGGTAGGACTGACCTTAAAAACATTATGGTTATTTGCGTCTTACAGTTGTTTACATAATAGTAATCAAATTTTAACCCTTATAAGAGACGCCACGGGCGCCTCCGGATAGCCTAGTTCTTATATAAAAGTACATAAAATATTTCTTTTATTTTAGAGCTGCTCGAGATGGTCTATGTGAAGTACTAAAAGAAGCAACCAAAAAGGAAATTAATTCTAAAGATAATGACGGAATGACTCCTGTTTTATGGGCTGCATTTGAAGGGAAAATTGACCCTCTTAGACTATTGATTGGAAGAGGAGGTGATCCAGATAAAACAGATCAATTTGGGAACTCAGCACTGCATTTGGCTAGTGCGAAGGGCCACTTTTCATGTGTAGACTTTCTAGTTAAATTTGGAGCGAATATTTACGCTCTTGACATTGATAATCATAATCCTCAACAGCTTGCAGCCATAAATAATCGAGATGAAATTTTACATTATTTAGATAGTGCTGCTGGTCATTTGGAAACTAGTGATCCGAAAAAAGTAAAAAGCCTTAAAGAAAAAGCCAAGAAACAGTCAGAGAAAAGAATAAAAGAGTTTATGAAGCGTCAACAAAGAAAAGAAGAAGAATCTGAAAAAACAAATGTTCTTAAAGCAATGAAATATAAGTTTTTTAGTGGAAGTTCTGGAAATTTAAGTCGAATTAAGGATTTAAATTTAATTAATGAAGATAATAAGTTTAGCGCTCTTGTAGGGAACGGAACAATAGTGCAACGTGGTGCTGCACAACGCAAAATACATGCTTTGAAGCAAGTTCGTCAGACAAACACTTCAGAAATAAAAGAAACTGGTAAAAATGTTGAGTCTAATCGTAAAGGTTCAGATGTAATCTACGCCGGTACTTTACAAAACTCTAATATTGACAGACGAGGAAGAATAGCTGATATTTTCAACTTTGAATCGGGAACCATTGATGGAGATCAAAAAATGGCTCGATCTATGTCAAGATGTTTAAGTCAACCAAATTTACTTTCATCAATTTCTTCTGATTTAACTGACGATATTTCAAATCAAAAGATTGCTGGACTTTTTGAAAGACCTGTTATCGGTACACTTTCCATACCCCAATCAATAACATCGGCTCTTTCATCAGTTGATCAAATTTCAAATCCTTCAAGTGAGTCGTCAAGTTCTAAAACAAACACAGCATCTAAAAAAACAAGGCAAAGACAACTAATTATTTCTGATTCAGAGGATTCTGATACAAGCCGAAATTCGAGTGATGAATGTGAAGAACCACATCAAGCTTTAAAACGATTTTTAACAGCATACTCATTAGAAGAACATTTAGAACTTTTACTCAAACATCAAATCGATTTGGACACATTAATGCTACTAACTGAAGAAGACCTTAAATATCTGAATCTTCCACTTGGGCCTTATAGGAGACTTGCAGTTGCTATACAAGAAAGAAAAAATGCACTTAATAACCCGGGAGCTATTTTAGATAGTCGACTTTGAGCAATTATACACTTCACTGAATAATTAATTAATTTTTTTGGCAATTTACAAAAGTGTCTTTTAAATTTTAAAAAAAGTATATTTAGTTGAGCATTTAAAATACATAAAATTAGAAATAAAATTTTATTTGAAAATCTAAATTAGTTACACTATTTCAAAATATTTTTAATTATTTTTTAAATCTTTACCAAGCTCTTTGAATCGATTGAGTTGCATCGGTAAGAATCCAAGTATTTTTTTGACGTTTCTTCATTGACATTTGCTTGTGTCGCGGATGTGTCTTGCACATAACAAATAATCGCTCTTGCCGCACAACATAATAGCAATCTTTACATCTTCTTTTACAGTTTCCAACTTGCTTCATACCTCTCTGAGCTGTAATGGTCATCATTGGTGGTTGTAATAATGTTGTTTTGCACAAATTAAATGAACCAACAGATTGTTCATAATGTTTCATAGACCAAATAGAAAATTGTTTGCCTGTATTGCATAATTTACTGTTTAGAACACTTAATGCAAGAATTCTAGAGCTCCTAAACAGTTGATTCCACATATTAAATGCAAAAATTTGATGATTTAATTTTGCTTAAAGAATGTTTTTACAAAAAAAAATAATTCGTAGGTTACAAACTTAGACAAACTTCTACATATTAGGGGAACGACAACTAACGACCAATTGTAAAAATTATTATTGTGAACAAATACTTACACAGTGCATGTGTAGAGTACACCGGTTTAAGATCGAAATTCAAGCTGAAAAATTTGCCTGTTTAGAGCTGAAAAAAATCAATTGTATGGTATCAATTCCATTAATGTGTTAACAAAAGAATTAAAAACTTTATTCGGAATAGATCCGTGATTGAAATAAATAAATAACAAAAAGTCAAATCAATGTTATTAGAAAACATTTTTTGTTGTAATATATTTATTCATAAAAGATGTTTTAAAAGAAAATAGACTTCTTAATATTTTTTTTTACTGTTGGCAAAAGTTTTGCAAAAAAAATTTAAAGTTTATAGCAAATAGTCTTACATATACAATTTGAAATATAAATAGTGAATTCCATACTATGTGTTGCGAGTCGCTGGTGTGTTGCGAGAATCTCCAGGTGTTTCGCGAGATTTTTTCGGAAGGACCAAATATGAAAAATATTTCTATTCGTCTTTAAAAAAACAGTTCTTGTCCCAATTTTAAAACATTTTTTGCACTTAATTATACCAAAAATTTTTTGGTGTGTCATGACAAAAATTTTGACACAAAAGTGTGTCACAAATCAAAAAAAAAAAATTGGAATGCACAGCCTGAAACTTTTCGTTTACACATTAAAATAACTGAAAAATATCTAATAACTGAAATGTATTACTGCTTTATTCAATAAAACAATTAATCTACAAACTGCTACAAACTATATAATTATAAATAAGCATAGGATAATATTTAAATGATTATGATTAGTATTACATTTATATTGCAATTTACTGATGGCAACATTATAAGATTATAAAAAAATATTATGATATTTCATGTCATGATTTTTGAGATAATATTCATATTAAAGAAGTGGACATATTGATATTCAAATATTTTTTACTGTGAATTAATTAATTCTTAAAAAAACTTCAACTTTTACTAACATCAACAAAGTAAATTTTTCCTCAAAATTATTGCAATTTCCAACTAAAGGCTTCAAGATTTTTAAAGAATTCTTCATAAAAATTTTAAAGTCAATTTTCATTATTATGTCAGAATAAAAATATTGAGATTCTCTTTTTTAGGAACTCAGCTAATGATTTTTTTGCTATTAAGCAATTAAAGCTCACATATTTTCAATTAAGCATGTAGATTACAATTTTTAATTTTATATAATTTTGTTCATATTTTATGTAAACTCTTTCAATCAAAATTCATAGCTGTTTGATATAAATCTCATACAACTTATCACATTTACATTTTTTTATATCTGATTTTATCAGATTCAAATAGCTCATTTTTTTGTCCGCTTAATAATGATAAGAAAAGATGAATCAAGGTTTTTAGAAATGAATACAATTCAAAAGAGACTTCAGATTAATAATGTAATTGTAAGAAAATATTTTCGTTACAATTCGCAGAGATGTCGAGAAAAAATATTTTCCTTCTAGCTTGGAGTGATATTAATTCAAAGATTCTGAAGTTAAATTCGAAATAAGCTGTTTTAAAGAATTATCAGGCCATAATTATCAAAAGTTTTAAAACTAAAATAACAGACAAAATTATTTCCTATGGTTGTTACATATTAAAACTAAGTGGCTTCATGTTGGCAACACCTATTAATATATATAAATAAAATTAATCATTAATTCAATTTAAATCTATTTTAGACAGTATTATTCTTACTTGACATTCTGCGACAACGACCCATCATCTTTCTTTCGATTTCTTCTAAAGATTTTCCTTGAGTTTCCGGTACATAAAATATAGTGAAGAATAATCCAACAATGCAAATTACTCCGAAAAACCAAAATGCACCATGATTTCCAATGGCAGCTGAAACAACAATATATAATACATTTAAATAATTAAATAAATAAATATAGTAATAATTTATTTCTTTTGTTTTTTTTTTTTTTTTTCATTACCTATTATATCAGCAAAAGTTTTTGTAACAATAAAAGTACATGTCCAATTGAATGCGGTTGCAACTGATGCTGCAGAGCCTCTTATTTTTCCCGGCAAAATTTCACCCAACATCAACCCTAATTATACAAATGAAAAAATTATGTTATTGAATAATGTTATTATACCAAAAATGACTGGTTGACTCCAAACAACTTTTGTATGTTTGTTTAAACTTTAAAACTTAAATCGACTCACATGGAATTGGGCCCATGCCGCTCGAAAATCCTATGACATATAGAACAAAACTGACAAGAGGGAGCCATCCAATATGAGAGACGTCATTTCCAGAATTTTTGTAATAGAAAAACGTTCCTAATGTCATCAGGGTTATAATCATTGCAACTTCTGATATATAAAGCAGAATTTTTCGTCCTAAGCGGTCGATTAGAATCGTTGCCATAAATACAGCTCCAAAATTAACTACACCTACAATGATTGTGCATAAATTTTCATCAATTGTACTGCCAGCATCTTTAAAAATGGAAACCGTATAAAATATGACAGCATTTATTCCTGACAATTGTTGAAAGAACATCAAACCAAGTGAAATCATCAAAGGTTTTAGGTTACTTCTTTTCATTAAATCAAAAACTGCATTTTGTGTTGCATGACGTTCAGCATCACAATGAGATTTAACAATTCCTTTCAGTTCTGGCTCAACATCAGCTTGTTTTCCACGTAACCATTGCAACGCTTTACGCGCTCTATCTTCTTTTCCTCTAGACACAAACCATCTTGGTGTTTCCGGAATCAAGAACATTAATATTAGGAAGGGTACAGGAAGAACACTTCCCAAAAATGCCAAACCCGACCAATTAACATATTTACCAGCGACAAAACACAGCAATATTCCAATATTACCGAAAGCTGTTGGTAGGAGTCCTAAGGTTCCTCTTACTTCCGGTTGAACGGTTTCTCCTAAGTAAACGGGTAAAGAAAGTGACGCTATTCCAACACAAAATCCTGAGAGAGCACGACCTAGTAGGAAAATAAATTTATTATTTTTATAGTGCACATGTGTACTTTATTTAAGAATAAAATTTACTGTTTGAAACGTAAACAAAAACTGTGATAACATTAAATACAGAAAACTTTGTTCGTTAAAATAATAGGAAATATTTTTTTTAAATCATATCTTACCTGCTAAAACCATCCATATAGAATTAGCACATGCAATTAATAACCATGCGACAATAAATGGCAGTGCAGTTGCTAAAATTGTATTCTTACGTCCTATATACTCAATAAAAGGACCACCAGCTATACCACCTGCCAAACCTGCTAGAGGCATCAATCCGCCAACCCAACTTGCCTATTGATATCAAATATTGAAATTCACATTAATTTTTCAAATTATTTTAACATAATTCCCTAGCGAGACTAACTAGCAAATTGCTAGTCTTTCTATTTTACTACTTGCAATTTACTAGTAATTATTAAAACAACTTACTATTAGAAAGTTACACTCGCTATTTACTACCAAATTACTAGCAAATTACCATGTAATATGTTTGATCAAATCTTCTTAAGTTCATATCCTACGAAAATTCACCAAAAAAAGAATTTTTTGCGTCAAAAAAATTTTGTTCTAAATTTGGCATTTGCCATATACTTCACAAGAGCGCGCAGAAATCACCTTTATAAGGTCGATCCAAATTTGTATGTGACTTCAATTAATTATTTATCTTCCTCAGGTTTGCGTGCGAGTCAGAGGCGTTCATCAGTGTTCGACTTTATTAAATTAAGTCTTTTGTTTTTTATCATAGTGTTAGTGTACTTTAATTAACTTAAACTAAGTACACACTAATACTTTTACAATAATTTACACAAAAAAAATCAAAAGAACACGTGGAAATCAACGGTTATATTCATTTAAATTTTTTACAAATTTGCTAGTAAATTACTAGTTAAATTGTAAGCGAATTGACTAGTCAATGAGCAAGTGAAAATGCGGGTCTTTGGCGATGATTTGAACTTGGATTTTGACTAGTAAATAGCAAGTAGCAAATGGAAAGTTATCAAGTGAATTACTAGGAAATTACTAGTAAATTTCTGCTAGGGATTGAGCTTAATTGTCTTAGAAATTAGACCATAGAACTATTAAAAGTCTATTTATGTTCAAATTTAACACCATTAATATATATTTTATATTAAATTTTAATTTGTATGTTCCGAAATATATTGAAATTATTACTAATCAAGCACTTACTTCTTGTTCTGTGACTTCAAAAGATGTGATATTCGGATCTCTCATAGATACTAATGCAGGAGAAGTATATGCTGAGGAAAATCCTACTACCATTGAGCCCATTGAAACAGCAATGGCTGCCAAAATCTGAAACAAACAAAAAAAATTATCATCGATTTGCGTTAATCCAAATATCATCTTTTTAAATCTTTGAAATTTGCCTGTGAATTAGTGCATTTTGCTTTTGGCTCCTCAGCTGGTATTGAAAATGACACGTGAGTGTCAGCTCTCATTAAAATTTTCACCATTTTTTTTTCTTAATTTTAAAGAACAATATTAAATATTAGGATAAAAAGCAAATGATTTATTATGTATAAAAGACTTTTGTATTATTGTCAAAATAACTTTTTTTGTATTTTGAGGAAATAAGGTAATATTCCATATAATTTTCTTTTAACGAATTGTTGCAAATTTTTGATTACGTGACACTTTATATAATCTTATCTGTTCAAAAATGATTTTGCTTCTCATCTGAAAAGTTCTATTAGATACACTTGTAGTAATGTTAAATACCAAATTTACAGTATATTTGTATAGTTAGGAAGACATTAGTGTTATGCAATTCATTACTCATAAATATACAATCATAGTCAATTGAAGCCCTAAATATTTTGGACGCACTTTTGCAAACATAACTTAACGGAATCTTCACTTTGGCTGTTCATCACGTTTTCATGATTAGACTTAATGGTCGTTGTTACAAATCAAATTTTGTAGCAATTTACATAAAATTTTAAAAAATAAAACTTTTTATTAACTCTTTAAATGTTTCCTTATTCCTTCTAACTTCATTTCCTTCACTTGTAAAAATCATTATTTTCAATTTAATTCTCTTATTTGGTCGTCAGTCTAGTGCTGGATACAACTTTGAGAGGTATATATTTATATAAAAAAATATTAATATAAATAATATTTTTTTGGATATGATGCACCAATTTTTAAGAGATTTTCTTTGCAAATTACAATATTTGAAAAATGTTAAATCGTTGAATCTAAAGTCGCCTTAATAACTGAACTATTCAGGGAGACTGATACGGTTTATATTTATAAAATTAATGAGAGTATTTTTTATTTCGAAATCGTACTCAATTTCAGTATTACTAGATTAGCAACAATTGAAAGAATAATTCAAAAAAGATTTGAATAAAAAAAAAAATATTCATTAAATCAATTATAGACGCAAAGCATAAATAAATAATCGTAGTTCAAAGAATTGAAATAATATATCATTTTCATGGGTTGGTTATTGAGTTGTTGCAAAAATAAAAATAGTGAAAGTGAATTAAATAATTAACTAAGGGTTGTTTATAGATAAAATAAATAATATAAATTTTTGTTTAAAAGCACTTTCATATCTCGAATATTAAAAAAAACTAACCCCTGTATTCTTTTTCTATCATCGTTTCTGACATCGAATGTCTTATCAAGTTCATCAAGTGGAAGCATGCTAGCAATTGTTTTTTTACGTCATTTGTTGTATTTAAAAATTTTCATCACATTTGTCTGGAGTTTGTAATTCTTTGATCATGACCCAACAAGCTGAATATTATTTTATTGAAAGCAATCTTCATTTAAAGAAAAATTATATTGATAACATTGTTTATTTTTTATTTAATATATATGCTGAATACGTTAATATATATTTTTTTATTCTTTCAAGATAATGCCATTAAAGTTTTAAAATTATATTAATTTGTTTCTTTGTGACCTTTAAAGTATATATTAAGAAGACAAAAGCAAAATATTACTCTCGACGAGCCTATCTAATTTTCTAAATTATTAGAGCAATTTTTATATTCATTTTACAATCGTTTTACTTACCTGAGAGTAAATGTAAATGGGATTTGTTGTTGGTCTATAAATTTCTAACTTTGGTTTTCCATCTTCTGTGATTTGTCGAACAAATGGCACAGTGTGACGCAGATTGTCATCCTTATTGTTCAGTTCCATATCAAAGAAACTAATTGATTTTTTTGAGGCACTACTAACTGATCTGGCTTGTTGAAATTGTCTTCGGTTATTCTGCAACTCTTCTTCCTCGTCACTGGAAGAATCTAAGTCCTTTAGAAATTAAATATGTCACTTATAAGAAATAATACAAAAAGCAAAGTTAATAATTACTTTCAAATCAATTACGACTGGTTTTGTTATATCAGGATCAATTTGTAATAAACTAGTTCTTTCACAATCGTAATCTTCTTCGCTGCTAGATTCCGGCGATGGTTCTTTATCTAGTTTGAATGAAATATGTCGAGGGTCCAAACTTTTGTGTTTTCTTGCTTGGAATGATTTCCGTTGATTTTCAAACTCATCCTCTGACGATCCGGAACCTTTCAACAGATTTTCTAACTGTTTTGAAGATTTTACATCAAGTGAAACATGTTTTTTTGATTGATAATTTATTCTATCACCTCCGTCTAGAAAGGCACGAAGATCCTAAATAAATCAAAAAATGTCTTGGTATCTTTTTTTTTTGCACATTACTATTAAGAATTTACCCTTATCAAAATACTTTTGTGCTCTGATTTTGATTTTGTTTTTTGAAAGTGTTCGCGTTTTTTTCTGAATGCTTCTTCTTCATCAAAGCGATCACCTTCTTCTTCTTCGTCTTCGTCAAATTTAATACCCTGCTTTGTTCTTATTGCCAACTCTTTTATATCTTCGGCAAAAGGATTTGTTGTATCTTCTGATTCGAGTATTGGACTAAAAGTTCTTGGCTTTTGTTTCAATAACTTTGGAGAATTTGATATATTATCAGTAGATGTATCAATAACTACTGTGTCTAGACTTGTTGATGTTGTTGAATTTGAAAGTGTCTCAATCCCCACGTCAGGATTGGTGCTTACTCTGCTATATCCTTGTTGTAAAGGATCCTCCTTCAAATTATTTCAAAAAAATAAAAATAAATTAACTAGGTAGTCCAACGATTTCAAAGTTTAATCAACTACTAAATTTTGGTAATGAAATCAGACATTATTTTAATTTGAGAATCGTTTTTTTTTTGAGAATTGATAACATAAAAAATCAATAAAAAAACTCCCAGAATAAAAGAAATGATTTGACTAAACTAATCCATATTGTTTTTTTTTTATAATTTTTAATTGTTATTAGATTTGATATCTTAGAAAGGTCAAAATAATCTTAATGTTTTTCCAAGGTTAATTCATATTAAAAGGATAAAAACTCTGAAATTAAACATGTTAAGGATTTTTTTTTGTGTAAATTATATTTATTCAATTAAAATAACACAAAACATGAAAATTTTCAATAAATTTCTGCAGGTTTTTTGTTTTTTTTTGTTTTTTATTCTTCAAATTCATTCGAAATAATGAAAGGAACAATTTTTTTCTTGGAAATTGAGTTTTTATTGATCACTGGGAACTTTTTGTTAATTATACAATAATATTGACAAATTATTTTTAAAAATTCCTCATGAATATTAAAAAAAATGATAAGAGGTTGGAAAAAAGCAGCATTTTTAGAAAACTATGAAAAAATCGAAGTATTGGTGATTTTTTGTTTGTTAATTAAAAATATATATAAACATATATATTAAATGTCTTAATTTAAATCAAACTCCTGAGAAGCATTATTAATAAACTCTTCACAGCTGTGTACAGTTAATAAAATTTGGAATTAAATAAGGAATGTGTTTTTTTCTATAATATTTGAATTGTTGTTGTAATGTTGTAAATACTTCCTAATAGTCCTCTGACGACGAATTGTCTGAAAACGAAATCGATTCTTGATGCCTTTTTTCTGTGTTTATAAAATTTTGATGTGTACAAAATTCATTTCCTAAGTTAGAAATTTAATAACTTATGTTTCAAAAAAATTAAAAACTATTATTTATTTTGTTTACTTTTAAAGGGCGCAAGGCAAAGGGGTGGAGGCAGGGTAATTCTCAAATTAAGCTCCTCGACACTCATTAAGTGATTTTCAGTGTCGCGGTTGAGAACAACTGGTTTTTTCATACTAAACTTGACCCCTTTTTGATGAAGAATATGCTTTTCAATCCCGAGTTTGAAATGTATGTAAACCCGGGATCAAACCCGGGATTCAGTACATTTTAATCCCGGGATTGAAAACCCTAATGTAGAACTTTTAGTTTCTTTTTTAACCAGGAATTGGTTTAAACGCACCGCAGGCGAAAAAAATTTCTTCATTAAAATTCGTGAAAAAATCCTGAAAATCCTCCCCCTCTCTTAAATTATTCCATACAAAATTTTTTCGCCTTCCTTAAATTATAGTACCGTAAAGGTTCATTGATTTCTTTATGGATAATTTTTATAAAAAAAGGTTTTGGGGTCTAAAACTTTAATTTTTTGCTATTACATAATAAGTGAATAACTCATTTAATATTTAACCTTCTCAAAAATGAGAAGGACACAATTGGATTCTTAAATGATCGCAGTTAATTAACTTTTGAACCGTTTTTGATGAAAATTCTTTGACTTTTGATGTCATTGATATCCACCTTTTCAGTGAAAAACGAAAAAGTGGCACGTGTGTAAGTAAAAAAAATTTCTTTTTATTTGTCATTGAATCAATGTGTGTGTTTTGACAAGAAAAAAAAAATACTTTTAAGAAGAGAAAATTTTTGGGTCAAAAAGAATCGTATAGTCTATAATTTAATTAATAGAATATTTGACATGTACATATTTTTTAGCTTATTATCTCGAATTCCATCGTGTTTTGATTAATGTTGTAACACACTTTTACTTTCAATTTAAAATTGTCGAAGAAATGTAAAGTATTACGAGTCTCAAAACAAAGACATTGTTAACAATTTATTTTGTTTTTTTTTGTCCGACAATTAATTCGACTTTGAACTATAAGCTATTCTTAAATATCAATAGAAATGATATTTAAATGATCATAGCAGATTTTATTTATTTATTTTTTGCGTTCTCCTTTAAAAATAAAGAAAGCGGGAAGAAAAGACGTAAGCAATTTGATATAAATTTAAAAAATTATAATATTTAAAAAAGTGAACATTAAAGTTAATACGAAAATAATATACATGCTTAATAATTAATAATTTTTTTAAAAGTAAGTTCCATTTTTGTCTGTTTTCATTACCAATTATGTATGTTTTCTCATTTTCTTGACCTTATATTGACGTACCTGACTTGCCATTCCTTTTATTTTATCAACTAATCGACTCATTTTGTTTTCAATATTTTGCTTAAATTAGTCACTGAACTTCCAGCAATTGAAAATTGTGTGCTATTTAAGCACGTACACACACTATTTTATCTGCGAATGTATTTTTTTCGCAAAAATATTATCTCTTTCAAATGTTCGCTGTCAGTTTTCTCACTCCCAATTTCACATTCAACTTTACTTTGACGTCAGAAACTTTTATATTTGGAAAATAATTTTAGCAACAAATTTAGGCTAATTTCACTTTTTATACAAGATGCATTTAAGGATTTTGAAACAGAAATAAAATTTCACAAAATATTACATAATTTTTAATTGTCTTTCAATAACTAACAAGGTCATTGCAAAGAAGTAGGGTTTAATGATCGTATTGCAAGTAATACATATTTTTCACTTTTAAATATAAACTAACATACGATTGAAGTAAAAATTTACAAATTATTTATTTTAAAATATAACAAATTAATGAAAAGTCGGTTCAAAACTATTCTTAATTCGAATTTTTGTTCATTATTTTTTTCGGTTTTTGATGATGAAACCACATTTCGCTATCATTTTAACTGTATAATATCTAAAATTCAACTAAAGACACGACATAAAGTGTCTACTTTATTTATAGTTCTTTTTGTTGTATGCCGCCGACAACGTCATAACGCAGACATACGAACTTTTCGTTGGATACGAAAAAAACCGATGTGATGGATAGCATGCGCGACTTATCGTTTTTATTCTTAAGTAAAATTGAGGAAAAATTATAAAATACTACTTTTTAATATCTTAGTTTAGTTATCATATAGTTGTGTGAATTTTTAAGTAAATGATCAAATAAAGAAAAGCACATGACTTTAAGTGATTTACTATGAAAAATAAAATATGTTACAAAAAATTAAAATAAAAATTTTGAGATGGTATTGGGTCTAGACATATGTAGACTTTTACGTCACTGGTCGAGCCTTCGTAATTTTAAAAATGTATTTGTTTACTAGCTGTTTTATACTTTTACTGAGAAGTACACCAACTTTTTTTATTCTGAAAGAGATGATGCAATGTGATTTAAGTAAAAATTTCACTTCATATTTAAATCAAATACAAAATTGCACAAATAAATATTAAATTTGCAACTAATGGTGAAAAATTCATAAAGCAAACTTATTTTTTACAATTAGACTATTTTACATCACTTTTTTAAAAGTGTGAAAATTAGTATTCTATGAACTTTGAATATTTTCCGACTTGTTATCAAACAACTGCAATGTTTAATGTGATAAAGCGTTACAAATTACTCATCGTTAAGGAAATTAAAAATATTTCAACAGACAATCAATATGTAAAATTATCACTTTGCATTAGAAAAACATTTAAATCTAAGAAAAACTGACAAGAACACATTTTGAAAAAACTAAAAAGAAGGAAAAAAACTAGAGTTTACTTTAGTACAATTTCTTTCATTTTTTTTTATTCTGAACTTTATATATTGGCGAACATCACAAGACACATCGCAAAACAATGGAATTTTCCATTCAATTTCGCTTAAGTTTTAAGAAAATTAAAATAAATTGAAGCAAAAAAACTAATTGATGAATAAAAGTGTTTCACGTAAAATTAAAAAAAAATATCCAGCTTCGAAATCAATAGTCAAGAAGATCTTCTGCTTTATTCCATTTTTTTAAATTAATTATAGTTGCGAAGTAAATATATGTTGACAATTAAAAGTGTTTAATTGAACAATAAGAGTTTTGCATGTTGCTGTCTTAATAGCATGCTTTAAAACAAAATTTAGAATTTACTTGAGCATAAGCTTTCTCGAAATCCCGGTCCCGACAAATTTTCGGGATCGGGATCGGGATTGAAATTTTTCGGGATTTCCCGGGAAATCCCGGGAATCCCGAATATGTAAAAAAATTTAAAAAACAGCATTTTTCTGCTTTTTTTTCCAAAAAAAATTGTATATTTTTTTGCTACTTATACGGTCATTTATTCCTTAATTAATTAGTTATAATTTATGTGTTACAAGGTAGATGTTTTAATCCATGTTTCCTTTGAAAAATGTGAACATAAACAAAAATAGAAAATAAATGTTGATAAAGATGTAAGTTTAAAGGTTATAGAAAACGGTGTGAATATAATAATAAAAATTAAGCATTAATGAAAAAACTTTTAACAAATGCAATTGCATTTAGATTCTTGTCAAGTAAACGTTTTCTTTGTTTTGTAAGAATGTTGTTACTAATAGAGAAATTTCGTTCGCTTTGAGTTGAGGTCGGCTGCATTGTTATCAATGCATCGTAAAGTTGATCTAACAAAACGGTTCTCTTCTTATTTTTGTCATACCAATTAAACTCCCTTTTCAAGTTATTTGGTTCTGTTGCTGCTGCATCTGTTGTTAATGATGTATATTCAGATATGCTTAGTTTCAGTCTATCTCGAATAGAAATGTTTGACGGTTGGATTTGATTTGCACTGGATGTTGAAGCTTCCATAGCTCCATTTGTAGAGTTTTTGACAAAATACTTTTTCAATAAGTCAATGCCAAGTTTATGTATTGCAGCTTTTGTTGACGATTTAAAATGCTTGTCTAAAGAAATATATTGAGGTAAAGTATTAAGTCAATTAATGTTCCATTTCTTCGTGCACCTATGCGAGCGCAATTCATATCGTAAACCTTTTGAGACAATAATGTTCCTTGTAGCAACAATTCGTCTAGCAAAAAGTTAATTGTTCCTTCAGCAATTAATAAATCGTCTGATTTACGCAATAATTCTTCTGTCGCGTATTTAGCAGGTTCTAAAACATCAATAATTTCCTAAATTAAAAAACCGGGATTTTCAATCCCGATCCCGATAAATTTCGGGATCCCGGGATTGATCGGGATCGGTAAATCCCGGGAAATCCCGATCCCGATCCCGATAGCGAGAAAGCATACTTGAGCACGCTTTCAATATTCGTTTTATTTTAATATTATTATTGCATCCAATTAAATCAATTAAAACTTCTGTTCCAAAGAATCAATGGCAATGTTTTTATTTAAAAAATCATATTGAATGACTTTAATCAACACTATATAACTTGCGTTTAAAAGTTAAAACTTATGTTTGTTGTGATAGGATGAAATTTGAAGGCACGCTATGCACTGTTATATATTGGTTAAAAATGTTAGTATAGTTTAATTGTGTTTGCGTTTATTACATGTTGACTAAAACAATAGCAAAAAAATTAATGTGAATATGAATCTAAAATTTGTTTTAACATTTTGATTATTTTCTTAAGATATTTAAATTATTCTCTGTTGATGATTTATTTTACCCTGCAATCATAAATTTAGAAAACAAAAATGACTGCGACTTAATAATGTCTCAAGATTAAGAGATTTACCAAATATAAAGAAGTAGAATTGAAAAAATGAAATTTAAACTTAATTTTGTTCGAAACATTAAATAAAATAGAAGAAAACTTGTCAATGAAATGTTGGAGCAATGAAATAGTTTTCCTACCTTTTAAATGAACACAATTTATGAATGAATATTTTGCTGGAAGGTAGAAGAATCAAGCAGCGTGGCGATGAAAGCACATCCAGTTCAACTCAAATCTTTCATATTGTTTTGCCCTTTCGGAATTGTTCAAATCTATTGTATAGTTCAAATTGTTACTAATAGTATTACCTTTTAATTATAATTCTAAACTCTTACAATAAAATGCGCTTTAAGGAAAACTTTCCCTTTCGATCACTTCCAATTCACTCTTCACATTGGCGTACTAGCAATTGTCTACACGTATGCAGCATATTCATGTTTTTTTGGAATTTTCAGCAAGTGTTCGAAAGGGAAATAATCTTTAAATATTTCATAAAGCAAGAAAGATTTAATTTCTTGACAAAACATAACTTCTAAATATGTCACCATTGTAATTTTTGGCAAGGGTCAGACACTCCAACAGAATTGTAAAGATTGTACAATTCTTCACAATCCATATGGAAGAATTGTAAAGATTGTACAATCCTTACAATCCTTACAATCTTTATATGACAAGGATTGTAGGGATTGTAATCCGTACAATCCTTATATGGAAAGGATTGTAAAGATTGTAATTCTTACAATCCTTTCCATATAAAGATTGTAAGGATGAAATAATTGTATGGAACATTTAAAAATGTTTTTCACGGGTTATTAGAGAAGAAATATTAATTTAATATTAAAAATTTATTTGTTTGAATTTAAAGAACGAAATAAGCTTGATATAACAATTTTTTCATTTACAACCAGGGTGGGTGATTTAAATCAAATATCAAAATCAAAATCTTTTTGCAATGATTTTAAAAAGGATTTTGATTTAAATCATTTTTTCAAAGGGATTTTTTTTTTTGGATTTTGATTTAAATCTCTTGTATGAAAGATTTTATTGGGATTTTAAAATCCCTCCATGCAAGATTTTTGTTTTCAATTTCTCAAATTATTTTTCAAATCAACAGTTTTCAGTTGCAGTTCCTAATAAGTAAGAATGCAGTTGATCCTTTTTTGGCCTGAATCTTGCAACTGGATCTTTTAGAGCCAAATATTTCTTAAGGAAAGGTTACAGCAACCAATAGTTCCATGCTGTTTGAATTGAACGAAATCCATTTCGTGTTTTTTAATTTTCTGTGCCTTGCTGCTTGCATATAAATAACTGGACTTTATCAATCATGCCTGGATCTTACTTCATATGAGGATTTACCTGCTTTCAATGCTTTCAAAAACTTAAATATCTTTTATTACAGTACGTTAGTTTAATGAGTCATAAGCAAGAATAGGCACTTGAACTGCCTAGTTCCTTTACATCCACAAAAAATTTTTTTGTTGCTTTTTCATCAAAGATTCACCTCTTGAAATCAAAATTTTTTTGCGGAAATGGCCGATTCCTTTCGTACATCAAGGCACAGAAGATAAAAATCAAGAATTGGATTTCGTTTCAGTCAAACAGCATGGAACCATTGGTTGCTGTAACCTTTCTTTAAGAACTGCTTGGATCTAAAAGATCCAGTTGCAAGAATGTGGCCAAAAAATGATCAACTGCATTCTTACTTGAGAAACTGCAACTGAAAACTGTTGATTTGAAAAATAATTTGCGAAATTAAATACAAAAATTTTACATCGATGGATTTTTAAATTCCAATAAAATCTTCCATACAATAGATTTAAATCAAAATCTTAAAAAAAAATCCCCATACAGCAATGATTTAAATCAAAATCTCTTTTAAAAATCATTGCAAAAAGATTTTGATTTTTGATTTAAATCACTCACCCTGTTCACAATTATACTTTTTACAACTTTTTAATGTGTTGAAATGTATAAAAAATCATTCGAATTGATTCACGGTAAATTATTGCATTTTAAATATAATTGTTTTCAAAGAAATTTCTGACTTTCTTCATTTTTTGTATTTTATCTTATTTTTTAAAAATAAATAGACATTATTTTTTGTTTAGTAAGGATTGTACAATCCTTACAATCCTCATATAGAAAGATTGTAGGAATTGTACAATCCTTACAATCCTTATATGAAAAGGATTGTAGGGATTGTAAGGATTGTACAATCCTCACAATTCGTATGGAAGGATTGTAAGGATTGTACAATCCTTACAATTCTGTTGGAGTGTCTGACCCTTGATTTTTGGAGATATTTAAGAAGTAACGACACTAACGCATGATTTTTTTCGTCAGGACCCTTTTTTAATCACATTAGGTAACATTTAAATCTAGTTAAATAAATAAAATTAATTTTAAACACTTCAAATTCATGATTCGAGAAGATTCAAATGATTCGAATATTGGCTTTCCTTTTTTTTTGTAAATCTTCCAAAACTTTATAGTCAATACTTTCACCACTTAATTTTAAATACTAAAAACACATTAAATTCCTTTAAAGTTCAAAGATTTTAATGCTGATCTCAACAGTTAATTTTAAAACTATTTAGAATAGCTTTTTTTGCAAAATAAAGAAGAGAATAAACAAATAATACTAAAAAAAATAAGAGCAAAATATAAACATAAGATAAAAGACATAATCTGACATATCAGAAATGAAAAAATTAAAAAGCATATTTTGTTTATGAGAGGAGGTATCTCAAATGAAATATGTATTATCTTCTCAATTCAGGTTAGATGTTATATGTACTTCTTGTTTCTAATGAATTTTTCACGATAATCTATTTTTAAACATATATTTTTTTATACATCATATATCTGCGTAAAAATTAGAACTAAAGAACAAAACACGACTTGCGTAGAATGCCACGAACTTAAACGCCAATTTAAGATAGATTGCAGCACATATAGAAAATTTTAATGTTTTTAAAAAAAATAAAAATGAATAAAAAGTAAATTACATACAAAAAACTATTTAAATGAGAGGGGAACAGGAACTCTTTGGACCTATTCCTCTGGTACGCACATTAACCTCGATACCTAATTACAGCTTCATTGGATTTTACTAACCATCAAAATTAGAAGAAAAAAATCTATTTCTCTTATATTTTTAAGTTAAGAACTTACTTAACTTCCGATTCATGCAAAGCAGCGCTGCTTCTCTCAAAGAATGGCACCAAAAATCCTATCAAAATATATTCTTCCTGAAGCTACAGCCTTGTGGACAAAATTTGATTTTATTCCTTTGCTAAACGCAGGTTTCACGTGGAAGTTAATATCTGACTCAATGTTAAATAGAAGTCATCATTTTAGTCTAAAATAAGCATGAAAAGCAAAATAATTTTCTAAGTTATTATTTCGAAGTCTTTATAGAAACTCGATTTTCGGTTTTCTAGATTAACTATTGATTTAGTTTGTTTATTGCCTATAGGAAGATACATTTGTATTTATAAATTTTAAAGATACCTAATATATAATAATTTAAAGTTTTATTTATCATCTTGAAAGTTTGAGAAATGAATGGAGTGTTAATTGGAGCTTAATTGAAAAAACAATATATGCCATCCAAAATCTAATTTTAGAATTTTCGATAGGTCAAAATAATAGAACCTTTAAGTAATGGAATAAGAATGTGCTCGGTTTAGGAATTTCCTGATGATCGATATCATAAATTTACTAAAATATTCAATGGATTAGTAACTTAAGCATTCAACAACTGCTATATTTCTTGTCTAAAATCATTTTGAAAAAAAATTATTTTTCATTTTTATTTGCTCTTATTATTTTGCATTTATTCAAGCTAAGATTAAAAAGTTCATTTTAAAGTTAAAATTTAAACCAGGCACTGATTTTAATCCAGTATACTCGTAATTTTAACAATTCTATAAGAATTTTTTTTATTGCTACAATTAAAGTTTTACCAGATTTTTTAAAACATTTACTGTTAAAGATTTTATTATTATTGATGATTTCATTTATCTTTAATAGAATCACTAATTTTGCTAACAGTACTAATGAATTCTTTGTCTACATCATGAAGAACGGCAGAAAAATATTCTGCAAAGATACGAGCCATGTACTGATTTTTATGTCCAGGGAAAAAGCCATCTAAAAATCCTATATGTCCTCCTCTGACTGTTATCAATATAGCAACATGTGATGATTCCATGGCGGCATTTACTGGGATTGCATCAAAAGGTTGAAATGGATCATCTGCGGCTGATAAACATAACGTCGGTACTTTTATCATATGTAACTTATTATGTAAAGTTGCTCTTTCATAATAGTGATCAACATTTTGAAAACCAAAATGAACTGATGTAAAGTTATCATCGAATTCTCGTATTGTTCTGCTTTTTAAAACTTTTTCCTTCCATTCGTCTTTTCCGTTAAAAAGAATATCATATTTCTCAACAGTTTTACAGAGAGCATCACAAAGGTGATTACACATCCATCGATTTAAAAATGGTCTTTCAATGCTCTGTGTACCTGTTTTAAAATACGATTTTAAAATTATAGTTTTAAAAAAATATTTACGAATATTTATTTTAGGAAATACAGAAGACACACTAACCTTTTTCAATGTTCCAAGGCACGCTTATTATTTTGGCTGCTGTTATTATTTTTCTTGCTTCTTCTGCATAATGGCTCAAGTAATTTCCTATTAAACATAATGACATCACTTTTTTTATGAATTATCAAAAATTATATTAATATACAATCATTTACCAAGAATCAATCCTCCCATTGATATTCCAGTAACACCTTTGGGAGATTTCGGATATTTTTTGTTTACATGATTTAAAACCTCAGATAAATCTTCAAAATTTGCAGCACAGTATAATCTAGGAGTTAACAAGTCAATGCCACCTAAACCTCTATTATTAAATACACAGCAGCGTAGTCCATTTTCGTTTGCTGCTAGTACTAGACATTTAATATATTCAGCTTGCGACTCCCCAGTTAGTCCTGGTAAAATTATCACTGTTGGAGTATTTTCATTATCACATTTTGTTTTCAGCCAGTCTAATGCAACTTGACCTCCATCATTTAACACAAATATTTCTCTGGAAGAATGGGATAAATTATTTTTATATGGCATTTCTATACCTTTTTATTTTAAATACCTGTTGTAATTTATATTTGGAAGAACTTTTGAACGTAGAAAAGAAGCGAAAATTGTTTGCGCTCTGGATTCTATGCACCAAAATGTTGGCCAATATTTTGCTTGTATTGTTCCAACTTTTCTCAAAAGATAATCTTGAAATGGCCCTGACTGTATTGCTAACAAAGGACGCTGCAAGAAATTTTCAACAGTTAACAGCAGTTAACATTACCAAACACTACGATCTATTGCAGTGAATTGGATATCGTTATTTAAAGGATGTTCGATTTTCATATTTTTATTTTCACTTTTAAACTTCCAAAATATTTGTTATAGAAATTAAAAACAATTTCTAAGTAGATAAATTTAATATTAAGACATGTAGTTAAAAATTTGTAAAGCAATTATCTATGGTTTCAAAACCCAGTTTTTTTGAACAATCAATCATATTTGTAGAGCTTTATTGCTTTTTTTTGAATAATTAGTAGAGGTCGAAGTTGGTGAAGTGAAGTCGTTTCACTTCACTTCACTTCACTAAAATTTCAATCGGTTTCAAGTCAGCTCGAGTGAACTCATTTTTTTCGTGTTCACTCGAGTCGACTTTTAACCGAGTTGATTTTTTCATGTTCACTTTAGTCGACTTTTAACCGAGTTGATATTTTCGTGATCACTCGAGTCAAATTTTAACCGAGTTGATTTTTTCATGTTCACTTTAGTCGACGTGAAACCGACTTGAGTTCACTAAGGAAAAAAAATGTAATATACCAAACTGATTTCTGCTAGTGCTTGTGAAGTATATGTGATTACATACAAAATTGCAGAATTTGCCTTTTTTTACTTTTCATTACCATATAGCAAACTAAACGAATTAATTTAAAATATTTTTCAAACTTCCAGTTTATTATAATTCAAGTTTTAAATTTTTTTCATTATTTATGTTTGTACCTTAAAGAAATTTAACTCTATAAATAAAAAAAAGTGTTATATTTAATGGCGAAATTAAAAACAAGTGAGAAAAAAATAGAATTTACGATTCATTCAGTGCACTCATCAATATATCAATGTTGTCAAACAAATAAATCTGAGATTAAAATATATTCACCAAAATTGGAAATATGGTGTAAATTAAAATAAATTTCATTCATAATTGTAGCAGTTCGTAATAAATAATTTCAAATCAGAAAAATAATCTATAGTGCAAAACATTTATAAAATATATGAAATCAAAAAAATATTTTAAATTAATTCGTTTACTTTGCTTTATGGTTATGAGAAGTAAAAAAGGACAAAGTCTGCAATTTTGTATGTAATCACATATACTTCACAAGTACTAGCAGAAATCAGTTTGGTATATTACATTTTTTTTTCCTTAGTGAACTCAAGTTGGTTTCAAGTCGACTAAAGTGAACATGAAAAAATCAACTCGGTTAAAAGTTGACTCGAGTGAACACGAAAAAATCAAGTAGGTTTCAAGTCGACTAAAGTGAACACGAAAATATCAACTCGGTTAAAAGTCGACTAAAGTGAACATGAAAAAAATGAGTTCACTCGAGCTGACTTGAAACCGATTGAAATTTTAGTGAAGTGAAGTGAGTTTGCTTCATCGACTTCGACCACTGATAATTACTAGAAGTTAAATTAATGTCAAAAAACCTGCAATGCTTTGTTTTTTAATAAATTATAACGTATAGCTATTTGCCGTAAGTTATTGCACTTACCTTTACAGCCTTAACTAAATAATATGTTAAATATCCTACGGAAGCAATGAAGCAAGCATGATACCGGGTAACACTGTATATGCAGTAATACAAATTTTCAAACATTGCTTTACCGACAATTAATCCTTAAAAGATATAATATTAATTTTAAAAGTACTCGAACATATATTTAAAAAAAATTAATCAAGAATTATTGTATTTACTTTATATGCTTGTATTTGTATGTTTTTAACTTTAAAAATTTGTCATGAACCGTATGAAAAATTATTATTGATAAAACTCTTTGGTAGAACAATTCTTTTTTATTTCATTTTCAAGTCTTACTTATTTAATTTCTTACTATGCTCAGATATATCCTTTATTTTTGTTTATTTCTTAGTGTGATGCAATTTTAAGACACGATAATCATTCAATCAATACCTCAAATTACTGCACTGCAGATTTTTTTTGTTCTGTAATTATAATCTGAAATAAGTTCTCTCAAGCGATAAATATGTGTTCAGCCTAAAGCTCATAATCGACATTGGACGCAAATAATGGGAAAATTTTATTATTTTATTTATTTTTAATTTTTAACCCGTTTTTTTAAACGTAAACGTAAAACAATTGTTTCGAAACAATGATTCAGATTCGGAAAAAATGTCCAAGAAATTAGAAGTAGAAAGGAGAAAAAATTTAAGAAAATATTTGTTGTCATTTTGTAAACAAATTTGCTGTCATCTTAGAATCGAATTTTTGTGAGTTAGACAACATATTGGAATGAGATAATTTTACAGAACATAAAACAAATCATGTTTTTTTAATCTGGCATTTAAAACATATAGTTTCAAATCTGATTACCAAATTTGTTGACTCAAGAAAGACGTTTTTTTGGCAAAGATGATGTCCGATTGTAAAAATTTATAAACAAAAAAATCCAGCCTTTTAATACACACATTTTAATACATTTTGAGATTTTTGGAAATGAGTTCTTTAGACTGCACTATGGGATAAAATCGAAATTTTTTTCCGAAAATTATTTTATTGGCTTATTTGAAAGATTTTTATTGAAGGAATCAGAATCTATTTTAATGTTGGCCCAAAGTGCAGCAGTGCTGGAGATATAGCCCGAAATGTATTTTTATAACCTTCGATAGTTAATATTTTCAATTTATCAAAACTTTTTAAATGACAGATATAAGCTGAAAATTTAATATAAATATCAGTCACATAAGTTTTACTTCATGGAAAGTGCTTAAAAATTGACGAAACTTCAAATGTCAGTATTACGACACACTTTATTTGAGTATGTGGATTTCTGATGCATTTATATGTTTTTCTTTAGTCATAAAAATATAGCCTTTTACCAGATCTACAAGAATAATATCCCTTTCAAGGTATAAAATTATATTTATGCATCAAACAATTGAGATTTTTTCAAAAAATATACGGTTTTTAACTATGTTTTGAATTCAATTGACTATAACTGCATATTCCAAGTGAGTGGAGAGACAAATTTTAACTGTTTTATATAGCACTCACTTGTATCTTTTTAAAACGGTGAAAACCTGGAAAAAAGTTCCACCAAATTTTCAACTTTGAACCATTTGAAACCTGTCATCTGCATGCACCTCAAAAATCTTTTTCAACTTTTTTCATCAAAATCATGTCCACGCTTAATAAAACTTTCAAGAACGTTAGAAAATAGTGTTTTTGATGTTTTAAAATCAATTTGAGTTTTTGGCATGGACTTGGACCATTTTTATTTGAAATGTCATCATTTTCCATTTTCAATGAGATGTAAATGCACAATGATTCAGAATCGGAAAAAACGTTCAAAAATTCAAAAATAACATATTAATTAAACTTCATCTTTTAAATGCCAGATTAAAGATCTTAACTTAAGGCATATCCTATGAAAATATCTCGTCCCAATTTGATGTCTAACTCCAGAAATCATTAATTTAATCTCACCCAAAATTTGTTTACAATTTGTGTATGAAAAAAAAATATGATTTTTTCTACTTTAAGTTGTTATTTGGATGTCTTGAAAGCAGTTGCTAGCTAATTTAAGCTTAGCTTTACATATTAAAACAACAAACTCAATAGAAATCTGCTTATTAAGCCTTAAAAATGAATTGAAATCTGAGTATTTTTACAAAACTTAAACTATTCAGAAGTTAAAAAGTCTTCCAAAGACCTCTCTGAAACCTATACAAATCAATTAATTAAGCTTAAATCTATCTCCCATACAACTGGGGACATGCCGTTTGATGCCGTTTTTGAGATATTTGCGATCAAAGTTTACATCAATTTTCATACAAAATTTGATCATGCACAATATTTTTTGATAAACTTTTACAAAGTTTTGGTAAAAAATCATGTTTATCCTTTATATTAAGGACTGATTTTTTGAGCAATGAACGAAAACATTATCTAGAAGATGCTAAAAGATTCAAATCAAGAGAAATTAACAAAAACTTTCAATTTTCTAATGTGTCGGAAAAGTATTGTGCACAAGGAATTTTTGAACATTTTTTCCGAATCTGAATCATTGTGAAATGACTTTAAATAGCCAGTACTTTTATCTTTCCAACAGTACCAAATTTATAATATAAACTCGAGATTTCATATAGTTTTGAGCAAAAATGTTAAGTATGGTTTTTCACACGCCTCGAATTTTGAGTAATTTTTCAGTTTTTTCAACATTATTCAGGGACATTGTACCCATATATGATATATTATATATCGTTGGAAAGGTAATTTAAGCAGCTTAACAGTAAAGGCAACAAAAATATTTTTTGATACTTTCTATGAGCTCATTTACTGCAAATATTTACCGGTAAGTATTTGTTTTGGTGTTCTTATAGCCAGTATTTTTATCTTTCCAACAGTACCAAATTTATAATATATACTTGAGATTTCATATAGTTTTGAGCAAAAATGTTAAGTATGGTTCTTCACACACCTCGAATTTTGAGTAATTTTTCAGTTTTTTCAACATTATTCAGGGACATTGTACCCATATATGACATATTATATATCGTTAGAAAGGTAATTTAAGCAGCTTACCAAAAAAGGTAATACAAATACTTTATGATACTTTCTATGAGCTCATTTACTGCAAATATTTACCGGTAAGTATTTGTTTTGGTGTTCTTATAGCCAGTACTTTTATCTTTCCAACAGTACCAAATTTATAATATATACTTGAGATTTCATATAGTTTTGAGCAAAAATGTTAAGTATGGTTCTTCACACACCTCGAATTTTGAGTAATTTTTCAGTTTTTTCAACATTATTCAGGGACATTGTACCCATATATGACATATTATATATCGTTGGAAAGGTAATTTAAGCAGCTTAACAAAAAAGGTAATACAAATACTTTTTGTTAAGCAAATAGTGTATTTAAAGTCATTTACATCTCATTGAAAATGGAAAATGATGACATTTCAAATAAAAATGGTCCAAGTCCATGCCAAAAACTCAAATTGATTTTAAAACATCAAAAACACTATTTTCTAACGTTCTTGAAAGTTTTATTAAACTTGGACATGATTTTGATGAAAAAAGTTGAAAAAGATTTTTGAGGTGCATGCAGATGACATGTTTCAAATGGTTCAAAGTTGAAAATTTGGCGGAACTTTTTTCCAGGTTTTCACCGTTTTAAAAAGATACAAGTCAGTGCTATATAAAACAGTTAAAATTTGTCTCACCACTCACTTGGAATATGCAGTTATAGTCAATTGAATTCAAAACATAGTTAAAAACCGTATATTTTTTGAAAAAATCTCAATTGTTTGATGCATAAATATAATTTTATACCTTGAAAGGGATATTATTCTTGTAGATCTGATAAAAGGCTATATTTTTATGACTAAAGAAAAACATATAAATGCATCAGAAATCCACATACTCAAATAAAGTGTGTCGTAATACTGACATTTGAAGTTTCGTCAATTTTTAAGCACTTTCCATGAAGTAAAACTTATGTGACTGATATTTATATTAAATTTTTAGCTTATATCTGTCATTTAAAAAAAATTTCATGAAAATTGGTTGAGACAAGAAAAAGTTCTGATAAATTGAAAATATTTACTAGCGAAACTCATAAAGATACATTTCGAGCTATATCTCCAGCACTTCTGTACTTTGAGCCAAAACTCTTGTCTATCCCATAGTTGCACATCAAGAACAAAAAAAAAGATGCTGAATGAAAGTTATGTCTTTAAATTGTTTATCATTTACAAAAAAATTAAAAAGAAATTTTCCATTAAATTCGAAAAATTGACTTTTTTCTGGTTAAAAAATTAAAATTATTAAATTTGAAACAATCTTTAATTCGAGGAAAGTTCTGAGCTTTTATGATACTTAAAGGGAACTTGGGGTTGGGCTATTTTAGCAGGAAGAATTGCGATTCAAATAATAAATTGAAAGATTCAGTCTTTTAAGCAGAAAGTCTTGTGTGTCGCGTGATGCTAAGCTCAGAATTTATAGATCCTGCATCAGACCAATTATGACCTACGCCTGTCATGTGTTCGCAAATGCTGCAGTTTGTAATCTAAACAAACTCCAGTTATTTCAAAACAAAATGATCCGTTTGATATTAGACGTTCATTGGGACGATTTTAAGTCTACTAAAATCATCCATGATTCTTCAAACATTCCTCTTTTTTCAAATTTCATCACTCACTTAACTGTCAACTTTTAAAGAAAGATAACGCATCATTCTAACGATCTATTTTCATCTTTAGGTCAATATGTTTACGATTCACTGAGGAGTTTTAGAGTAAAACATAAATATCTTTAGGTATTAGTTCTTTAAATTTCTCTTTCTTTTTATAAATACCCGAATAGACAAAGAGCGTGCTCACTTTTGTGAGCACGTTAATGAGCATGCTCAAAATCATCATTTAACGTGCTAACCTGAGCACACTCAGTTGAACATGCTTGTGAGCACATTAGGAATATGCTCACAAAAAAACAAATTTTTTGAAATTTTTTATTTTATTGAGCATGCTCGAGAGCATACTCAATTCCTAAATCTAAGCATACTCACTTGAGTACACTCTTAAGCATACTCGTGAGCACATTGTGAATATGCTCACAAAAAAAACAATTTTTATAATATTTCACATTTTATTGAGCATGCTCATGAGCATACTCAATTCTCAAATTTAAGCATGCTCACTCTTAAGCATACTCGTGAGCACATTGTGAATGTGCTCTAAAAAACATTTTTTTTAAGACTTCACATTTTATTGAGCGTGCTCAAGAGCACATATATTGAGCATACTCTGAGTATGCTCATGATTTTGTATATACTTCACAAGTCAAAGTTTCTAGAATTATATATAGTTATCTACTTTTTAACTATAAACATTGTTTAAAAACATTTTGAGATCAATTTCGAAGTATTTAACTTTGTTATAGTTTATATATGAGCTTTTGCCATAATAAATTATTAAGGTAAATTGCAGCAGTGGTGTAATGGCTATGGTAATGGTCTTAGCAACAGAGCGGTGGTAAGTTCGAATCCAGGTAAAATCCAAAATTTTCTAAAGTGTCTTTTTCAGATTATTAATGAACAAAATTTATTCTAGAACATTAAAGAACTCTACAACAGTAAATATATCAAAAAAATAATTTCAAAATTTAATTTTCTTTGAAAATTATAAAATAATGTAACTGAGTGGAGCATGCTCAGAGTACACTCACGAGCACACTCACTGAGTATACTCAAATGTCACATCATATGACATAAAAAATGTTGCATGTAACACAACAATTTGAGCATGCTCAAAATTTGTTAAAATAAAGTGCTCAGAGCATGCTCAAAAAACGTGCTCATTAGCGTAAAGTAGTGGCATCACTTTTCGTATGAAAGAGCACGCTCACGCGAGCATGCTCAGCACTAAATTTGAGCGCGCTCATAGCGTGCTCTTTGTCTATTCGGGATATATGAAATTTGATTTGACTTAGTCTTTTTTGTAAAATATTTTTTTTAGACCTTTAATTCTTTTATACAATGTTCCCTTGCTCTACATATTACCAGGGTGGGGTAGTTTTTTGCGATTTATATCAAAACCCCAAATCAAATTGTGATTTTTGATTTAAATCTCACTACAAAATGATTTGAAATTTTTATGATTTAAATCATTTGTATGAAAGATTTTTTTTTTGATTTTTGTTTTTATTACATTGTATGGGGATTTTTTTTTTGGGATTTTAAATCACTTGAAGGTGAAAATTTGTTTGGAAGTTTTCAGAAGATTATTACAAATGACTAATCATTAAGAATCGATATCCTTTCTGGCTATCGGAAAAATGACAGCAACCATTGATTCCATGGTTTAGTTCATGAATTTTTATTTTCTGTATCTTGCTGCTTAAGTTTACAGATGTTGGTATAGCTGTACATGATAAAGCATGAATGGATCTTGCGCCATATGAGGAACTAGTCACTTCCAGTACCTTTAAAGCGTTTTTTGATAAGTTTTCATTGTCAATGAGGTATACATTTATGTTTCTTAGCCAAAAGTATGATTAGACACTCCGGGCAATCGGTTCCTTTACATCCAAAAAAATTTGTTGTTTCTTATTAATCAAGGAATCACATCCTGAAACAAAATTTTTTTTTTTCAAAGATCCATTCATGCTTTATCATGTACAGCTTTACCAACATCTGCATACTTAAGCAACAAGATACAGAAAATGAAAATTCATGAACTAAACCATGGAATCAATGGTTGCTGTCATTTTTCCGACAGCCAGAAAGGATATCCATTCTTATTGATTAATCATTTGTAATAATCTTTTGAAAATTTCCAAACAAATTTTCACCTTGAAGTGATTTAAAATCCCAAAAAAAAATCCCCATACAATGTGATTTAAATCATAAATCAAAAAAAAAATCATTCATTTTTTTTCATTTGTAAAGAATAAAACATACCAACAAACATACAAATTATTTAAATCATAAATCACAAATAAATCTTTCATACAAAATGATTTAAATCATAAATCAAAAATAAATCACTTGGGTAAAATAATTTAAATCAAAAATCATTTTGTAGTGAGATTTAAATCAAAAATCACAATTTGATTTGGGATTTTGATTTAAATCGCAAAAAACTCCCCCACCCTGTTTATAATTATTATTATTGTCAACTAATAAAGATTCTAATGTACCACTCCCTTGGCCTTGGTACGGTGTAAATATATCCGCTTTGGGTTTCTACCAAGTTTCTACCCAATACACTAGTTTTATAAATTTTTGCTCAATAATGCAGTCTTTATTGGCACTAGGCTTTATTTTGGCCGTAAACCTTTTTCAATAATCAAATATTGTACATTTTAAAAGCTTCTCGTTTTCAATATATTAAATTTGTGAATATAAATGTATATTTATATATATGTATATTTACACTTCAATATTATCTTTTTAAAACATTAAAGCGTGTTGAAATTAAGAGCTTTAGAATAAGTAAGGATTTAAGTAAATTAGTAAAAAATAACGGTCCATAGATAGTTTGTACAACCTGAAGCTGTTTGCGTTTTCGCATATTTGAATTTCAAATGATCGCTAATCTAATTTTTTAATTGCTGTCCTGGACGACTTAAGCTTGAATCTGATAGATTTTAATAATGTTCTATACTAGTTGACTAAATATCAAGGCTTTGGAATAAAAAACAAGCTCTTTAAATCGAACTGTTCACTTCTTTACGCAGCACGTACAAAAATACACAAACACTAATGAACTGTATAACGGGTGCAACTTCAAGGCATAGATTTTTTTTTGGCAAAGCGCTAACCTCGATTCATTCAATTCATCACATTGCCGGAGTTTGTAAGTTAAAATTGTTAAAGGATTTTTTTATTTAAAAAAAAAGATGTCTAACACGGAAGAAAGCTTTGATGGTCATGAATCTAGTGATGGAGATGAAAAGAAAGCGTACGAATCGATTCTGTCCAATCCTTCATATTTTTCTGCTACCATGAAGGTAAGAATTGCGTTTTATTTATCACATCATGAAAAAAAGAGATGAAATTTTGAGCTCATTGTCACTTATTTAATTTTATAGCGTATGCTTTTAAAACACATGGTAAAAAGTTTGCCGGAAGCTGCTCAAAAGCGTGTTAAGGCATTGAAGAATCTACAATTAGAGTTTTTAAAACATGAGTGCATGTTTTTCGAGGAAGTCTATCAGTTAGAAAGGAAATATCAAGAAAAGTATCAAGCAATTGCAGATAAAAGAAAGTCCATCGTAAATGGTGATTATGAGCCAACAAATGAGGAATCTGAATTTAAATCGGATGTTGAGGACGAAGATGAAGATGACGCTATGATACAAGAAAGATTGAAAAGTATGAAGTCCATCCAGCAATATGATGCTAATGTTAATGGTAATTATGAAAAGAAAATTTCATGTGTTTAACAAAAATTTAATGGTTTTATTATTCTTTTATTTTTGAAGGCATACCGGATTTTTGGTTAACAATTTTCCGAAACTCTGAGTTATTAAACGATATGATTCAACCTCATGACGAAACTTTGTTAAAGCATTTGATTGATATTAAGATCAAGTACGACGAAGATTTGTCGTATACACTTGAATTTCATTTTCAACCAAACGATTACTTCACTGATTCAGTTTTGACAAAGAAGTATTTTTTGCGGTGTAAAATTGATGGTGAAGAACCATTTGAATTTGAAGGACCTGAGATTTATAAATGCACAGGCTGCAATATTAATTGGAAGCCAGGCAAAAATATTACAGTTAAAACGATAAAGAAGAAACAAAAGCATAAGGCTAGGGGTCAAGTTCGTACTATTTCAAAGCAAGTTCCCACGGATTCCTTCTTTAACTTTTTCAATCCCCCGGAAGTACCAGAAGATGAGAACAAGCTTGACGAAGAATCGCAAAACATTTTGGCAACTGATTTCGAAATTGGACACTTTCTAAGAGCTCGGATCATTCCTCGTGCTGTTTTATTTTATACTGGCGATTTAGTTGACGACGACGAAAGTGGTAATTCTCATTAATTGTTTCTTTAATACTATTTTTTAATCTGACACTTATTTAGATGACGACTTGGAAGAAGAAGAGGACGAAATGTCTGAGGAAGAAGAGGAAGAAACTCCAGAACCAGCACAAAAAACTGGAGCACGCAAAATAAAAGGGCCAATGAAAGGAAGTAGCGGTGGAAAACAAGGTGAAAATCCAGCAGAATGCCAACAACAATAATTTCTTGGATATCTTCTTTTATTATTTCTTTTTTAAAGCTCTTCATGTGAAGTATAAGCATTATTCTTTCTTCAATTTTTTCATATGAACTTAAATTCTTTATAAACAAAAACCTCAATAAATTCATTTTTGAAATATCATTCTCTAATCAAAAAAATCGCAAACAACATGAATAGATCGTATAATATCTAGCTACATGTAGCGTTACATCAGAAATGCATTTTTTATATTCATTTTTCCAAAAAAAGGAACATATTTTTAACTGTAACTGATTATAGTTTGTTTTTTTTCTGACAAAAAGGAAGAAATAAAATAAAAAGATATTCCTTGATATTACCAATAATTCTTATTACCTTTATTAACTTCTTTAATAGAAATGTCAAAACAAATACCCAAATAGTTTGTATACATAAAATTATGCTTACAAGCAGGGTTGTTAAAACATATTCTATTTTACAGAATATGTACACATATCCAAAACATTTTGCATGTTAACGTGTACAATGTGTGGCAGAATTCATATGTTGGCAGATAATATATGTCACACATTGCATATGTGCACATATTTTATGTGGGATGTGTGACACATTATTTTGTGTCACATATGAAAATGTGTGATGTGTGACACATATTTATGTGTGTAGATATCATGTGTAAACATGCAAAATCTGCACATATTTATTAATTTGCGGGACTAAAGTGGTATTATTGATATATAACCAAAACAGTCAAATACTGCATAAAAGAGTTAATTTTGTCGAAATATGTTCATCAAACTGTAATTTTAAACTAATTTGATTTTATTTGGAGAAATGAAGATTAAACCAAGAATGATGAGCTTCAGTTATGATCAAATCTTTAATAGTAAAACTCTTGTCCCTTAATCACTTGTAAGTCAAGTTTTCAGAAAATAAAGTCAAATTAGTTTAAAATTACAGTTTGATGAACTTATTTTCGACAAAATTAACTCTTTTATGCAGTATTTGATTGTTTTGGTTATATATCAATAATTTTTTAAATAAATTCTTCAAAAAAAATACCACTTTAGTCCCGCAAATTAATAAATATGTGCAGATTTTGCATGTTCACACATGATATCTACACACATAAATATGTGTCACATCACACATTTTCATATGTGACACAAAATAATGTGTCACACATCAAATATGTGCACACATCACACATAAAATATGTGCACATATGCAATGTGTGACATATATTATCTGCCAACATATGAATTCTGCCACACATTGGACACGTGAACATATTTTTAAAAAAGGCCAGATTCTATTTTTAACCACCCTGCTTACAAGCCAAATCTCAGAAATTGATTTTGCTTCCTAATTTCCTAAAATAAGTAAAGTATTAAGAGATCTGAATTAATCAGCTTTAAAATTTCAATTTTGATTATGTTTGACAAGAATTTAGCTAATGATGATTGCGAGTAGGCAAAATGTGATGTTTCCTTTAAGTTTAACTTTATTGAAACAGTTAACTTCCTCTCGAGTTTGATTACCTTATATTTACAGCTAACTTTAGCATAAATAATATCTTACAAATCAAAATCATGAAAAAAAAAATGGGAAATTGAGCACGAATTTAAAATTTTCATATTAAAAATTAACAATCAAAGCATATAAAAAACATTTTGTGTTAGACAATGTTTTAAAATAGATTAAAAGGCGCCAAATATAAATCTAGTCCTTTTATAGTTGGGACATTTTAAAAATAATACCTAAAACAGCTGATTTTTCTTTAAAACAAAAATACGTTTTATTTTCAAATAATTTTAAAATTAGCATGAATGCAATATGAATGATGAACAACTAAGGATGTGTGGCACTTTTGTTGAGGTCAATATGCGAACGAAAGTGTAATTCGGGATCGTCATACTTGGAGTGAGAATGATTAAAATGTTCTGGGTGTTCATAAACCGCATAAACGTAGATTAGAGGAATGATTACACAAAACGCTAAAATAACAATAAGCAAAAACACCCAACTAAGCTCGCAGTCACTTCCATTAAATGTTAAGAATTCGTTTTTTGGCAACCTTATTGATTTTGGATATCCCCGAAATCGTTTGTCCTTTAACAACGGTTCATTAGGCATTTCATTTTCTAAATTATTAGCATCATCTAAAACATCAAGTTTATCACTACAATCAATATTTCTTAGTACTACATTGCTAATTGAAGCCAAAAGTAACTTTTCTTCAAGTATTTCTTTGCTAGGCAAAAAGTTCTTTGACGATGAAACAGCTTTAGGACTATTATGTCCACTTTTATGGATTCTCGGCAGAGTATCAACTAATATATTGTGTGGACTAAGTGGAACTTTAATTGTCTTAAACGCATGAATTTCATTGTCTTGATGTATCTTATTTAATTTCTTTATATCACTAACTGAGCAATTGTTTCGAATGGCGATCGAATGAATTGTGTCATTTTCAAGAACTTCTGCTTGCAATGTCTGCTCGTGACGGATTTTTATTTGTCGTTGACTATCTGATATACTTCAATTTTAAGGAAGATAAAAATACAATTAAAATATGCCTTAATTAAACTATCGAATTAATATTTCTTACTTCATTAAACCTATATCATCAAAAGTTTCTTTTCTATAATAAAGACACAAAAAATAATAAATATAAACAAGGATTCAATTGGCGTTACGTGGAAATTTTTAGGTTTATTTTATTACTTCGTCCTAAGCATTTTAATAGCACCAAAATATTATTAAATAACTTTGAAGTTACTAATCTTTTTTGTTTTAAATCGTATTTGAAAACTGCCTAGGTATTAGAAAAATTACTTTTTAATTATTTTTACAACACAAAACACTTTCTTTTTTACATTTATTTTATTTATCTTCATATGAATTGGACTCAATTAACCGACTTCTCATAAAATCTATTACATTCAGCAAGCAAACTTAAAAGAAATATTAACATTTTAAAGCTAATAACGTTTTTTTAATCGCTAATTATACACAAATTAATATAATATCATTTTATTTTGAATCAAACTCACTGAGACTGGAGGATAGAGTTGATTGTCGAAAATGAACAGACTAGTCTTAAAAAATGTTCCAGTAAGTTTTTTAGTCCAATTTTAAATATTTCAAAGTTTTAATACTTTTAATAAATTCGCTTTAGATATCAATGACAAAAGCACAAATCACATCGATATTCTTTCCAGAATTAGAACATATCGAAATAAACTTTCCAAAACGAAATAATAATAATTATGACATTACAAGGAATGTGTTGATTCGGCTCAATTCAAAAAATGAAGCAATTCTCTGTTCAAGATTTATCAATCGTCTCGAATTTCAAAATGTAGAGGCATCTATTGCCGAAGTTGATACGAATAAATCGAATAACAAAAATGTCCAACGATGTGCATTTTGTGGAGATATGAATGCTGAGTTTATGTGTAATGACTGTAGTACGCTTTTTTTTAGCACATTCTATTGCTGCAAAGATCATCAAGAACGAGATTGGAGTAGACATAAAATTGAATGTAAATCCTTGCCTGCTTTAAGGAGAGTAGACGATTTAACCGAAATAATATCCAACACAAATCATACAAATGAAAAAAATGATTATAATCTCACAGAAAATGAGTCGCAATCTATTAAAAAAGGAAAATACAAAATACAAACAATGGATATTAAACCAAACTGTAAAGTAGTGATAACTTTTGTAACCGATACAAGATTGTTTTACATTCGTTCACTGTGCCTTGAGTCAAATGATTTAATGAATACAATTCGACATTATTCAAAAAGTGCTCCTGTAATTTTAAAAAAACCGTCCATAGATGAATATGTTTTAGTAAATAATCATCGTGCTAAAGTTTTAGACTTATTTGAAACTGATCAGAATGTTAATGCTCGAGTTATCCTAGCGGATTTCGGAAATGAAGTTGAGACTAAATGGCAAGATATGAAACATTTGAATTATAAAATTAGAGGGAAACCAAGTTATACACAGAAAGTTATATTAAATGATGTATCAAATGAAAAGTACGACCGAAATGTTGACAATTACTTGCAGAAATTATCGTTGGATCAAGAAGTACTGGAAGTAGTTGAGATTTTCGGAAATCAAATTAATGGATTAAAAGTAGTCCTAAAGCATTCGCAGACAGGTCATATAATTAATGAAGTTATAAAAACTATGCTCAACAATGATCAAGATGAAAAATATTTTTATGATGTTTGTAATATTTGATTTCTTAAACACGTGCATTCGACTAATTTTTTGTTTTATTAATTTATTAAGGTAAATAAGCTATCAAAATTGGCAACAAGCTCATCCATAAAGATTTTTATAACCGACTCTTCACAATTGGAAAATCAGAAATTGCTTTCATGTATCCCTTATGAAAAACTTTCCGACTACCTTCTTATGTTGGATGAGCTTAAAAAATACTGTAAGCGAATTTCGAATGAACCTTACTCAACACCTGCGTTAGTATTATTTTAATTAACTTGAATTTAGCCATATGTGATTTGATTTATATATATTTTTTTCTTTAGTCTTAATGAGGTGTGCATAGTTAAATATAAAGAACAATGGCACAGAGCAAGTTGCAGTGATAGTAACTCTCAAAGTGAATTCATCAAGTTCATACTAATTGATCTAATGATTAATGTCAAAATTATAAGGAATAATGTAAGGAAAATTCCACAGTTATTCTCAAAGCACTTTTATACATCACTTTGTTACGTTAATGAAGAAAATGTTGCAAAAATTAAACAAATAATTGAAAAGGATAAATTTATACATGCTTGCATTCGATATGATAGTAAAACTAAATGTCACATTTTGAATAACTTACTCTAAATCAATTTAAACGGTTTAAAAAACTTTGAATTTTGCATAAGTCTGACCCCTTTGTTGTTTTTTTTAACAATTCAATAAAAAATAACATTACATTTCATATTGCCTATTTAATTTTTAAAACATGGGAGATAATAAATGTTTTGAGGCACGTGAAAACATTTTAAAGTTTCAGGAAGAGATGCTTAACATCAAAAGCTTTGAAAATGAAATGAAACAAAAGGAAAAGGAGGTCATTTTCCAGAAGAGAATTGAAATAAATTCACATGAAGTAAGTTATATTCATAAAGAAAATACAATTTCTTAGCATTTTAGCATAATTTATAATGTATGATATTAAAGGAAAGCATAATCCCAGTTCGATCAAATTTGGAAATTTATCAAAAGTATACAATTGAATCTATGGAATTGAGTAAGGAAGAAAACAGTGTTTCGTCAAAAAATAAGGTAGAAAATGTACAAGAAAGGAGAAAAATAGCAAATGAATGGAAGGAAAAAGGAAATGATTTTGTCAAATTAAAGGATTATGTTTCAGCAAGTCAGTAGTTCATTTATTCAATTAATATTAAAATTAATATTTTTGTAAATATTTCCCAGTTAACATGTACTCGAAAGCCATTGATATATATCCAGACGACCCAGTTTTTTACTCAAACAGATCTCAATGTTTTTTGAATTTAGAGAACTACGGTGAATGCATCAACGATGCAACAAATGCCCTAAAGTTGGACATACATTTATCAAAGGCTTATTATCGTCGCATGATGGCATATGAAAAACTTAATGAAAATATTAAAGCTCTTCAGAATTGTCAGGAATGGATGAGTACATTGCCAAACGATCAATTAGCAAAGAACTCTTATGATCGCATTCACAACAAAATCATAGAATTCACAAAACAAAAAGAAAAGAAAAAAATCCGATGGTCTCGATTGACAGATTTCAACAATTTCATATATGATAAGCCATTACATGCTCAGTCAAAAAAGAGTGTCCAAAAAGTCAACGTAACGCTCAAAAAATCACATTCTCCAATTCCAGATGACGTTATAGATACAATTTTCAACAATAACACAGGAGAACATAATGACACTTCTGAACATGATTCAAAACTTTTCAAGGCGAATTTCCTATCAAGTTCTTATATCAAACCTAAGCCTTTAATTATAGAAGACAAAAATATTGTAAATGAAGCCAATGAAATTTTAAAAGCGAATGATAAGAAAGGACACGAAGAAATACCAAATTTGGAAAATATCGAAAAAATTAAAAACGAATTAATCATCCTTCCGCAAACTGGGCCTCAATTTTATGCTGCATGGAAAGAACTTACTGACGAATTAAGGTTCTTATATTTAAAAAATATAGCTGAAAATAACGTTAAAATAGGAAAACTCCTTGGAGCTCAACTCAATAGCGAAATGCTTGCACAAATCATACAAGTTGTTCATAAATATTTTATATCATACAAAATCTCGTATATTGATTTCATCCACGAATTAAGTAAAAATTCTGAGTTGTCAGTTCTATCAATGTTTTTGGAAAATGAAGATAAGAAAAGTAAGTAAATGAAAAATTCATGTGCTGATATAGTGATAAATATTATTTCGTTAATTTTTTATTAGATTTAGAGGAGCTTCTCAATATTTTCCAAAATGATAACGATGATACATTCCTGGTTAAACAAGTTCGTCAAAATTTCGACATTTAGTGAAAAGAATGATCTGTAATTGTGCCTGAAAGAACAATAAAAATTAAATAAAATACTAGGAGTTAAATTTTTCATTAATTATTGTTATTTTATTTTCAATCAACTTATTAAATTTCATATAAATTTGTTCTGAATTATGTCTGTATTGGCATTTTTAGGATGGGGGGTAAAATCCCCGAAAGATATTAATTCCACGATCCAGCGAAATAATAACCCAGAAAAACGCAAATTTTTAAATGTTCCCTTCGGGATAATATTCCCACTTAGAAACACACGTGGAATTTTTATCCTTCCGGGAAGATAATAATCCCACCTACATTTACAAGTGGGATTATTATCTTCCAGGGAGATAATAATTTCATTTATATTTCTAAGTGGTATTATATCTTTATGGAACACGATTAAAATTATGGATTAAATTAAAATCCAAAAACATTGTATTAATAAGTGGATTTATTATCTAAGGGGCCGTTCACTTATTACGTTACGCAAAAAAACGACTTTTTTCACCCCTCCACCCCCCCTTGTTACAATATGTTACAACTCACAACCCCCCCCCCCCCCTCTGAATGTTTGTAATTTATTTTATTTTGATAAATTTTTTTAAAAGACAGACGACAGTTAGAACGTTACATATATATAATATAATGTGTGAAGGGCCCAGCCTTTCAGCTGGAGGCACTGCGATTCAAATTAGAACAGAATCTATTGTACCACACCCTTTAGACCTACAGTTTATAGTGGGATCCGAACCACTTGCAAGTTACATACTTCTGACATACCCCCCACCCCTATGTTACATTTTGTTACAATTTTTTAAACTCCCCTTCCCCCCTAAAATGCGAACATAATAAGTGAACGGCCCCTAATAGAATTTTCATCCAAAAAAATTCGACTTATAAATTTGTCAATTTTATTATTCCAAAAAATTATATAAGAAGAATACATAAATAGGTATTGGTTGAATGTTTGCTATTTAAAACTAATGTATCGGGTAGAAACCCAATCCGGATATATTTACACCGTACCATCAAAAGTCTTATGGATAGACCAAGATTTGCTCAGCATAAGTTTGAAGGTATAAAGCTAGCGAGAAAACCCGAAGTCTCTACGATTTCTCGCTATTGAGATTTCTTGCTGATTAACTTGCTTGCTTGATGAAATGATGTAAAATTTCAGGCACAAACTTTTCTTCTTGGGCCTAATATAACCAATTTTGCTTTGTTTTCTCACAAAATGCGAAAAACTGATTTTTCAATCTGAACAAAACCAATAGATTCACACGAGAAAACGGACGGCATCTTGTTTCGTTTCGTTCATTAAACTGTTTGAAAATTCGGAGTCGTTCCATCAATTCCAGTCGACAGGATTAAGCTATAGATCAGTTTCTTTCATCAGAGCGTAGTATTTTACCAATTCTTTGATTCCTATATTTATCAAGGTTCCGAATAAAGACAATCCTTTTTATGAGTGGAATTCAAAAATATGAGCTTTCATAATCCAAAGTCAATGAGTTTGTTTCAAAAAAACCTGATTATTCAGGCATACAGGGTCACTTAAACAAAATAAAAAGATTTGTACAAAATTCAAAAGTACCTAATATTGTGTAATTCTTTCAAACGTGAGCTCTTTTTTGGATTATTGCTCAACGGTAAAAAATTATTTGAATTATTCACTAACACTATGATACAAAACATCAAAAATTAAATTCTCAAATTTCTTAGTTATTCAATCATAAATCACAAATATTATGATTTGAATACGAAAATTAGATGATACATTAGCTTCTCTGACTATTTTAAGGGTTTTTACATCATTATTAAGTGATATTTTCGTGACTTTTCAAACAAATTACAACCGAAAAAATTCAAAAAATTTAAAACCGTTAAAATTTTTTTTAAACTTAATTATGTTTGTTTAAGTTAAGCAATAAGTCCAAACATTCTAGTTTCGCAAAAAATACTTACAAAATATTATTTATATTTTTAAGCATAAAATTGTCACTTATTGTTACGATAAACTTCCTATATTTATTGTTACGATAAACTTCCTATATTTATTGTTAAGTATATTTCTTATAAACAATTATATTTGAATAAAAGCACTGATACTTGTAATTAAGCTTCAGTGCACTCCGAAGTCTTACTACGACTTCTACTTCAAAAAATTTGGAACAAAAAATATAATTGGGATGATACAGTTGATCAAGATTTAGTCTCTGAATTTAGAAATATTTTTCAAGAATTTCCCTTACTAAAAGAAATAACATTCCCTCGTTGGATTCACTCGTTATCCGAAAATGGAATTGAACTTCTTGGATTTGCAGATGCATCAAAAGAAGCTATAGCATGCGTCATTTATGCGAGAGTGAAAAGGGACAATGAATACAAGACTTCCATTATTTGTGCCAAAAGTCATTTGACCCCTCTTCACGTAAAATTCTCAAAAGGCTTCAATACTGGGAATTTCACAACACCCAAATTGGAACTTTCTGCATTAAATTTATTATCTGATCTTATGGAACAAGTCATAAAATCTTTGACCCGTGACATCAAAATAACGGACTGTCATGCATTTACAGACAGTGAAGTTGTTCTTAATTGGCTACATCATTCAATACATGAAAATACAATTTCTAACAAAGTTATTAAAAAATACACTAAGTCCATTCTTAAAGTTTTCACAATTGAAAAAATTCACCATGTGAGAACAGCGTTTAACCCTTCGGACAGTGCTTCAAGAGGTTTAAGCCCCAAAGATCTTAAAGAAAATTCAATTTGGTTTCAAGGCCCACCGTTATGTCAACAAACTGACTTCCCTAAATTTGAAAAAGCTAAGCCTAAAGAGCAAATATCTCTCCTTACTTCAAATAATGCCAATGAATTCGCTGAGACGTTGTTAACTCGCCATTCGATATTCTCAATGCTAGTTCTATTAGTTGCTAGAATTCTAAGATGGAAATATAAAACTAAAGGAACTTTCACAAATCATGAATTGTATCGCGCTGAAAAATGTATAATTCGATTGCAACAATCTCTTTCTTTTCCGGAGGAAATTAAGAATTTAAAGAATAAACGACCCTTACCTATTAGATCAAGAATACGCACATTACAACCATTTCTAGATGAAGATAATTTGTTAAGAGTTGGTGGTCGAGCTGAACATGACCCTTCTCTCACTTTTGACGAAAAACATCCTTACTTACTGGACTCAAATTCAATTCTTGCTATACCATTAATACGAAGAGCTCACTTAACGTTAGGACATGGTGAAAATAAATTAGTAAGACGCGAACTGAGAAATAAATTCTGGATATTGACTTGTAAAGAGAAAATAAAAGCATTTATAAAAAGATGTCCTACTTGCATTAGATCCAAAAAGCAATTCCCTGACCCTCCTATAGGGCAACTACCAGCTGATAGGCTAAAGCCTGCAACACCCTTTTCTGTAGCTGGGGTAGACTTCTGTGGTCCCTTCTCATGCAAAGCATCAAATCTAAGAGGAGTTAGATCATTTCCCTCTTACGTGGCAGTATTCATTTGTTTCTTTACTAGAGCAATTCATCTGGAACTTTGTTCTGATCTGACTGCTGAATGCTTTCTTCAATGTTTTAATCGATTTGCGAATCGAAGAGGTACACCTACCCGTCTTTATAGTGACAACGGAAGAAATTTTGTAGGAGCTTCTAATATCCTAAAAAATCGTATTCGTTCCATTTCAACTGAATTTCGTTCTCAAGTAACGAACGTAGAATGGAAATTCAATGTCCCTCGGGCGCCTGACATGGCTGGTCTCTGGGAAGCAGCTGTAAAATCATTCAAGAAAAGTCTAAGAAAAATTGTTAACCCTACTGTAATATTGAGTTATGAAGAATTAAACACTATTTTAACACACTGTGAGGCAATTCTGAATTCAAGACCACTGAGTGAAATTTATGAAGATAATGGAGAACCTCTCCCTCTTACTCCATTTCACTTTCTTATTCATAGAAACTTTGCCCCAATTCCACCTGATGATAAGATCTTAACTAATTCTATATCCGTCACAAGAAGATGGAAGTTTGTTGAAAAACTTAATCAAGATTTATGGAAAAAATGGTTTGATGAAATATTTCCAACTCTTCAAAGAGTTCCTAAATATGCAAAACGACTAGCTAACCTAAAATTAAATGATCTGGTGATTCTTAAAGATTCAACCCCTTCTACTTTATGGCCAATTGGAAGAGTCATGAAACTCTATCCCGGAATTGATGGAATAATTCGTGTAATTGACATAAAAACTAAAACAGGAACTTATAAACGAAAAATTAATCATATTTTGCCTCTAACTTCTGAAGATGAGCAAATTATTACAATTGATAACTCTAATATACCCAAAAATGTTGTAAACTCTAAATTAGATAATAAAAAAGCAATTAATGGTAATTCTAAGAAAGATAATCCTAATTTGAAACAAAAGCAAACCATAGCTTCTCACTCTTCACTAGTATTACCTAGCAATCAGCCAAGATTAACTCGTGGACAAGCGAAAAAGCAAGGAATCTCTCCACAAGCGCTAATTACGTTACTGCTAATCACGTATGGACAACTCACTGGTGCAATGGATGCACAACCAAATTTATTAAAGATCATAGAAGATGATTATACACTTTTTAATGCGCTGCCAGATCCTGAGAAGTTAGTTGCAGAGAAATCATTAACAGATCCAACAAAATGGATAAGTATAATTACTCCTGGGGCAATAGTCATAGTCATATTTATCGGTTTGTGGGTATGGAAGTTGCTTAAGGTGAAAAGAAATGCAAATACCAAATCACTGATCTTCAAAAGAAGACCCCAAGCCCTTCAAATACAACATGTAAATTCAGATCTAATTGAGCAACCAATAGAAAATAATACAAAGGCGAATCATTATGTAAATGTGGCACTAGAATTTTTGGAATGGGAACTTGAGCCTCCGATTGAGAACAACTCTTCTGTTGGGGAGGATGTTTAAGTTAAGCAATAAGTCCAAACATTCTAGTTTCGCAAAAAATACTTACAAAATATTATTTATATTTTTAAGCATAAAATTGTCACTTATTGTTACGATAAACTTCCTATATTTATTGTTACGATAAACTTCCTATATTTATTGTTAAGTATATTTCTTATAAACAATTATATTTGAATAAAAGCACTGATACTTGTAATTAAGCTTCAGTGCACTCCGAAGTCTTACCAAACGTACTTCGTATATTTTATTTATTCTGAGTCATCAGTACTCAAAGCTTTACTGTTGAAACCCATCCTCAACAATGTTCATTTAAGCATGTTTCCAGACAATTTATCAAGTTTTTTGAAACTAAACACAAGAGAATAAAATTTCTAATTTAAAAAAATAGATTTGAAGATATATCAATAGAAGCTGACAAAGTTAAAGCAAAAAATTCCCAAAAATTATTGGTGAGTGACGCTTAATTAAAGTGATTTTCTGAAGCAACTGCTTAACTTTAGGAAATGAGTTGTATGTCAAAAGATAGAATTTCCTACAAGATAAAATAACTTTGAAATTTATCACTATTGTGGTTTCGGAGATATTTAAGATTTAAAGCGTCACTCACGAATAATTTTTTTTCGTCGTGGCCCGATTTTTATATTCATTTTATTTTTGTTCAAATTGAAAAACAGTTTTTCGGATTTTGAGAGAAGGAACAAAATGGGCAAAACAGAATTTAATTGGTTGTATCATTGATGAGAAAATCGCATAATACGCTTTCTGTAAGCAAACAAGCAAATCCTAACAGACAAAGAGCACGATCTGAGCATGATTTTTAAAAATAAATATTTTAATTTGATGACGCTAAATTAGCGTACTCTCCCATACAAATAGAGATCGCAGCAGGGTACCACAGAAATCACGCTCTCAAGAGTACGCTTTTTTACTTGCAAATTTTTCATGCAAGTAAAACTTGAGATCATGATCAAGAACATGTTCTGCTGATCATGCTTTAATTTTAATTATTTAATTAATTATGAGCTTATGATTATGCTCTTGATCATGGTTTTGAGAAATTGATATTTTTCTTCTTTTTTTGTGATTGTCGTGATTCGAACTCGAGTACGATGTGTTGTGGTTTGTCCTGGTAACTGTTCATGTTGTCTAATGCCTTCTGAAATAAAATAACTTTCAAATGGCGAAAAGACATATTTAAACTATAGAAAGTCCAAAATAATTACTTATAGAAGTGATTTCTGCTTTCTCTTGTGAAGTATATAGGACTTAAACTAGTGATTTTTGCTAGCGATTGTGGAGTATATAGCAAGAAAAATTTGAGCATAATCTCATGAGGATGTGAATGATCATGTTTTTTATAAACTCTTTTGATTATGCTTTTGAGATTATATAAAAGATTATGAAGTAAAAACTTGCATACAAGTTATTTACAATTAGAGTATGATTGAGTCCGCTATTAAACATGCTCTTTACTGGGATCTTGAGAGAATGTTAAAAAAGCGTATTCTCAACCGTACTCTTAATCAAGAGCATGTTCTTTGTCTGTTAGGGAAAGCAGCAAGTAAATCAGCTCTGTACGTTTTAAATCTTGATAGACTTTTATTTCAAAACTATTTGCGGCTTTTAGATAATTTGCAAAAGGCATAAAAACCCAAGTTGTCAACTTAAGCATTCAACCAATATTTATGCATTCTTCTTATTTAATTTTTTGGAAAAATAAAATTGACAAATTTATAAGTGGGAATTTTTTTGGATGACTTATTAATACAAGTGGAATTATTATCCGCTATGACAAATAAGTTTTTGGATTTATTTTTAATCCATAATTTTAATCGTGTTTCATAAAGATATAACACCACTTAGAAATATAAGTGAAATTATTATCTCCCTGAAAGATAATAATCCCACTTGTAAATGTAGGTGGGATTATTATCTTCCCGGAAGGATAAAAATTCCACGTGTGTTTCTAAGTGGGAATATTATCCCGAAGGGAACATTTAAAAATTTGCGTTTTTCGGGGTTATTATCTCGCTGGATCGTGGAATTAATATCTTTCGGGGATTTTACCCCTCATCCATTTTTAGCGCATTTTTAAAACTTGTTTTCTAATACATTTCGATCGTTCGATCAGGAGAAGAAAAACTTATTAACCAGATATCGTAGAGAACTCTGGATTGTTTTATTAGCTCCGTTACTTTTGATTTATCAGCCCATCGAATAGTTAAAAGTCTTGAAACAGTGTTTTTATACTGTAATTAATGATTTTTTTTTTATTTTATATGAAACACGTGATTAGTGGGTCAGAAATTTAAATTTATTTCTAACGTTACAAAATTTGGATTCAAGAGTTTTATTGTTGTGAAAACATCACGCTTGAAGGAATCTTTAGGAGGGCTAAGTTAGAGCTAGGCGGAACGAACTTCACTAAGTCAATTCAGTTGCTTGGTTTTACGGACGACATAGACATAGTTTGAAGAACATCAGGTCTGTTACTGATGCGTACTTTAAGATGGAAAGGGAAGCCAACAAGAGCGGATTTCGGGTGAATGAGGTCTTTTCAGCTCCCACCTTGATATTGGTGATAAGAGGTTTGAAGTATCAATGTTTTTATCTACTTGGGCTCTATCATCAGTAACAACTTCAATACGTCTATGGAGATAAAGCGGGGGATATTTCCAGCGCAACGTGCATACTTAATACGCTTTATAGCGCTGTATGGTCCAGAGTTATGGAACATGACTTTAGCGGATGAGAACTCAATCGGTGTCTTTGAGCAGAAGATATCAAGATCAATCTTTGACTTATACAAATGCATGAGCAATGCAGAAATTTATCAGCTGTATAGAGATGCCAAAATAAAATTTATAAACCCGTTAACAAATTTGGAATTTTAAATAACCGGTAAGGGACAAAAGAACTTTTTGCTGTATTTGCTTATTGGCTTTCATTTTGTTGTTAAAAATACTGATCGATGAGTCAAAAATGCGCTAAAGTACCTCGATCAATTACACGAGGACTTTAGTAATTTTTTTTAAAAAAACTTACTTTAAGTTTTTTTCTTCTTAAATTTGAAAACGCAATCCTTGTATAGATTACATCTTATACCTAAACATATAATGCCTTTATTTATTCTCTTGGTAATTCAAGGACTTGCATATATTTCTTAGGCAAAATTGAATCAAGTACCTTAAAAAATTTTTGTTCTTGCTATTTTTATTATTTCAAAACTTTAAAAATTCCATCTTTTAAAAGAAAATTTCAAATTTATAAAATCATCAATGTACATACACTATTTTATAATAGATTTACGTTTGTTTCATTTTATTTATTTGGTGAATGAAATAAGAATGAAAATAATTCTATGAGACATATTTATTTTTTTTTTCATGTAGACGAAAACTATTTTTTGTACTTTTAAATTCTTTGTAAGCAAGATTTAAAAAAAAATATTAAGATAAAACACGTCGAAAATTTCGACAATATATATATTGATATATGTACAAATATTCAATATATTTTTCATTATTTAAAAAAATGAATTGGAATGATATAGAAAATTCAATAGAAAATTTTTATGATTTTTTTTTCTCAATTATTCCCGAAAATTTTTCATTACAATAGATTTAATTTATTTTTTTAAAAAAGTTTTTCCATTAATTATTTGGGATTATTACTATGTATTTCTTTTCTTGCAAACTACATATCTTTAATTACGAAAATAATGTTTTATTAAAATAGAAAAAAATACGATTTGGCTTAAACTGTTGGTTGATGCATTCAATGATACATGTGATTTCAATTTGATTAACGCATGTTCTCACGTACACTTTAAAGAAATAAAATAAATCCGATAAATAATCAAACTTTATAAAATATTCGATAAAATTTAATCTCGATCTAATTATAATCCATTATTAATTTTTTGAAATGTTCAATTAAATTTGTAGATTTTAAAACAATATTAGGTTACATTACAATTACATGGCAAAATGGAGAGAGTATGGATTGAAAATATATGATTTTAGAAGCGCAACAAGTAATAAATCGTGTCAATTAAAAGATTAAGATAGTTTTTATTGATCAAGATTTTACAATCTTCTGAAGTTTTGTTGATTGAAAAATTAATTCTGAATGATGTGCAGAATAATAATACGAGTTAAATTTTGTATTATATGTTTGCTATTCGGAGTTAATAATTTTGGTGTTTTTTTGGGGGGGGGGGGGGGGGGGGGGGGTGAGGGGGGAGGTGTTTATTTCATTCCATTTCGGACACTGAAAAATAAAAATAAAAATATTTCAAATAAATTAGGCACAAAAGTTTTAGTAAAATATATGAACGAAATTCTAATAATTTTGTTGCGCTTCCAAAGATTTTTAGTAATGACTCCTTCAGCATGCATTACGACATTAAAATGTATATTAAATTTTAAAAAAATAAAAAAAGAACATTCAGTAATGATCAACACTTTATATTTTGTCTATTCACAGATCCATGATTCTCGATGAAACAAAAATTGATACATGCTACTGTCTCAATTGAACTGATATTATTGTAACAAAAAGCACATACAGTTGTGCTGAAATTCAATTCGAAACGAGCAACAAATGAAATCAATTTTTGATTGAAATAAGACTGCAAAATTATGAAATTATAAATTATTTCACACCAGTTTTTGGTAATTAATTAAAAAATAAACCCTTTAGCATACACATATTATTAATATTATTAGTTATGGAGAAATTAATGTAAGGTTATATATGAGATGATCACAGAAGCTTATGGCAAACTTTGTAGAAAGACAAGAGATTTTTTGTTAATTTTCTTTTTAAACTTGAAGTAAACTAAACTTCAAGTACACAAAACAACAAAATCACTAGTCTTCCATACAAAAATCATAATTTGCCACTCAGTTATTGCAGAAATCGTTAGAAGCTTTCACATTGTTAGTTTAAATACCATATTTTAGCACTAAAAAGGAACTGAATTTTAATAATGGATATATTTAAATGTAACTGTGATTACATTTCACTCTAGTTAACTTTCATTATGTATGCGTTTGAATGCTTTTAAAATATTTTAAATTTAAAATCAAAAAAAAAATAGTATTTTATAAATAAAAAAAAAAGTATCTTTGAATCGAACAAAAATAAAATAAAATTCCTTTGCAACCAAAATATTTAAATTTTATAGCTCAAATGAACATTAACACAATTTATTTACCTTTGTTGCAGCATATACTGCGCAGCTTGAATTTGTTTTGGTGTACCAGTTATTGTGATTATTCTGTCTGTCGAACCTGGAAGAGCTTCATCGATTTGTATGAATGCATTTGACTCAGAACGAATACGACGAATTCTGCCACCTCCTTTGCCAATGATAGCTCCTGCCAACTTAAAAAATTATCAATTAGCTTTGAGAATTTTAAATTATTTCAATCATACATCTTTTGGAATTGTAACTTGAGTTGAAGATTTCCCGTCCATATCAACATTAGTACCAAAATTGCTGTTATTTCCTGTAGTACTTCCCATATTACCATTGCCAAAGTTGTTCATTCCTCCTAATTGATTGTTTCCATTCAGATTATGTGCCCATGGATCAACATAATCTCTCATGGTATTATTACCATTTCCACGATTTCCGCCTCCACGTCGATCACTATTAAATCTTCCTCGATCATTAAATCGTCCTAAACACAGCATTTATCATTATTTAAAATTATTATCTTTAAACAAAGAAATTTATTACCTCCTCTTTCAAAACGATTGTTTCCATCTCGAAAGTTGGAACTCATTCCACTCCCATAACCACCATATTCGTCAGCATACATGTCATCAAAATTATGTGGATCATAGTTATGTACTGGGCCTTTGATTGGAGTCTATAAGTTTTCCACATAAAATGATTTGATAATTCCATTACAAGATATAATTTTAACAAACCGATTTAATAAGATCCACAATTTCAGTTAGGCAATCAATGCATTGATCTTCTCTTCCTACGATTTGGGCAATACGATCTGTACTTTGCGGAGCAATATTTGAAAATATTTTCAAACGACATCCGATTCTCTATAATTAGAAAAAACATTAAAAGTTATAAATTTTCGCTCAATTTTCACAAAATTTTTTTTATAAAGAATTTTTCTTTATAATTCTTTATTATTAATTGCATTTGTATTATAAAGAAATTGGTTGGTTTGAATAAATACCAGAAAGTTTAATAAATAATTTTAAAACATTTCCGGCAAAAATACTGTTTCTAATTCAAAGATTCAAAGTACAACATTAATTGTGCTGCTTTATCTTTGAATATATGTATTGAAACATCCTGCCCATCTGTCTTCTCAAAGTTATTGAATTGGAACAAACGTCTGTCACTAATAATAATATTAGTAGGTTTCTTTTAGTTCATTCGTTTTCTTTTCCTTTTTGTATGCAACAAATACAGTCATAAATGTCTACTTCCGTAAAGCTTGAAATTTCTGAATGTCATTTCTAAAAAATTTTTATTTCATTCATTGAGTGGTTTTCAATTTAAAATAAAATAAATTATCTTTATCAAATGGTACTTATGTTAAAATGAGAGAAAAATAAATCTTTAATTTTCAACGAAAATTAGAATTTTTGGTGAATTATTCATATAATAATTTATTACATACTCTCTACAAAAGTTTGTACGAATGAAAAATTTCATTTAAACAAAACGACAAATACGGTGCGAATAATTTTTTTTTTCAAAAATCATTATGAAAAGAGCATTTTTTATCATAAAAGGATCTCAATTTTTTAATTTTTTCTTATTTATTTTGAAAAATGCATTTATTTGATTAAGTTTATCCCAACAAATTAATTCAACATACTTTTAAGAAGCATTTTATGTCACGAAAGTAATTAATCAATATGCTTCGTAAAATTTTCATAGATTCCTCTTTTTAAATTGTGTAATTGCCTCATTTGATCCTAAAGTATAGTTATCATTTATTTTTTAATGCACACTGTACTCCATAACGATATCGATTTTTTTGTAGAATTTTAAATTTATTATTTTTTTTAACTAAAGAATTTTTTTCCAGATATATGCAATGTAACAAATACTGGCGATAAGCACTTCAAGGTTTTCATTTTTCTTTAATGGTTATTAAATAATTGTTTTGGTTATATATAAACTACGAGTAAACCTAACAACGTCACAAAACCGAATGAACTTTTACGAAATATTGCTCTATGTTAAATAAAGGTAAATTAAAAAGAGAAAAGAGAGAATTCAAGCGCTTGCGCCTTTTACCTTTTTTTTCTTTTTTGTCTTTTCCTTTACTACATTAGTGTGTGCAAAGGAGAGCCTTAAGAACTTACAACATTTTTTTTCTCCAATTCATTTGATATTTTCTTCTATGTATTAGTGCTTCAAATATTTATGCGACTATAAGAAATCTATCTAAAGCAATCTTTAACAGAGAAGAAAAAGGACAAATTATAAAGGGAAAAAAAAGAAAAAGCAAAAGGAAGCCATATGATGAATGAAAGCATAGACATGTAATTTTTATATGCAATATATATGAGTTGCATGTAGTTAACTTTTCATCTAAAAGCGTATGAGACTGTGTGTAAATAATTTGTTATTATGGTTTTCGTATATTATATAGCGGATGTTCTACATCCTTTTTACAAAATTAAAAAGGAACATTTTGACTTTACGTTTTGTGAATTTTTTAATTTAAGAAATAAATCTAATTTTATTTTTTTAAACAAATTTTAAGAAAAAATATGTTAAGTCTCCGCTTAAATTTTGCACAAGAGTAATGGAATTAATTTACACGTTAAAAGATGTATAAATAAGTCTTTAAATACTAAGAAGCATCTGTATTTAATAATTTTTTAAGGAAGAATTTCAAAAGTAGTAACTTAAAAATTTCTTTTCATCGCAAAATACTGAAGAATAGGACGGATTTTTTAAAACAAATTTATTATTCCTTATTCATTAAAAATGAGAAATAAGAATTTGAAATGAAAAAAAAACAAAATTTAAGGCATTCCAGCTGCTGACTACCATTACTATTGTGTGAAGCAATGCTGTGACATGTGCTTCAGTTCAAGAAATTTTGTATGTGTTGAGCACAGGATCATAATATTTCTGATATACATTTTGGCAGATGGCAATACTTAAATGTGTTCTACAGGTTTTCACATTCCTGAACCCGCCAACATTAAATACAATAACGTTAAGTTAAAAACTGTAGACAACTAAAGAATAAACATTTTTTAAGGGAAAAAATGATTTTGAAGAAATTTATAAATATATCGAGATATATTATATACTATATGATGAGAATTTAATGTATAAATAAATTAATATAACGATTTTAACATTCTTTTTAAAACAGAATTACTTTAAGAGCTGTTTTATTGTTAATAATGAATAAAAATAATATCAAATGTATAATTAAGTTCAGTTAAGTTATGAATAAAATTATACATAAATAAATTGTGTGTTTCATTTATTTCATGGTAGTATACTATGAAAGGATTGCTTATTGACTAATGGTCAATATATGTCATGTATAAATGTTGCTAAGATACGAAACTCATTAAACGAAAAGAAAAAAAAAATATTGATTTTTTTTTATCAATTCTTTCAATATAATTATGAATCACAATGTTTTGAATTACCAATGCAATAGATTCTTTTTTTTGTAAAATCTTACTAATTTATACAAAAAACTCACATCTTTAAGTTCCTTTATTTTCGCTCCACTTTTTCCAATGACACATCCAGCCAAGCTTTGATGAACCAGAACTCTTAGCTCACATTCATCAGCACTTCCCTATAAAAGAGTTTAGATATAATTTATTAAATGAGGTCAAACTCCAACATGACATTGCTCCTTTATTAAGCGGAATAACATTATGTGGACACAATTTTAAACAGAATCATTAATATGAAGTATAAAACAATAATATAATAATTAAAAGTCAAATGAATTTTTGATTTGAAGAGATGATTTCTAGAAACATTTAACTATCATATTTTTTAAAACAATGCTTTACTTTGACACTCAATAGAGTTGCTTTTTTTTATATTTAAATTAAAAAAATTCTTTAAGAATTTACTCTTACCTTATCGAAATGCTTCATGATTTCTCTGATTACTGTGCAGCATGTATCCAAGTTTGAAGCGATCGTAATGACACTGTCCATTATCCATAAAATTACGTGAAGAAAATCAGGCGACAAACATAAATTAATTGATATTAATAATTTTAAATTGATTTCGAAATGGCATTTCATCTGATTATCAAATTTTTAATACAAGCATATTAGACTCTAGGGAAAATTAATATTAAATTTTTTATAGATAACTGTCTAAGAACAACATTTTAGAGGGAAACCTAACATTCATTTTCGATGTATGCAGATTTTTTTGGTAATTAAGAATGCACATTATAAGAATATCATCGTTTATACCGGTTTATACAAAAAAAAAAAATGGAATACCAATGTCCACAATTTGGAATTTCATATTGAGATATTAATTTAAGCAAAGTAAATCAATATATAATAAAACTCGAATGGTTTTTTCAGTCTATGATAAAGGTTAAAATTATTAGAAAATAAAACATTAGAATCTCGTTAAAAACTTGATTTCAAAGATTTTAAGAATTATTTTAAATTAAGTTTATGGAAAAGTCTATTAAATATGCAGGATACAAAAGTTTTTCATACCGTTCGGGACCTTGACAATCGCCAACATTCACTTGGACTTTATACTGTTCAAAATTTAATTTAAAGAGATAAGCGAGTTGATTGAAATGAGGAATTGCAATATTTTTTAATGTTTTACGTTAGGAATATTTCAAAATTATGGTACATTTTTGTTTTTTAAGTTTATGCGAATGGAATTAATTTAAACAGTATAAAGGAATAAGGATCAGTTTTAAATTTAAAGAAACAAAAAGCACAAAAAAATAATAATATAAAAATGAAAGTAAGTATTCAGTAACACATTTTGTGCAACCATTTTAAGATTTCATTAAGCAAGATTTGTAAAATGGTTGGTATCATAAAATTATTATTTGAAGACATGTCAGAATGGGTCAGAATATATTAATTTAGGTATATAACATTGGTTAAGAATATGGTTCGTACAAAAATCACATTATTATAACGAGAATTGATAAAACCAAGTTTGAAGTTTAGGAATTTTTTACCATATCAAAACGTTTAATTGGGTAGATGATTTGTTGATTTATTTTGTTCGGCATATATTCAGCAAAGATCAGATATTATTTCAGATGAGATGAATTTGATCATAAGTTACGAATTATTTGTTCAGAATGTTAAGTGGACGAATAAATAAAAATGTTCAATTTAAACATTGATTTCAGGACATGAGCACATTGATCATATGTATGTAGCGATGAACAGGCGAGCAGGGCATCGATGAGATTTGGGCATTTGGCAACATAGAGTGTCATTGATCATTTTATCACAAATTTTGAGATCACACGGGTTTCAACAAATATTTAATTCGGATTCATGGGGAGAGAATGAGAAAAAATCATATATTTAGTGAAAGAATTCATAAATCATATATAATTAAGATATAGAACCAAAATATTTTGTGAGTTCATTTTCTTTAATCGATTGAATTTTTTTGGGAAAAGAAGATAAGAATTATTTTTCGAAGTGAAAAATATTTATTTTAATTTTTTGACAGAAATGCAGTGCATTTATCAATGAAGATTATACAAAAACAAAATGCAAATTAAAAACCGTTAAACCGAACTAATAATATTAAATATATATACATATATTTTATATTATTTATACACATTTATCTATATTACAGTCGTATGTAACATATTTTATATGTATGAGCTAGAAGTCGACTGGTATAAAGTTCTTGATTATATGCATTATCAGGATATATTAAAGATATTTCATTGGTAGAATTTTTTTGGGACCGTTCTCCAAATGTATTACTAATTTAAATAGTTTCTGGGTTCAAAAAATTAAAATAAAATTTACGTGTAATATCTTTCTGATGTTTGAACTTAATAAAAAATAAAGTAGCAACATATTAACAAACCTCAGTTCGAAGCTTTTGTATGTTGTGACCACCTTTTCCTATAATTGCACCAGCCATCTATTTTTAAATGAAATAAAATGAAATTTTATTAAAACATGTTTATAAATATGCGTTAAAAATCAAACAACTTTATGATAGATAATGATTTTAACTTACTTTGCTTGGAATCAGCAAACGAATTTCTTCGTCATCACTGCGGCGTTGGCGTTTTGGTGGATTGTTTGGTCCACTTTCTTGATTTTGATTATTTGAATCATTTTCATTTCCTTCTTGATCTTGATTATCAGTATTCTCATTTGAATATTCTTGGTCCAATTCTTCCATGTTAATTTGCTGTTGTTGATTTCCTTCGTTCTCACGTTTCATTTTTTTTTTGCAACTGAAAAATAAAAAATTGTGATCAATTTAACGTTAAATTATTTTTATTTTATAAAATATTGATTAGCAAACTTAAATGAAATGACTATCAATTTAAATAATTTCAATTTTACTAAATTAGATTTGAATTTTCCTGAATAATTAAATCAATCTGTACATGTGTTGAACAATTAGTTTTTGATGCAATTTTTTTTATGAAGACATATATCCTCGTGTTATTGATCAGGGGACTTCAGCGCATTTTTGACGCAGCGATCAGTATACAAATGATTCAACTTTGAAAAACAAAATGTTCAAAATTCTCTTTTAAAAGAATTGAAATATTTCATTAAGTAATGACTTAAAGCATACAGAAAAGCAACTAATTTGTAGATTATTGTCAGTTTTACAATTCAGGAATTGATATATAATAATAATATCATTAGTTTTCTTTACAGCGATTTGAAGCATTTGGTATCGAAAGTAAGGCACATTTTAAATTTTTACATCGATATGAATGACAAATGCGAATCCTTTAATGGGAAAAATTAATGAAATTTGGATTTTTTGCTGAAATTTTTTAAAAATTCATCCAAAGCACATGATTCAGATTTGAAAAAAAATGTTCAAATAACCCTTGTGCATAATATTTTTCAGACACATTGTAATAAATTTTTTTGTTGATATTCTCAAGTTTAGGACTTTCAATGCCTTTAATCTTACTTGATTATTGATTCCTCAAAATATTAAGTCATGCAATTGAGGATAAATAAGTTTTTTTTACAAATTTTACAAATGTTTATCAAAAAATTTGGCGCACGATAGTAATTTGTATGAAAAATTTACTGATTTTCAATCGCAAATATCTCGCTTCGGGCATAATTGGGTATGTACACATTAATATGGAAGGTTAATTAGACTTTATTCTTTGGATTTTAATAGGTTTGGTAGAAGCGGAGAGACGCGAATTTAACTTATGAGTATTTAAAGTCTTGGTAAATTTCAAAAAAATTAATCATGAATATTCGCCCAATTAATAGGTTTTCCTTTGATTTCTTCACACAAACACAAAGTACTAAGCTTAATCAAGCTAGTTATCAGCATTAAAATAAGAAATTAGAAGTAGAAAGGAGAAAAAAATTAAGAAAAATATTTGTTGTCATTTTGTAAACAAATTGATTGTCATCTTAGAATCGAATTTTTGTGAGTTAGACAACATATTGGAATGAGATATTTTTACAGAACATAAAACAAATCATGTTCTTTAATCTAGCATTCAAAACATATAGTTTAATTAACTTGTTATTTTTGAATTTTTGAACAATTTTTTCAAATCTGTTGAATTATTATGTTAAATTGATATTGATCGTAGGAATCTGATTTTTATTATTGAAGAGCTATTATCGAGAAAAAGAAGTTTATTTAAAGTAAAAAATTCCATTTTGCTATTCTGCAAGGATTAAAATAAAGAATACATTATTTTAATTATCTAAGAGGTTATGGGCTTTATCGCAATGAAGTTTGAAGAAGAAGAATCTGCCATGTACGAGCGCTTGAACTTCGGAAATTATCGTGTTTGGGCGTTTCGAATGAAGATGATTTTAATCAGGGAAGATCTATGGGATGTCATCGAACCATGTTTCGGAAGCAAAAGATGGCAAAGAAGCATGGGATTCATTGAAGAGTTTTCAAAATAATGATAGTTGGACATAAGGTAAGGCTTTATTATTCAAGACTGAATTATCAATTGGCGGTGACATGAAGACACAATGGTTGTGAATGCAATTCTGTCAAGTCTACATGCTGAATATGATAATTTAGTGACTGGATTGGAATCATGGAAAGAGAAGGAGCTAACTGTGCATAATGTTAAGCTCAAACTTATCGATGAATGGGAAAGGCGAAGTGAACATGCAAGCAAAAGATCTGATGTTTATTGTGTCAATAGTACAGAAATTTATATGAAAAAACACATCATGTGCTTTAAATGCAAGCAAGAAGGACATATCAAGCGAAATTGTCCAATGTTGAATATTGAAGAAAAGAAAGAAGGCAAGAATGAAACTGTCAAAATGGCAAAATTTAGAGGAGGGCGCAGAAGTTCTTATGATCCGGGAGACTCTCAGTGGTGTATCGATTTATGGGCTTCGTCTCACATGACATACAGTAAGTCGTTTTTCCTTAGTTTTGATGAAAGTTTTAGGGGTACGGTTACGGTTGCTAATGGCGAGAAGGTTGAGTACATAGGACGAGGGGATGTTCGTATGAATGTATTTGTAGAAAACAAAAGCATTAGTGTAGATCTGACTGACGTACTTCTGGAGCCATGCATTGACAGTAATTTGATTTCTGTCTCAAAGCTCTGTAATAATGGCTATAAAACTGTTTTTGATTCAGCTGGTTGTTACCTTAAAGTGGAAGGTGTGGAACAATTGCTGGATTTCGAGTATATCTTTTGAAGGCAAAGAGCGAAGTGCAGTCTAAAGTCATAGAGTATTTTGAAAATTTTAAAATGTTCCGTACGGATCGAGGGACGGAATATATAAGTGAGGAAGTTCAGAAGTATTTATGTTTAGAGGGAATTCGATTTCAATGTACTGTGGCTTACTCACCAGAGCAAAATGGTATTTCTGAGAGAAAGAATAGAACTTTAATTGAGGCATGTAGGACGATGCTTAATGAGTCAAGAATGCCACGAGAGTACTGGGACGAAGCTATAATGAATGCCAATTTCTCATTGAATCGTGTTGTGAGCAAAGATGATTCAAAGTCTCCGTATGAGAAGTTCTTTGACAAGAAGCCAGATTTCTCAAAATTTAAAGAATTTGGAGTTAGTGCTTATGTGATGATTCCACATTAAAAGAGAAAGAAGCTAGACCACAAGGCAGAAAAGTTGGCATTTGTTGGATATGACGGATGGTCGAAAAGGTATCGACTTGCAAATGTGAAACAGCGGATGATAATTGTGTCACGTGATGTTGTGTTTTTGAAAGAAAAGTTTATGAGGATAAATCAGAATTCATCTCATGAAATGAACAATAGCAGCAGTGATTTGGTGCCGTTTCCATTTTCGACTGATGTAAGGAATGATGCTCAAAGTCTAAATAATTCTGAATTGTTCTTTGATGCTGAGGACTTACAAGATGAATATGAGGTAGAAGATCATTTAGATGATGAAGATATAGATCAAGAACAAAATGAACATGATGTTTTTGAGGAAGATCAAAGAGAAGATATTTTCGTTGATCATAATTTAATAAGTGATCAGAATGTGTCGGTTCAGGAGGAGAATGAACAAGATAGTGAAGTTAGAACATCGAGCAGAAGAAACAAAGGACAAAACCAGACATCACCGTTTTGGTGATTTTGTCACATATTCTTCAAGAATTGATCTTGAGTTTAAGACATTCAAACAAGCTATGAATTGTTTTGATGCCAGTAAGTGGAAAATAGCTATGGAAGAAGAGATTAAGTCAATTAATCAGAGCAAAACTTGGGATCTTATGATGTTGCCTAAAAATAAACGTGCTATTGGCTGTAAATGGGTTTATAAGCTTAAAAGAGATGAGAATGGCCAGGTGTGTTCTTACAATGCAAGACTAGGTGCTCAAGGATTTTCCCAAAAGTACGGAGGTGTATGATGAGGTGTTTGCTCCAGTAGCTCGATCAGCAACATTTAGGATTCTCATGTCAGTTGCTGGTGTCAATAAATATCATGTTAAACAATTTGACATTAAGACAGCTTTCTTGAATGGTGATATGGAGGAGGAGATATATATGAGGCAACCAACGGGATTTGAGAACGGAAATAGTGTTTGCAAGTTAAGAAAAAGTCTTTATGGTTTGAAGCATGCAGCAAGAGCATGGAATAAAGTTTACCATGAAGCAGTTTTTAATTTCGGATTCAAGCAAAGTGAAGTTGATAAATGCTTGTACAGCATGAAGAGAGGAGCTGATACTTGTTATATGATTGTTCATGTCGATGACGTTCTTGTTGCTTCAAATAATGAAAAATTGATAGAAAGTTTTAAGAATCATATTGGAAGACAGTTCGAAGTAAAAGATATGAGAAGTGGAAAACATTTTTTGGGAATTGATGTGAAATGTGATGAAGATGGAAATTTTCACATAAGTCAGAAACAATATATTGAAAAGATTGTGGAAGAAGTTGGACTGAATGATGGAAAATATTCAAAATATCCTTTAATGACTGGCTATTTTAGACATCATGACGAAAACTATTTAGAATCAAATAATGAGTACAGAAAGCTCATTGGTAAACTGTTGTATGTTAGTACAAATACAAGACCTGATATAGCTACATCTGTTGGAATATTGAGCCTAAAGATTTCAAAACCAACGAAGACCGATTTGGTAGAAGCAAGGAGCTAAAGATTCGTTGGACCGGAGATCTATCAGTGTTTTTCTTTGTTCAATTAATGGAGGTGTTGTCTCATGGTGCAGCAGAAAACAAGATATAGTGTCGTTATCATCGAAGGAGGATGAATACATTGCAATTTCAGAAAGTTGAAAGGAGCTAAAGTGGGTAAAAATGTTAATCGATTCTTTTTTTGAGTTTGTCGTTCCAGATAAAATTATTTTGTATACAGACAGTCAAAGTAGTATGAAGCTGATATCCAATCAGAAATTTAGCAACAGAAGCAAGCACATCGATACTAAATATCACTATGTGAAGCAATTGGTTGATTTAGGAGAGATTGAACTGAAATATTGCAGCACTGAATATAACTGATATGATGACGAAGCCACTTGGAAATATAAAATTAAAGAAATTCACGCAAGATTGTGGACAGAAACAGTAATATTAATTTTTCAGACCAAGTTAATATTAAGGAGGAGTGTTGAATTATTATGTTAAATTGATATTGATCGTAGGAATCTGATTATTATTATTGAAGAGTTATTATCGAGAAAAAGGATTATTCCGAGTTAAAATTACATTTTGTTATTTGGAAGGATTAAAATAAGGTAAACCATTTTTACATTAT